AAAAATTTATCAGAGTGTAGCTCAGCATCCGCTGGACCAATCAAAAAGTGCACCATACATTTTTTGTTCAGAACTTTCTTCTTATCACTATGGCGGTATTCCCGAACGATTATCTAGCGAATTTAATTTTTCGAAAATTTTTCGAATCTTTAATTGAGTGTAGCTCAGCATCTGCTGGACCAATCAAAAAGTGCGCCATACATTTTTTATTCGAGACTCCCGGGTTAAGACTTTGGCTATATTATTGATCAATTATCTCGCAAATTTAATTTTTCGAAAATTTTTTAAAAAATTTATCTGAGTGTAGCTCAGCATCCGCTGGACCAATCAAAATGTGCGGCATACATTTTTTGTTCGAGACTCCCGGGTTAAGACTTTGGCGGTATTCCCGTGCAATTATCTCGCAAATTTAATTTTTCAAAATTTTTTCAAAAATTTATCAGAGTGTAACTCAGCATCCGCTGGACCAATCAAAAAGTGCGCCATACATTTTTTGTTCGAGACTCCCGGGTTAAGACTTTGGCGGTATTCCCGTCCAATTATCTCGCAAATTTAATTTTTCGAAATTTTTTAAAAAATTTATCTGAGTGTAGCTCAGCATCCGCTGGACCAATCAAAAAGTGCGCCATACATTTTTTGTTCGAGACTCCCGGGTTAAGACTTTGGCGGTATTCCCGTGCAATTATCTCGCAAATTTAATTTTTCAAAATTTTTTCAAAAATTTATCAGAGTGTAGCTCAGCATCCGCTGGACCAATCAAAAAGTGCGCCATACATTTTTTGTTCGCTACTTTTTGCTAAAGACTTTGGCGGTATTCCCGAAAGATTATCTCGAAAATTTAATTTTTCGAAAATTTTTCATAAATTTATTTGAGTGTAGCTCAGCATCCGCTGGACCAATCAAAAAGTGCGCCATACATTTTTTGTTCGAGACTCCCGGGTTAAGACTTTGGCGGTATTCCCGTCCAATTATCTCGCAAATTTAATTTTTCAAAATTTTTTAAAAAATTTATCTGAGTGTAGCTCAGCATCCGCTGGACCAATCAAAAAGTGCGCCATACATTTTTTGTTCGAGACTCCCGGGTTAAGACTTTGGCTGTATTATTGATCAATTATCTCGCAAATTTAATTTTTCAAAATTTTTTAAAAAATTTATCAGAGTGTAGCTCAGCATCCGCTGGACCAATCAAAAAGTGCGCCATACATTTTTTGTTCGCTACTTTTTGCTAAAGACTTTGGCGGTATTCCCGAAAGATTATCTCGAAAATTTAATTTTTCGAAAATTTTTCATAAATTTATTTGAGTGTAGCTCAGCATCCGCTGGACCAATCAAAAAGTGCGCCATACATTTTTTGTTCAGGACTTTCTTCTAATCACTATGGCGGTATTCCCGAACGATTATCTAGCGAATTTAATTTTTCGAAAATTTTTCGAATCTTTAATTGAGTGTAGCTCAGCATCTGCTGGACCAATCAAAAAGTGCGCCATACATTTTTTATTCGAGACTCCCGGTTTAAGACTTTGGCGGTATTATTGATCAATTATCTCGCAAATTTAATTTTTCGAAAATTTTTTAAAAAATTTATCTGAGTGTAGCTCAGCATCCGCTGGACCAATCAAAAAGTGCGCCATACATTTTTTGTTCTAGACTCCCGGGTTAAGACTTTGGCTGTATTATTGATCAATTATCTCGCAAATTTAATTTTTCAAAATTTTTTAAAAAATTTATCTGAGTGTAGCTCAGCATCCGCTGGACCAATCAAAAAGTGAGCTGTACATTTTTTGTTCAGAACTTTTTTCTAATCACTATGGCGGTATTCCCGAACGATTATCTAGCGAATTTAATTTTTCGAAAATTTTTCGAATCTTTAATTGAGTGTAGCTCAGCATCTGCTGGACCAATCAAAAAGTGCGCCATACATTTTTTATTCGAGACTCCCGGGTTAAGACTTTGGCGGTATTATTGATCAATTATCTCGCAAATTTAATTTTTCGAAAATTTTTCATAAATTTATTTGAGTGTAGCTCAGCATCCGCTGGACCATTCTAAAAACAGCGTCATACGTATTAAATTTGTAATGTAAATTTTATAATTCAATACAATCTACCATGTGCTGCATTTGTGTATGATGGTTTGCAGTTTTCCAGGCGCTTACACTTAATTCGAATTATTAAGATTTATAGAAAATAATTAAGGTAGTCGTAGAACTGTTTAATGTTATTTTATAATAGTTTATATGTAATTACATTTTCCTTAAAGCATAAAAGTGTAATTACTTTTAAAAACAGTTAAAATATGTAATAAAATACTTATTTTTTTATAAATTATAAAAATCTTTTAAATAATTAAATAAATTTTGTTTTAAATCTGGAATAAATATTTTTGATTTAAAAAACAATGACTTTTAGAATTTTGTTAATACTAATTTAAAATAAGAATTATTAAATTTAAAATAGACTGGAAGAAAATACAAAAATATTTTTAGTAGCAATATTTAATTACATATTTAATTTAATTTACGTGGCCGTATAGTTTGAACCTCCTTTTCGATTATAAAAATAAAAAATTAATTTTTTGGTAGAAAAAAATATCAAGTTTTATATATATATATATATATAGAATTTGCCAAATTAATGCGTACGTTTTAATTATTCTGAGATGAGAACTTGTTAATTAAAATGGTTTTAATTGTTCCAAACACAATTGCAGGCATACTCGTGGTAAACACCTTGAACATGCAGAAGTATTGAAACTGTAAGAATATGACGCAACATGTAGGTCAAATATTTTAGTAACAATTATCATATCTTCTAACTATCTTTATTAAGAGCGTTTATTTGTGTTTGTTAATTACGTTAAGCAACTTGTTTTTTCACGTCCCATAATGAATTTTAAATAATTATTGAATCGAGTTTACCTATAATTTATGAGTACATGTGTACCTATTGCTAGTCTCAATTATTAAATCTTTATTAACAATCGACTAAATTATTGAACCTATTATATTTTAATTTTAAAAAAGTACTGTATAAAAATAAATAAAACTAAAAATTCTTCTCTTATCGTCAAGTTGAAATAAGATTTATATATAGTAAATTTTATAAATAATTGAATTTGAAAAATATTTTAAAATGTGGAATCACAAATAGAAGATAACTGAAGATTTGTTATCTGTATTATACAAGAAGATGTTTTAATATGACAGCTGCTGCAATCATTGTGAATTGTCAAAAATAAATTTTTCCTATGAAACTCCTTTTTTTATCAATACAAATAGAGGACCGTTTGGTAAACCGTTTCACTAAACTCGATATATGAGATAACACACAAATATATATATATATATATATATATATATATATATATATATATTCAAGATGATTTTCTATCCTGTCGCACATACTTTCTCACACGCACATTTATCTTATCTTTCACTCAATTTCTGTTGACATTTTGCGCATTAGTCATCATACTTCTTTCTATACAAAGTACCGCGCGGTTCTTCTAAAAAAAAAAATTTGTTTCAGTTTTTCCTTACATCCGTTTCAATAGAGTCAAACATTACTTTTTCGAAAAAAAAATATTTGAAAATTTTTAATGTAAGTGCGCTAAACTAAAAATTTTGAACAAAAAACTCTTGGATTATAAGAAGAAAGGAAAAAAATGAAAATTATTTTAAATTATAAACCTGATATTTTGGAAATTGTATACCCAACATTTCAAGTTGAATCGTGAACAATCGTACATATTTCGACCTTCCGACACACTGCCAACGAATCGGATGTATTTAGGATCAATTTGTCTATTATCTCATTGTCAGTTTATTTACTACACTTGCAATGGCTATAATAACAATGGAAGAAACGTGAGACTTGAAGTGAGATTATAGGGATTCCGGACTTTTCATTCAAAAAAAAAAAAAAAAAAAAAAAAAATAGGTAAGTTTCTAAAAAAATTTTCTTATTCACGGGAGAAAAATGGAAAAACGAATAAAGTAACTTTTAGTATCACAGGAAATTAAGAGGCATTAAAATAAGCTGCAACGCTTATTATTTTAATCCAATTTTACTTATTTTAATACCAAAATGAATTAAAGTAAGCAAAATTGGATTAAAATAATAAGCGTTGCAGCTTATTTTAATGCCTTTTAATTTTCTGTGAAAACATCTTAAAATAAGATACTTCTTTTTGCAGTGATAAAGTAACTTTTACTATACTTTAAAAGTAAAACCTAAACTGTCCGCAGTTTCTGGCAATTTTTACTCCAGAAATAGTAAAATTTACTACTGGAGTAATAAAAATTACTTTAGAAATAGTAAATTTTACTATTCCCGCAGTAAAAATTGCCAGAAACTGCAGAAAGTTGAGATTTTACTTTTAAAATAGTAAAAGTTACTTTATTCCTTTTTTCAATGTTATTTTGAAACTTGGAAGACGCTTTTTGAACGGAAATCGAGAAATAATTCAAAATCCGATTTTTTTTTTAATAAATCTCTTGGAAGAATAATTTCATATCATCTTTAAGAGGAAGAAATGAACAGGATTTGAAGAATGAGTCAGCCCTCTTTTTTTCTTTTTGAATTATTTTTCTAAACTTATCCTCTATTAAAATTATATCAATACAATTGAAAATTCATTAATCAATATCAGTTAGGAAACACTGAACAATATTTAATAACTAAAATTGCATTTTGAATTTTTAATAATTTTCGGTAAAACGAAAAGGAATAATTTTTTTGGTAAAGATATTTTAGAAAATGTGTTTTAAACTTCTTTTGCGAACGTATCAGAGAGAAAATTATATATATATAGAAAATAATTCGTTCCTAGGAAAACAAAGCAAATAATTTTGCGAAGTTTATTATTATTTTTTTTTCCATTGTCGTTTCTACTTTGTGTTCTATACGTATATATGAATTATATACTTATATATATATATATATATATGAAAGGGGAACCTGATGGTTGCACATACGATAAGCGTCGACGATTCAGTCGCGCCACACTCGTGACAGAGAGTTTGTACGGTCTAGACTCTAGTCTGTAAGTTAGCTTTGAACCGAGTAGAGGGAACAATCATTAAGTTCCTCTCTCGCCGGTTTTTTTTTCATCCGATGACACTTACGCGACTTTTCAAATTTCCCTCGTCTTCCATTAAGAAAAAAAAACAAATACACAATTCGCGCTTTCAAATTCAAAATTACATAATTTCTAACGCTTATTAAAAATAGCGCGAAATTTAAAAATATTTAGTGATTCAAGTGTGACAATTTGTGAATGTGGAATGTGAAAAAAAAAATGTTTAACTAAAGTATTTAAATCGCGTCTCGAGGGGTAAAAAAAAAGTCATGAGACATAATGTTACAACCATCTGATGTAGACAAAAGGGAATGAACGCGTGATTAATTTAGTTGAGTACGCGTGAGTGATATGCAAATCTCTTTGCAAAACGTTACACTGTAAGTAATTTGTCCTACAACAAATTTATAAATCTTTAATTAAAAAATAAACCCCCTTTTTGAAATAATTCATTTTTTGTAATAAAAAAATTACTTTTAAACTTGATAATGTCAATTGTAAACAGATAAAAATTAGTATCTAAGTTAATCAATAAGAGAGAGAGAGAGAAAGATATTTCCTTGAAATTCTAACACTTAAGAATAAATATTATTTTTTCAAAATGTGCCTTACAGATTAAAATTGTTTACATACTATTTTCCGTATATTTTTAAAGTAAATATTTTTCATAGATCTTTCTTAAAAAAATAACTTAATTTTAAAATTATTAATTGAAACAAAAAAAAATCAATTAACAAAAGTATTTGCGAGAAAAATTTCAAATTGATGAAATTATTATCAGCATTGAAGTTTTTAATTTGCTATTAAAGATGTAATTTTTCAATAAAGACAAGACGGAAAGACCCTCCCTTAAACAGGGCCTTTAAGCACTTGTTAAGTATATGACCTTGTTAAGTTCTGGTTCAGTAAGTACAACTTGAATGATATATATACACGATAGTACATTTTCATGGCCATTTGCACCACAAATGCAATTTTCACCACTTTATTATTTTTTTTTCCTATTAACAATTTACAAATGAAATATTAAATTATGAATTAAGATTTTGGTATCGAAAATTCGTGAAAGATAAAAAAAATCCTAAATATAATTAATCTAAAAGGTGTATACGCCGGCACGCGACATTTAATTTAAAATGTAAATCATGTCCTTCCACTTACCTTTGCTCAAAATAACAAAAGGCCACCGGAAATGTAATCACGTGCATATCCGGGATGTCATTTCATTCGAAATCTTCAAAAAAAAAAAAAACCTGCGATGATTTTTAATTACGTCCACAAAATTTTTCTTTTTTACACTTGTTCCAAAAATAACTTTCTGTTGGTTCATTTCTTGGGATTTATCTGTAACAAAAAAAAAAAAAAAAAATTTAAATGTTAATAATATAATCATTATTTGATAAATATTTTCGTAAAATAGATTTTTATTATTAAAATATATATATATAAGTATTACGAGTATTATAATAAATATAAACAAATTCCAATTCTCCAAAAGTAGCGCAGCTCATAAAAATATTTTCTCTAGCCCTTTAATATATATTTTTTTTTTTTTGCAATAATAACCCATTTATTCGCTCAATATATCGATCTTCTTACAACCGTACACGAAACTTAAAGACCTGAAGCAAAGACCCACTTCTATTTCTACTTTATACTCTCTAAATCTGAATTAGTAAAAATGTTTACTAATTTGAATTAGTGACTCACTTTTTGCTTTTGAATTAGTAAAATTTTACTAATTATTAGTAACTTTTACTAGCAATTAGTAAAATTTAACTAATTCAGAAGCAAAAAGTGAGTCACTAATTCAAATTAGTAAACATTTTTACTAATTCAGATTTAAAAAGTATATAAAAACTTATTTTTTGGATATTTATAAAAGCACGGGGAAAAAACGAATTGCTTACAAATACAAAGTGATGTTTGCTACAAAATCTATTAAAAATTAGTAACCACAGCTAAATTTTTTTGCTATGATAGCGAAAAAAATTTGCTGTGATAAACAATATCACAATATTTAAAAATTTACTTGTTACAGCAAACTTTTTTTTGACCCTCACAGCAAATTGATTCGCTGTCCCTAATATTAGCTAATTTAATGTGAAAGCAAATAGTTCGCTGCCACAGCAAATTTTTTCTATGCATGATGGAATTAAAAAAAAAAATTGTCTATAACCTCTTATATATCAAATACCCTCATTCTTCCCAGAGTAAAGAGTGTCCATGACGTCATTTCCGGTCCTAAAACGAATGAGTGTCGCGATCTGATCTGGACCATGACAATTTTGTCTTGTGCCATTTTCTTAGCTCCATAATAATAATAATAATAATATCACAAGAAAGGTGAAGGACAAAATTTGAACATCAGTTTTTTCTTTTTTTCTTTACTTAGTAATATAAGTCTAAGAATTTGAGATATATTTGAACTAAAATTGTCAGATTTCAGTATATAAGAAAAAGAATGTCAACATAGATAAGATTACACAAAATAATATAATAATTTTAGAAAATTATTATTTTTTAGTTTATTTTACTTCTTTTAATCCTTATGTTATATTGAAAAATTAACACTTTATATAATGATTTATTCATAATAATTAGCCATGACCTTTTTCAAATTATAATAATTTTAGTTAATTACTCATTCGTTTATTTAATTATATTTTAAAATGAAAAAATGTATAAAATCAGAGAGATAATGAACTAATTTTCATTTTTTATAAACATTGCGGCATCGTTGAATTTTTAATTTTAAATAACAAAAATAATTAGTATAGAGATTTTCTTTATGTAACATGGAAAAGGTTAATGAAATTATTTTCGAGAATAAAAAAAATAATGAAATTCAAATCATGTTTGAAAATAATCGAAACTTATCGGAAGTTATAAAAGATGATCTCAATACCTATGCGGTGCCTTAGGTAGCTTTTAAACCGGAAGGAAGGTTTTAAATTCATTATAAGAAAAATTGTGTAGGCGTTATATGTGACTTGAAAATTAAAGTTCGTCATACTCTTTAATAGTTTAGAGAGAATGACGTGTGTAAGCTATTTTTTTTACGAGAAAAATTTTTTTTTTTTTCCAGCGAATGAAGTACAATGAACAATCGCAAAAAATGGATCATCGTGATCCTTGTTCTGATGAATCTATTGGATTTAATAAATGCCAATACAAGCGATTCTCCAGAAATAGAAGCATCAGAGGAAGTCGAAACATTCACGACAAAAAAAAATGTACCGGACAAATGTTTATTGAAAACAGAAACCGGACCATGCAAACATTTTATTCACAAATGGACTTTCGACGAGACAGAAGGAAAATGCAAAACATTTCCCTACGGTGGATGTTTGGGCAACGAAAATCGATTTCATTCGGAAACCGAGTGTCTTCATCATTGTATAGGTGGTGCAGATCGTAAGTAATTTTCAAAAATTAGTTTTCTTTACAAAAAAAAAAAAAAAAATGTTTGATTATTCAAAGCGGAATAAATTTTTGTAACAAATTTTTTTAGATACACTACCACCATACATGATAACAAAAGGTAGTGTTTTTGTAACAACAAGTTCAACAACAACAAGTACTCCATCAACAACAACGACAAATAGGCCAATTCCCACATTTACACCATCAAAACCATCAAAACCACCTGTACCAAAACATAAAAGAGGAAAGGTAAGTCTCAAATAATCCCTAAAAATTACACAAATTTTAAATGAAAATTATTCTTCAAGGAATTAACATTTATGGAGTCTGGCTATGAGAAAACATTTATGTTTGCTCAAAGTAATACTTTCATTCAACTAGACGGAAGTGGAATCAAAACATTCCAACTGAGGTATTTAAGAGAACGTTGCTAATAATATGTTAATTAATATAGTTATCGTATTTAGTTAAAAATATTTGTTATCATACCATATAACATATTATATATTATATATATAACATATTATCATGCCATAGTAACTATTGTCATAGTAACTTTTGCCTTAGTAAGTAACTGTTGCCTTAGTAAGTAACTGTTGCCAAAGTAACTAACTTTTGCCCTAGTAACTTTTTCCATAGTAACTATTGCCATAATAACTATTGCCCTAGTAACTAACTTTTACCCTAGTAAATTTTTCCATAGTAACTGTTGCCATAGTAACTATTGCCCTAGTGACTAACTTTTGCCCTAGTAACTTTTGCCATAGTAAGTAACTGTTGTCATAGTAACTTTTTCCATAGTAACTATTGCCATAATAACTATTGCCCTAGTAACTAACTTTTGCCCCTAGTAACTTTTTCCATAGTAACTGTTGCCATAGTAACTATTGCCCTAGTGACTAACTTTTGCCCTAGTTACTTTTGCCATAGTTACTTTTGCCATAGTAACTTTTGCCATAGTAACTTTTGCCATAGTAAGTAACTGTTGCCATAGTAACTTTTGCCATAGTAAGTAACTGTTGTCATAGTAACTTTTTCCATAGTAACTATTGCAATAATAACTATTGCCCTAGTAACTAACTTTTGCCCCTAGTAACTTTTTCCATAGTAACTGTTGCCATAGTAACTATTGCCCTAGTAACTAACTTTTTCCCTAGTTACTTTTGCCATAGTAACTTTTGCCATATACACTTTTTTTCCAACAGATTATGCAGAGAAATATCATTCAAATTTAGAACAAGATTACCTCATGGATTATTAGTTTATCATAGTGTTAAAGATAGACCCGAAAATCTTGATCCCTATGCACTTTATGTTATCGTTGAAAAAGGACAATTAAAAGTAGTTCATGTTTTTGGAAAAATAACGACAAGTTTAACAATTGGAGAAGGATTAAATCGAGATGAATGGCACAGTGTTTTGGTACAAATTGATGTTCATGGGGCAAAATTAATTGCCCGAGTCAATGATAAACGTGAGGAGACAAGCTTGGAAGTTTTAGAACGTATCGTTAATTATGGTGTATCAGATGAATTAGCATCTGTAGTTTTGATTGGAGGTAATTTTTTTTTAAATACATTTTAGAAAAATACTTTCAATTTACAATATTAAAAAAGTAAAAATTATTTTTAGGCCTAAGTTCGGAGGAACGTTTACATGGTGTTAAATATATAATCGAATCATTTGTCGGTTGCATTAGAGATATGGTATTAAGTTCGGGTAAATCAACAAGAGATTTAATTCCAATTCGACCGCTTATTGCAACAAAACATGAAAATGTACAAGAAGGATGTATAAACAAGTGAGTTGATTTTTACCAACAAAGAATTATTTAAAATTTATAACCTTATAATCTTATCATTGCAGATGTTACACTCCAGAAAATCTTTGCTTTAAAGAAAATCAATGTGTCAATCACTATTTTACCTATACTTGTGATTGTTTTGGAACAAAATACGAAGGAGAACGCTGTGATGTTTACAGTATGTATTTTAATTTTCATTTTTGAAAAATACTTTAAAATTTATTTTCATTTCAGCTGCCACTGTTCTTACATTAAGAGGCTCATCCTACGTTTCATTTCGAGTCTACGATTGGAAGGATCGTGTTCACTCTTCAGTAAATCGAATTAGTCTTGCATTCAAAGTAAATATATTCTTTACTTAGTATATTTATTAATTATCTTATTTATTATTTTATCTAATTGTTTCTAATTGTTTCTAATTTTATCTAATTTTATCAAAAAAAAAAATTTTTAGACTAATTGGGATGATTCTGCTCTATTTTACGCGTCTGGAGAAATTGACGACACTGCCCATTATGTTGCAGCATCTATAATAAATTCATCTGTTTACGTTGAATTAGATTTTGGTCATGATTCAAAAATTAGTGCCGTTCTCGGTGAACGTGTGACAATGAACTATTGGAATAATTTAACAATTTATCATAATATCTCATCAGTTTACATTATTCTCAACGATGAGGTAAAACTTTTCAACGTACCTGGTGAAAATTATAATCTTATTATTGATCCGGAAATTTATATTGGAGGAGGTCCTGAATTACAAAAGAAAAAGGGTTTAATGTCCTACAATAATTTTGCAGGTAATTTATTATTTTTGTTGAAAAACAAAATCAGGCGCAAAGCGCCTACATCTAGGGTTTCGTGGCTTTTTAAATTTAGATCAAAAGTTATTTGAATATAATAAATAATTTATAATTACATTATTTGTGAATTGCTATGGTTGCTGCGGAAATCAACTGTTGCCATAGTAACTTTTTCCATAGTAACTATTGCCGTAGTAAGTAACTGTTGTCATAGTAACTATTGCCATAATAACTATTGCCCTAGTAACTTTTTCCATAGTAACTGTTGCCATAGTAACTATTGCCCTAGTAACTTTTGCCATAGTAACTAATTTTTGCCGTAGTAAATTTTGCCATAGTAAGTAACTGTTACCATAGTAACTTTTGCCCTAGTAAGTAACTTACCATAGTAACTGTTGCCATAGTAACTATTGCCCTAGTGACTAACTTTTGCCCTAATAACTTTTGCAATAGTAACTATTGCCATAATAACTATTGCCCTAGTAACTAACTTTTGCCCTAGTAATTAACTTTTGCCATAGTAAGTAACTGTTGCCATAGTAACTATTGTCATAGTAACTATTGCCATAGTAACTTTTGCCATAGAAGGAAACTGTTGTCATAGTAACTTTTGCCATAGTAACTTTTGCCCTAGTAACTAACTTTTGCTATAGTAACTGTTGCCATAGTAACTAACTTCTGCTCTAGTAACTTTTGCCATAGTAACTATTGCCATAGTAAGTAACTGTTGCCATGGAAACGGTTACCATGTACGACGGACGGACGGACGTACGAACGTCAAAGCGAAACTATAAGGCTTTCGGCCCTGGGCCACGAAACCCCAAAAAAATGAGGAATATAAAAAATAATTTCTATTTCTGTAGGATCTTTGAAATACGTGTTCTTCAATGATAAATCTATTATTTATGAACTGAAACGATCAAATCCGATGGTTCACTATATTGGAGTATTAGAGCCAGAATTTTATGAGGCTGATGTTGATGTTATACCAATTACATATCCTTTTGTTGGAAGTCACATTTGGTGGCCGCTTGAAAGTACTGATACACTTCAGGTTAATTTTGATTTTAAAAGTTCAAAACCAATTGCTGTTGTTGCTTCAGGCGATGTTAAAAGTGAAAATGGTCTTGGATATTGGGAGGTAAGTGTTATCAAAACTTTTTAATGGAAAAAAATATAATATATATCTTTAATCAATTTTTTTTAGTTGCGTCTTGTAAATGACGAGATGCGATTTAATCTAAAACCAGTTGCCATTGAAAATGTGACAATTTCAACTGCGGTAAAATTTCCACCATACAATACATCATGGCATGCTATTGAATTAAATTACACTAAAGGCGAATTAAATATTCTAGTCGACTATAGAAATAAACAAAGCAATCTTTTTCCTATGACATTTGAATTAGGCGACAAGGTCATTATCGGCAGTGGTAATGGCAATGCTGGTAAGTCCAGTTGGCAAAATTAGTATTACCATAATTTCACGGACATAAGGAAGGAGAATCAAATAGAATTACAGTGAAATCCACGTATATTGGACCCGCATAATTCGGATTTTTTTCCAGTCCCTTGATATACGTGGGTTTCACTGTATATATTTTTTTTTTTAATAGAAACTAATTCAGTGGTGTAAATAACAATTTTAATAAAATTATAAATTAGGTCTAGTGGGTTGCATGAGAGAAATCAAAGTTAATGGACAAAGAATAGAGCCAAGATACGTTATTAATACGGAAAGAGTTGTTGGTGAAGTTGCCTTGGATAATTGTCAATTCGTCGACCCTTGTACAAGACCAAACACTTGTGAACACGGTGGTAAATGTTCTGTTAAAGAAGATAGAATAACTTGTGATTGTACCGATACTGGATATGTTGGCAAAAATTGTCATTTTGGTATGATATTTTTAATTAATCTATAGACTGCCACAAAGTCTAAATTCTAATTTGATAAATATTTTCAGCATTATACAGAAAAACGTGTGAAGAATTGGCTTTATTGGGAATCTCAGTGGACAATGTCTATCGAATTGATATTGATGGTAATGGAAAATTTCCCCCGGCATGGGTTAAATGTGAATTTCAATCAATTGAAGATGCAACAAAAACAATTGTTGAACACAATTTACCATCACAAGTTGATGTTAGATCAATTGCTGAAAATGATTTTAGTTTCAGTATTAAGTATAGAGAATTTTCGGCAGAAATGTTACAGGAATTAATTTCTCATTCATTATATTGTAGTCAGTACGTTAAGTATGATTGTTATAAAGCACCATTGGAATTGCATAGTGCTACTTGGTTTTATGGTTCGAAAGGAACGACAATTGATTATGTTGGAAATGTTACTAGAGGTTCCTGTCCTTGTGGAAGTAAGTATACAAATTATTAATTATTCTCTCTGGGCGAATGTTTAGAGGATAATTTTTTTTTTGTTAAGTGAACAAAACATGTGTGGATCCAAATCTCAGTTGTAATTGTGATGTTTCTGCGGGTAAATGGCTTTCCGATGAAGGTTATTATGAAAGTCCTGAATCTCTTGGAATTACAAAAATGGTTTTTCTACAACAACGTGATTTGGAAGAAGACGCACAGGGAAGAATTACTTTAGGACCATTGGAGTGTGTTGAAACAAGTAAGCAAAATAGAATCTATACCTTTAAAGGAAAAGGGAAAAATTAATTCGATATATATTTTTAGATACTCAAAAGTATGTGGTTACATTTACAACCTCACAATCGTACATTGAGGTACCAGGCTGGAGAAAAGGAGATATTGCATTTAGTTTTCGAACAACAGGAGAGAATGCAATACTTCTATATCAGCCTCCAATTAGAAGCAATTATCCATCATTTATGGTGGCTTTAACCTCCGACTATAGACTAACATTTAATTTTACCTTAAATACCGGAGCAGTACGTATTCTCGATGTAAAAAGTGGAAGAAAACTTAACAATGGTGAATGGCAAAAAATATGGATTGATTATAATGATCATCATGTGAGATTTATGATTAATACTGATCAAGAAATGGTGGATTTACTACCGGAAGAAGAATTTGGACCCTTTGAAGGATCCATGTTCATTGGTGGAGCAACTGCGTAATTATCTCTTTAAAAATCAATTTTAAATATTTTCCTCCATTATTTCTTTTATCTTATTTTTTTAGAGAGCAACTGAAAACTTCTTCCGTTCGACAAGGACTTATCGGTTGCTTCCGTGGATTAGTGGTAAACGGAGAGATTTTAGATATTCATAGTTATATGTCTGTTCATTTATCCGAAATTATAAAAGACTGTAAACCGTCCTGTGAACCTAATAAGTGTAAAAATAATGCTAATTGCGTTGAACTTTGGAGTAATTTTGAATGTGTTTGTGAAAATAAATGGGCACACTTAGGAACGTATTGTGAAACAAGTGAGTTAAAAACAAAATTTGATATTAATAATAATGATATTAATACATTTAATATTAATGTAATATATATTCTTTATAGATATAAACAATAAGGCTCTTACATTTACATCACCAGCAGCGTTTTTGAAAAAAAATTATTTCGGAACAGATGAGGATGATGAAAAAATGTTACTCAAAAGCATGTTACAAGAAAATATTCTCATTAATCTTAGAACGTACGATAAGAATTCATTAATTCTTTACGCCAATGATAATTTAAATAATTTCATGCATTTGTATATATCGAATGGTACACACATTGTTTATTTATTTAATGCTGGAAATGAAATAAAAAATATTACTGTCGAATGTCCAGGTGAGTATTTCATATAATTATTTCAAATAATTATTTCTATAATGATCAGTTTTGTTTGTAGATGTCAACACTGGAATATCTGTACAGATTGCAATTGTACACAGTGAAAAATCAACAACACTGCATGTAAATGAATACAATGTTACATTAGATGAAGTGCCTTTATTGTTGGAAAAATATTCCAATAAACCATGGGTTAATTCAGAAAAAGAAGTTTTAGCTCCACAAAGACCACCGGCACCACCTATGGATTATTTCCAGGTACGAGGAAATAAATAATTATAAAAAAATTGTTGTACTTATAATTTTTCTTTTCAGATAAATTTAGGTGGTTTTGATCCTGATAATTTGCTACGGATGGGTACTGAGGGACAATTAATTGAAGGATACGTTGGTTGTCTTAGAGGTTTAATGATTGGTAAATATCAGGTTGATCTACCAGGATTGGCAAGCGAAGCAAATCACGAAGGTAGCAAGGGAGTTCTTCCCAATTGTAATATGAAATGTGATTACACTCCTTGTAAAAATATGGGAATCTGTACAGAAGATTTTGGTAATCAAGAATCATCTTGTAATTGTGAGCTAACTTCCTACTTTGGAGAGCACTGCGCTGAAGGTAAAATTAATTTTCTGTAATATTGCAATAGCGAAATTGGGTGTTTCTAATTTCTAATTTTACAGAAAAGGGCGCAGATTTTAGTGGAGAAAGTGTACTTCAAAGGGAATTTGATCTTCAGGGTGAAGTTAATGAAGTTAAAGTTCAATTAGCTTTCTCCACAACTGACAATAATCGACAAAGAACACAAGCTTTACTACTGCTTCAAACTGAGAATAAGTAAATTAAATGTTGTTTAAATAATGCTGTTTTAATTTTTAATAATTCTTTGCTCTGTTTTTGTAGAAGAAGCTATTATCTCATAGTGGCTTTAACTTCAGAGGGTCATTTGAATTTCGAAGAAGATAGAGAAGGGCAAACCTATGGTGTTCGACTTGATAAGAATTTTTTGAATGGGGCAAGACACAGTGTTTATTACACTCGAGTTAATAATAGTGCAACATTACTGGTAAGTGACATCTTTATAAATTTCCCGAGCGGTTTAAAACGCATTTTTTTTTTTTTTTTTGGGTATACAGATTGACAGAGAACATGTTCATCTGCAACCACTTCCTGTACTCAGTTCAGGAGACGATGATGATAATAAAGAAAATGATGATAGTCCAGGTGTTACGGAAATTCAAATAGGAGGTTTAAATACTTCTGATCCAAGATTTAGTCCCTACAAAAGTTACACCGGTTGTCTTAGTAGTGAGTAAAAAAACATAAGTTTTAAAATTTTCTTATTTGATGCATTTAAAAATGTATCTTAATTACAGATGTTGTTGTCTCAATTAATGGTGGAGCAATAATGAAACCTCTTGAGGAATATATGCTTTTCACAAAAAAAGGAAGTGAAACGGTAAGAGTTTCCATGCCAGCGGGTGTTAGAAGTGCTCAATGTTCGGCATTTAATGTCCAACCTCGTGGTTTAGAGCATCCGACAAATGACAGTGTTGTAAGTAATTTAATTTTTAAAAACAAATTGGGAATTAGTAAGAATTAAATTTAATCTTTACAGACTAAAGACAAAGCATGGGTTGAGGATCCACCGGAGAGAATCAAATATGTTGCTCAATATTTGGATGCAACAAAAGAAGAACAAGGAGCAGGGACTTATATTTTTATTGCATTGTGTTGTGTTTTTGTAGTTGCAGTTTTAGGTTGTACATATGAAGTTTTAAGAAGTGCGCGAGAAGACAAGAAACGTAAAAGAGCACGTTCGGGTTCAACAGCATCGCAAAGGTGGCAACCACCTTACAATGATTCAGTAATAGGAACAACTGGAGTCAAAAGTGTTGGTTTTAAATCTGTTAATGACGATGACAAAAGACCAAATGGCATTCATGCTAAACAAATTTCTAAGGACTACAAACCATTGCTGAGCACTGATTTAAAAGCAGAAATAAATGATAAAAAAGTTCATATAAAAGGTATCTGATAAAAAATTTTGTTTCAAATTTTGCATGAATAAAAAAAATTACTCAACTCTCCAGCTTAATATCCAGAATACATTCCTTATATCGATATGAAAAATTGATGTTAAAATATTGGTTAATAAATTAATTTCAACAAATAATTTGACTTAATAATTAATAAATATATCTATTACATATTTATTATTGCAGCAGAAGAGGATCTAGAGAAGAAGGATTACCTCGGGGTAAATACAGGCATCGCCTCTAAGTCTCCAAAACCCAATCCATTTGTAAAGAATTTTTCTTTTTTTTCAATTATAAACATGTGCATGAAGCTTGCACGGCTTATTTGGCGATTAAGAGTCAGGCCTCAATTTTTCTCATAAAATTTGTGCATGCATTTGATAAAATTATACTTTTGTGCGCTTTTTTTGCCCTGCGGTTGTTTAAAAAAAAAAAAAAAATGCATGATTCAAAGACACTTGAAAAGAAAACAAGACTAATTTTTGTTTACAGTCAATGGAAGATTTAAGAGAAGAACCAGAACTCGAGGAACGAGAACAAGAGGAGACAGAAAAAGTTGAGGAAGAAGAAGAAGAAGAAGAAGAAGAAGAGCTTGATGACAAAAGTGGGCAGAATAATTCAGAATCACAAATGTTAATGAAACCATCAACACCGGTAAGAAGTGCTCTGGGTAGGGAAGGGAATAAAAAAATTGACGCTAATTGGATGCTAAATTCCACATTTAAAAAACCACTTTTGGAAACTAATTTTTCCATAACTGGTATTAATGAAATTAAAACACAACAAATACCAATGACAAATTGTAGGAATACACAAAATAATAATTTCCCATTAAGACCACAGAGTCTTTATTTACAAAATTCAACGACAGATATTAAAACACGTCCTGATAGTATACATGTTGATAAAGTCGACATAAAATTGCTTGATATCTCTAATTTTCAATGAAAGACTTAAAAATTATTTTTAACAAGTCCTAACTTTTAAGGCTAATCATAACTAATCTCGAATATCATTATATATTTAAAAAAAAGTTTCATTTTCATTAAAGATTAATTACACTGAGAAAAATATGCTATTTAATCACTACTATTTCTGTCAAAAGTATAAAAATTATTGATTCAAAAGCATATGTGGTATAGAATTTATAAAATATTTTACAAATTTTATAGCATATGCTTTTGAATCAATAATTTTTATACCTTCCCGTGTATAAATTGACCTAGTAGGGAATGAAACACCTGATCAGGGCCAAATCAGGGCGACACAGAAAATTAAAAGGCATTAAAATAAGCTGCAACGCTTATTATTTTAATCTAATTTTGCTTATTTTAATCCATTTTGGTATTAAAATAAGCAAAATTGGATTAAAATAATAAGCGTTGCAGCTTATTTTAATGCCTTTTAATTTTCTGGTCGACCAGAAAATGTGGATTTCCTAATCAGGGCCACATCAGGCAGGGCGTTTCATTCACTAATAGGGCAGTCTAATCCGGTCCCAATCTGGTCCCTGGCAAAATTTCAACACGCGTTTGGCAAAAATGCTGTTGATTCATTAACATATTTTTCTCAGTGTATAATTTTTAGAATATTAATAAAATTTCTCATATATTTTAAATTATTTAGAAATATTGATAGTTAAATTGTGCAAAAAAAATTGCAGTTTTTTTTTCTTAATTTAGCAAATTTATTTCTTTGGCCATTATTATAAATTAATGATACAAACTTTAAAGCGCACAATTGCATTTTCTAAGTATTAAATGCCATAATAGAGCAAAGAACAAATAAGGCTGTTAGGTATATATATATGTAACAATTTTAACCAAAGAGATCAATATTGCTGAACATGAATAATAATAATTTAAGTTTAAATAATAACTGACATTTTTGCAATCATTTATTTATTGATTTATTACTGATGTAATGTAATTATTTTTAAAATAGTAAAGTAAATTTACTTCTGCAAAAAACTTAAATCATCAGTAAATGGTCAATAAATTATCATAATAATAATTTTTTTTTACAATTTGAAAAGTTGAGTAAGTCAATTCAGTGTATATAGTGCGAATTTTGTGTGTCCTCATAATAAACCAAATTTCACACAATATTTTGTGTTATATGTGCTTGATTTTAATTTTCAGAATATTAGATTGTTTATTTAAAAAAACTAAATATATTTTATAATTAAATTCTAAAAATACTTCTTTAATTGATTGATATATATCAATTAAAAATAAATCATTATGAAATCAATATTTTAGTATTTTAGTTTTCATATAGACAACTTGTAATCGCATTATAAAAATTAAAAATGTAAGTTATGTGTTTTGTTTCTATTTTAATTTTCGAAAAAAAATTATCATTTTCTATAGTAATTTTTTTTAGAAAATAAATTTTTTCAAAATTAAGTAAATTCATATACGGAAATTGAAAAAAAAAATAATAATCACATAATCGAGAGATGGTCTTTTCAGATCAATTCCATTGTCTATTACGAGGAACCAAAAGCATCAATTATCGAAGGTACATTTTTTTTATAAAAAGCATAATGTTTTACGCTTTTATAAAAACGTTTAAAAATAAAATTTTAAAAACTACTTTCTACATCTGTTTCATATATACTTTTTCTGTGCCTTCGGTAAATTTTATTACTATTGTATTATTACATAAAAAAAATTGACTTTTTATGTTATTAATTTTAATAGTGATATAACGAAAAAAATTGAACGTTATTTATATTTTTTAGCATGTTACGTATGTGAATGAAGAAATATACGATTTTTTTGACAAACTTCTACTTTTCATCATTATTTCAAAGCTTCTCCTTTATAAAATAACATTTTTCATCATATTTACATCAACTTGCAAGATTTATTTAAAACACTAACAAAAAAAAAAAAATTATATAACATAGAATAGTATAAAATGTGACATGAAAACTAATACCAATGCTTAAAATTAATGTTGCATTGTTTTAAAATAATTCGAGATTTTTTACCAATGTTACACTGAAAAAAAAATTTATTTGATTCAAATACCGGTGTATTTGGTTATTATCAAATAAATATTTACTTGAATCAAATATTTCTTATTTGAATCAAATATTTCTTATTTAAAGCAAATATCATTTATTTGAATCAAATAAGAAATATTTTTGATTCAAGTAAATATTTATTTGATAATAACCAAATACACCGGTATTTGAATCAAATAATTTTTTTTTTACTTTTTACTTTTACTTTTTACTACTTTTTTTTTATTTACTTGAATCAAATATTTCAGTATTTAAAGCAAATATCATTTATTTGAATCAAATAAGAAATATTTTTGATTCAAGTAAATATTTATTTGATAATAACCAAATACACCGGTATTTGAATCAAATAATTTTTTTTTTTACTTTTTACTTTTACTTTTTACTACTTTTTTTTTTATTTACTTGAATCAAATATTTCAGTATTTAAAGCAAAAATATCATTTATTTGATTCAAATAAGAAATATTTTTGATTCAAGTAAATATTTATTTGATAATAACCAAATACACCGGTATTTGAATCAAAAAAAATTTTTTTTTCAGTGTATAATTTCTTTGCTATAATAAAATTTTTGCATTATGCTTACTAATGAAAACATGCATTAGAAAATTATGAAAATAATTATATCAATCAAATATTCAAAAATAAATTAATCAATGAAAAATTTAATTATTTAATTTATTTAAAAATTAAAACTAATTTTCTTTGCATTTTAATTTTAGCAAATAATTTCAATTTAAAAAAATATTTTTATTTTAGTAATAAATAGAATTTAGATTAATTTTGGAAATATAAAACGTATTTTATTTCGCAGGCTGATTCAAAAAACATTTCTAAGAGAGAATTGAAGCTTCATGGAAGTACAACATCGACTTCAGGTCGGTGAATATTTTTTTTTAAATTAGAGTTTTTCTCTTAAAAAAAATAGAAATTTAATTTACTTTTTATCTCCATTTATGTACTTAATAAATATAAATTATACGATAAAATATAATTATTTATTAATTAATTATAATTATTTATGATTATTAATTAAAATTTATAGATATTTAAGAAAAATTTATATGCAAAGAATAAAAATTTATAAAAACATATATATGTTTAAAGAAAAAAATATCGTCATCTAATTTTTAAAAATATATTTTAGATGACAATTTTCCTATGGTCATCAATATGTCACCGATTTTTTTATCAAGTGATCGAAGAACCTTCGATAATCCTATAAGATACCTCGGTGGACCTAAATTGCCTTTGAAAAGCAGATCGTCAATTGAATCTGTATTATCGCTTGACTAAAGTGATTATATTCTGGAATTTTTTTTTTCAATTTCACTATTTTCATTAAAATTTCAATTTAAATATAGTAATGAAAAAATTTTTTCTTGTTAAAAATTTTATATGCAAATTTAATTTGAAAAACTATTATTTTGAAAAATTTCGAGATTTTTAGCGTTATACTCATATATATATATAGTATTCTAGAGAGGTTCAACGTAGGAATGTATTGTTTTTTTTTATATAAAAAAAAGTGATCAAAGAATGAATGCAAAACTTTTGTTATTGTATATAATAAATAAATGTTTTTTTTTTGTTGGTTTTATATATGTTTATCTTTAATTCATCATTAAAAAATTTGCATTTCCCATATGTTATTGTTAAGAGAAAAGTAAATAATATGGGAATAAATTTTATTATTTTTTTTTTTAACTGTACAGACACATCGCAACGTGTAGCTATTATCACAAGTAGTTTTCCTGATATTGCGTGTCAGAGAAATTCCAATAAATTTTCCTTGTTTTTTTTTTTGAGAACTTATATAACCCCTTATAACTGACCCATAAAATACAATTTTTTATATTATTTTTGATAAGAATAAAAGTTAATAATAAATCATATGTTATTTTATCGTTAAATTTTTTTTTATAATTTTTAATATAAAAAAATTGTTGTGGATTTTAATATAATTTTTCAAAACATCTTATTTTTGGCACAAAAATGAGTTTATTTTAATTCAAAAACAATTTTTAATGAAAAATTTGTGAAAATTTATATAAGGTAAGAAATTCTTTCTATACTACGTTTGATAAAATAAATATATATTCTTAGGTGATTACTATTCAAAGAAAGTTGCAACGATTGTTTTAAAGTTCTGATCAAGTAGTGCGTCTTAATTTTCATTATTTATAACTCATTCCCAAGTATATATATATATATATATATACAGTCTACGCGCCCATATGTAAATGCAATAAATATAAATCTATGCATTTTGTTGTGTATTCAAACTTTTATTATTTTTTAAAGACTATTGCGATAAGTTAAAAACATAATAAAAATAAAGATATATGTGTATTTTTTTTTTTTTTTTGTCACATTGATACATATGTCTGCACCAGAAAAAAAAATTCTTATTCTATCTCTTTTATCGATTGATCGAAATGCTCAAATAATATCTTAAAATAAGCATTTAATGATACACTTAACAAACATTGTATAAAATATCAATTATTGATCAGGCTATGTGACGTATAAGTATTAATATTATACTCATCGCGGACATTAAAATTATATTTATAAACTGAAAAAAAAAAAATTTATTTGATTCAAATACTCGATTACTTGACTCAAATAAATGTTATACTTGAACTAAATAATATTTAATTTGAACAAAATAATTTTTATTCGAAATCAATTATTTATTTCGAATATAAAAATTATTTGGTTTAAATACAGAAAATATTGGTTCAAATACAATTTATATTTAATTCATATATAAAAATTATTTGGTTCAAGTAAATATTTATTTCGGTCAAGTAATCGAGTATTTGAATCAAATAAATTTTTTTATACAATATTTAGTCAATAATTTTTTTTAAATCAATTAATGTAAATTAATTGATTTACTATAGAAAAATCTCTGAATTATTTAAAATTAAATTTGTTTAAACTAATTAAATATGGAATTACTAACTCAAATGAAAACGAATTAATTAAAATAAAGCATTTCATAAAGGAAAATAACTATTAACAAATAACACAATTTTTTTTCAAATGAATTTTGTAATTTTATTTGATTTAAATAAACTTTGTAATTTTATTGACTCGAATAAATTTAGTAATTTTGTTGACTCAAATAAATTTTGTAATTTTATTGACACAAATATATTTGAATCAAAAAAATTTATAATTTGATTGACACAAATATATTTGAATCAAAAAAGTTTATAATTTTATTGACTTAAATATAATTAAATCAATAAATTTTGTAATTTTATTGACTCTAATATATTTGAATCAATAAATTTTGGTAATTTTTGTTTCAAATATATTTGAATCAATCAATTTTGTAATTTCATTGACTTATAATTATAATTAAATCAAAAAAATTTATAATTTGATTGACACAAATATATTTGAATCAAAAAATTTTAAAATTTTATTGACTCAAATATAATTAAATCAATAAATTTTGTAATTTTATTGACTCAATTATATTTGAATCAATAAATTTTGTAATTTCATTGACTTAATTAAAATTAAATCAATAAATTTTGTAATTTTATTAACTCAATTATATTTGAATCAATAAATTTTATAATTTTATTGATTCAAATAAATTTAGTAATTTTATTGACCTTAATATATTTGAATCAATAAATTTTGGTAATTTTTGTTGCAAATATATTTGAATTAATAAATTTTGGTAATTTTTGTTTCAAATATATTTGAATCAATAAATTTTAAAATTTTATTGACTCAAATATAATTAAATCAATAAATTTTGTAATTTTATTGACTCAAATAAATTTTATAATTTTTATTTCAAATATATTCGAATCAATAAATTTTGTTAATTTCATTGACACAAATAATAAATTATCTGATAAAAAAAATTTTGTTTATTTGATAATAGCCATGTAACGGATTATTTGAATAATTTCTTTTGTTCTAAATCTATATTATTGTCTGATGCGTTTATAATTGCATTTCTATTGCACTTAATATTGCAAATTATATGTGTCATATGACATGAATTTTATTGATTTACTTTGTCTTTCGTACGTGTCTCTCTTTTTAAACAATTTGCAAAAAAAAAAAAAATCTCTTAATCTCACGATTTTCGATAAAGAAGAATATAAATAAAAAAATAAATTCAATATTTCAAAAATTTGCCAAAATAAAATTTAAAAAAAAAAATTGCAAAATGCAAAAGTTAAAATTTTTTTTTGTTTTAATTCTACAACAATATATGAATGATCATGAAATGACTAAATGATTCTTAGTTCTTGGAAAAGTCTCTCTTTTTTCTTTCTCTTTTGTAATATTCATCTTCTTCGTCTTTGCATTCAATTCTGCGCAGAACTACAAGTACAACTATAAAAGCATGCGCATTTGACTATTGCGCATTTAGTCATCGTAAACTGTTCAACAAGGAAAGGATCACAATCCACGGGAAGTGTTTGGAAGAGATAGTGTCCGAGGAAGTAAGGTTACGTGTGCTTATCTTAGTGCCGAGAGAACTGTTTTTTTTTTTTTTTTTTGGAAACTATATAGAAACCTGGCTGGACAGAGACACTGCCAATTTAATCGGTTATCTCGCATCAATGCGGGATGAAATAATAGCAGATCAAAATCGATTGTAAGCCGACGGCTTAACTTCGAGCGTCCGTACTCAGTTTCAGTGTAAACTAGTCGGTCGTCGAGTGTGTTGTCGGAAAGAAAGACAGTGTTGAAATACATTATTTTTCTCCGACACCTAATTTTTTCGAATCAAAGAGAAAATAATTGAAAAAAAAAGAAATCTTCCGATTCAACGACAACCTATTAATTCAATGCATCATCTCTAACCTTTTTTTTAAGTGTTATTTTCACTTTTCCTTTCCTCATGTATATCAGATGGAAGTGATTGATAAATGATCACGACTGAAGATCTAGATAACACGTGACATTAAAAAAAAAAAAATTTTATATGCTACTCAAATTGAAATTTCACAATTTTAATATTAAAATTTGAAATTTATTTTTTGAAAAAAATTTTTTTCTCTTAAAGGGGAAAATATAAGATCTCGGCGAAATTTTTGCCGAGGTCAGTGAATTATATATATATATATATATTTTGTTAAAATCAACATTCAATAAAAATGTCATCGGCATGTGTGGCAAACTGTACAAATCAAGAATTATTTCATGATAATTTAATTGAAGATTATTGGTCATCATGGAATGTGGCTATGGATTATTTTGAATATCAACCATGGTTTTTCTCCTTATTAGGTAGTTTTATGGTTGGTCTCTCGGGTGTTCTTCCTTTGTTAATTATTCCCATTGAAGCAGGGACAAATTTAAAAAATGGAGGTAAACACAATTTAATAATTTATTAATATTATATAACACGCAAAAAAAAAAAAAAAAAAAAATTCAAATAAATATTTAATAATTTCAAAGATCATATCAAATTTAGAAAAATTGCCACTGAAAAAAGGGTTTGGTATTGATAACCAAACAAAATTTTTTTTTTTAAATCAAAATTTTAATTGTCTCAATCAAAGTTTTGTTTGACACAACCAAAATTAGAAAAAAAAAGGATTTTTGTTGACTAAAGTTTGATTGGAACCAAAATTTTGTTGATTCAACAAAAAAATTTTGATTAAATACCAACCGAATGTTTGGTTCTTAATACCAAACCTTTTTTTTCAGTGATGGTATATTTATAACCGCATGTGTTTGATATAACCTATTTTCTATGAAAAGAAATAGAAAATGCTATATTGTTACACTTAAGGGTGATTGGCTATTTTTAATTCAGAATGAGGTTTTTGACTTGCATGTGTGTATAAATAAATACATTAATTATTCATAACACTTTGCAATGAGAAAAAAATGATTACAAGTACAAATTACAAAATTTATCATTTTTCCTATATTTAAAATGCAAATCAAAATCTAGCATCATCTCAAGTAGACTTACATCAGAAAATGTTTGTTTCATATTTATTTAATAAAAAAAAAGAAAAATTTATATTTTTTTGCTTAATAGTATATGTACTTTGAATTTTGCCTATTAAAATTACACTAGAAAAAAAGAATTTGATTTAAATAATCGGTTACTTGATTATTATCAAATAAATATTTATTTGTATCAAATAATTATTATTTGAAATGGTATTTTTTCAAATAAAAAAATTATTGGTTCAAATACAATTCAAATAAAAATTATTTGGTTCAAATAAATATTTATTTGATAATAGTCAAGTAATCAAGTATTAGAATCAAATAAATTTTTGTTTTCAGTGTAAAAAAAAAAGTGAATTTAATTTTGTTCTACCGTTTCCTGTTATCGGTTTTTTAAATAAAAAATCAATAATCACTGAACAATAAATGAAAAGAAATAATTATTACAAAACAAAATATTTATAGTCTTCGATATACCTCAATTTCATAAAATGACAACATTGAGAGTAAAGAATATATATATATTAACATCCTGTAAACTGACTTTGTTATCTTTTATCAATGCTAACTTCATTTCAATGTTCTAAACTTAGCCTTTGAACTTATGACTAATTTTAAATACAATATATTATTGAGAATGTAAAGGATTACAAAATTTATTGTAATTGTAAATAAAAATTGTAATCAATTTCTTTAATATTTGAAAAAAATTTTTAATTATATTTTGCAAACATTTTACAACAATATTGTCAGTGTTTATTGATTTAATATTCACAATCAAGACACAGATTTTCTTAAATCTTTTCGCGATTATAAGCTTTATTTTTTATTGACATCAATGCACTTATGAGCAAATAAACTTTTGTCATTGTTATCAAATTAGAGGTATGATGGATTACTTTAAGCAATGAATATAAATAGATTTTAACATTTATGAATTAAGTATAATAGAAGAGAAATATTAATAAAACTGCCAAGAGTTTTGAAAATTGCAAATACCCATATTTATAATTAATTATTATTTTCTAATATTATTTCAATTACATATTTAATATATAAAATATATATTTTTGTTAAATATGTCAAATTATCGTATAATTGATAATTAATTGAAATAAAATTCGATGTTTTTTGCAAATATATAAAAATTCTAAGAGAAACATAACCTTAAAATGTACCTGTATTGACAGCACTTGAATGAATCCAAATTTTTGTTTCCAGAACTTTTTTATGGTTTAATAAACTATCTAAACACTTCACTTTCTTATTTACTATATACTTTCACTTTAATTTATAATCAATCACTCAAAAAATAGTAAAATATTAATGATATTAAAAAATACGTTTGAACAATTTGACTCAAATGCGAGAACTAAACATTTCATCTGAGATTGCGCATTGGAACGCGCAGTCCGATTCCGCTATTCCCGACCAATGGGATTCGAGTTACTGAAATATGACAGTGGCGCGCGTTTTTAAATGAACAATATGTAATTTCATTAAGTTCTCAAATAAATATTATCACTAAATTTATTTCATACTATAATTTCATAAAAATTACTTTTATTTAATTTAAATTGCATCTTTATTTTTTAAAAAATTATTATTTTGAAATAAATAATTTTTTTTTGTTATTAATTTACTGTTCAACTTTTAGTAAAAAAAAAATAATAACAAAATTTCACTGATAAACTACTTTGATAAAAAAAATATTATCTTACAGCACGTAAGTGCACTTTTTTTTTTTTGTAAAAAAACTATTTTATTAAATTTTTTTGTGGTATATTTTTTAATAAATAAAATTTTTTTAATATTTATTCAATGTCGAATTATATCGCAATTTTTAGGTCTAAATTGAAAATATTTTCTCATGAATTCAAGCATATTCTTATCATTATTCTCAACTACTCAAGATTAATATTTTTGTCTTTAAAAGACAAAGCTTCGCATTCTTGTTTTAAATTTTTGTCTCGCTATCATAAAATCAAGTTTTATCTCAAAAAACTCACACGAAATAGATAAATTCAATTGGCAATATCAAGATCTGCTGTTGACTATATATAATACTATGTATAATTATTAAACAATTAAAATTTATAAAAATTATTTTTTTTGTTATTAATTAAAAATTACAATTTTTATTATTAATTAATAATTGCAATTTTTATTTTTAAATAAAAAAAAAAATTTTTTTAAATAAAATAAAAAAAATAAAAATATTTTGATATCCCAGGTGTATTTAAAAAAAAAAAAAAAACAATTAGTGAGCAACAAATAAATGTTTACTGATAAAATATATGTTCTAAAAAAAAAATATTCGTATAGTAAAATATTTTTAATACATTATAAAGTATTAAAATTTAAAAGCTTTAATGCCAATGACTACAATAGAAAATTTAATTCGTTTCATTCATACTATAGATATAATATGAATAGGAAATATTCTTTACAAGTGTTAATAAAGTTTATGTGTGCCATTATAACACTATAACACTATATAGAATTTCTTAATAATTTTTTTAAAAATGAAGAATAATTTTTTTTAAAAATATTTTATCTTATTTAATTATTTTTTGGGATAATAATTAAATTTTAATTAAATAGTTAAATATTTATAAAAATAATATTTGTTAAAATATTTATAAAAATAATATTTATTTAATATTTAAAAAATAGTTTTGTTAAAATATTTATAAAAATATTTTTGTTAAAATATTTATAAAAATAGTTTTGTTAAAATATTTATAAAAATATTTTTGTTAAAATATTTATAAAAATAATATTTATTTAAATATTTAAAAAATATTTTTGTTAAAATATTTATAAAAATAATATTTATTTGAATATTTAAAAAATATTTATAAAAATATTTGTTAAAATATTTATAAAAATATTTGTTAAAATATTTATCCATATTTATAAATTCAACAAAACGTGTTTTTTATTTTTTATGCAATAATTATAAAGCAAAAAAAAATAATTATTAATGAATAAATAATTATTATTTTTAGTGGCAAAATTAATTAAGTATAATATAGGAAATTATCAATCAAAATGAGTCAAAGTGATTTATGAGTAGTAAAGATAAATATGAAATTTTTCTGTTTACATTAGTTTGAATTAAATGATAACTTTCATAATTTGTAAGATAATAAACAGGTACATTATAATAATAATCAGCACATGTTAAAATTATTTAAAAATTATTTTCTCATAAAATAGAATTTAAATAATTAAAAAAATATATATTTTTTTTTAATAATGGGGATAAAAAAAAATAATAAAAATTTTTTATTTGTATTACAGCAGGCGCAGGTACGCTTAAATTGCTTTTAAGTTTTGCTGTTGGAGGTTTGCTTGGAGATGTATTTTTACATCTCTTGCCAGAAGCATGGGCCAGTAAAACTCTTGCACAAGGTAACGTTTATTTAATTTACCTTGATCTCTTAAAAACATTTTTAAATTATATAAACAAATAAAATAAAAAAATTAATTAAAAAAATTAAAAATCACGAGTATTAAAAAAAATAAAATTTGATTTTAGCTCACAATAATAATAGTCAACTACCATGTGGACTTTGGGTATTGTTCGGTTTTCTAGTCTTCATTGTTGCTGAGAAAATGTTTATCAATGAAGGTGAAAATAATTCTAACGAGATGGAGGAGAAAAAAGAAATAAAATCAACTGACGATTATCTTTTCAAAAAGGTCAAAGAATTTGAGAATAATAATTTTCTCACATCATCCGATAATGATATTATAACAAAATTAAAAAATACATCAGAGAATCAACATCCATCAGTTGTGGAATTAAAATTAAATTTCAATAAATTATTTAACGGTTATAAAACAACGACAAAAAATGGAATTCTCATATATCCACAAAATGAAATTGTTTCAAATATTATCAAAAAAAATGGATTTAAATCTTGCAATGATATTTTAACTAATGAATATTATACGAATGGTTTTGTATCACTCTCGTCAAAATGTTCAAATGAATTTGATTTAATTAAAAAATATAAAAAAAATGAAATAAAATTAGAAGAAAAAATTGAAAAACCAAAACATATTTCGGGATATTTGAATTTAATGGCAAATTGTATTGATAATTTTACACATGGCTTGGCAGTTGGTGGTTCATTTTTAATTTCATTTCGATTGGGCGCCCTCACGACATTTGCAATTCTTGTTCATGAAATACCACATGAAGTTGGAGATTTTGCAATTTTATTGAGAAGTGGTTTTAGCAGGTGGGATGCAGCAAAAGCACAATTAATCACAGCAAGTGGCGGAATTTTTGGTGCTATGGTTGCTGTTATTTGCAGTGGAAACAGTGTTGGTTGGTTGAAAAAATTTTTTTAGTTTCAAAAAAAAGTTTGAAATTTTTTAAAACAAATATTTTTTTTTTTTTACTTTTCAGAGTCAAGAACTAGTTGGATTCTTCCATTTACAGCAGGAGGATTTTTACACATTGGTTTGGTATCAGTTTTACCAGAGTTGCTCAAAGAAACAAATCCCAAAGAATCTTTAAAACAATTGGGTGCTCTACTCGCTGGTATAACAATTATGGCATTTTTGACTATAATTTGCGACTAAAATCAGTGTAAATATAAATTTTTTTTTTTTTTTAAATTCAAATTTGTAATTTTCTACTAATGTGTCCTGACACAGTGAAATATAAATTAAAATTCGACATTTCGTCAGGTGAAATAAAATACCCTGCGCTAGAAATTTTTTTTTTTTTGTTTAATTGTAAATCTAGCAAAAATCAGGGTATTAGGAAGCAATTTAAAATTATGCATTTGGCGATAATAGATTTATATTCACGTCGGAACAAGAGAAAAAAAAATCTTGTTCAAAAAAAAAAAAAAAAACGAAATTAATTATTTAATTATAAACAAGGCCAGTATTTGCTGCTTTTAAAATCATTTTGATAATGAAAGCAAAATAAAAAAAAAAAAAACACTCCAAAGATATTATGAGCGGCTTCCACTTTATCCTTAATTTGGAGAGAAAAGAAAAACAAATGTTATTTTGCAGGAAAAGTCAGTTTTTTCGCGCACAGGAAAAATGGAAATTAAAAATTAATGTATGTATATGTAATTTTTTTCACAGTATTATACATGCATATTTTTTTAAATTCCTCCTAAGGCTGTAAATAGTAGGTTCGCAAAAGAAAAAAAAAAAAAAAAAAAAAAGTGAGGGCGAACAGAATTGGATCGAACTTAATATATTTTTTTAAATACCTTCAATATATTATATATCGCATATATTAGAAGCTAAGAGCCTTTCATTGATCTACGATCTGTATATTAAAATTGTTCATAAAAATCACATTGTTACAAAATAATATTAAATACTATATTGGAAATAAAAGAAAAAAAAAATTTTTTTTTTTGATCAAATAATAGTTGAAATATAAAATAGTTTAGATATTTTTTACAAATATGCACATTTTCATATTTTTTGATTTTTTATAGGAATTTTTTTTTTTTCTTGATTAATTTTGAAAATGAAGATCAAATTAATTGACAGAAAATTTTATGATACGGCGTCGAAAAATTGTGCGGGTTTCATTTAGAAAAAACATGTTAATCCAGTGATTAAAGTTCTAAAATTTCGATATTAGGAACATTTTTTTTGTATTTTTTCTAAAATTATAAACATGTTATACGAGAAATTCTTTGATATTCAAATTGTGTTTAAAAATTACTGATTTCATAAGAATTAGTATAAATATATATTTTTTAATTATTTGATTAATCAAAGAATTTCATTATTACTATATTGTATACTTATATATAACCGGCGATGACTGTAAATAAACGTCATTATTCCAAAATAGTCTAGTTTCTTCAAATCCTTTCATTTATTTTTTTTGTGAGGTTTTTAGTAAAATTCTTCTTTTTTTTACACAATTAGCTTTAATCAGTCAATTCATTTAACAGTAATATATAAAATAGCTAATAAAAACTATGTCGCTTATATAAATAAATTTTTAAAAATTACTTTCCTTTTCTTATATTTCAAAATTGTAAATCATAAGCACATGAAATATATCACAATTCATCGTGAGAAGATTGTAAAAGAGCGTTTAATTTCTCAAAAATTAAAATGAGATCATCTTCAAATTTTTCATCTTCATTTTCATTAATTAAACTTCGTTTTTTGTAAATATTCAATACACTATTAATTAAAGGTAATAGTGTATTTCTTACTTTTACAAATTCAATTTCACAGACAGAATTCAGTGTAATTATACTTTCAACAATTGTCTGAATAAGTTCATTAGCTTGATCAATAAAATTGCCTGTTATTATATTACGAAAGACTTTTGTTGAAAAATTAATTAATTCAAGACAATAATCATGCATTAAAAGTTTTTTTTCAAAATTTGTGCTTGAATATGCTTTTATTCTTTGTCGACGTATTTCATCATCGTTAAATTCAATAATATTTTTTCTTTCAATAAGCAAATCATTGACTAGATTCATTATTTTAATTTGTGGCTGTAATTGATTGCCGTCCAATAATTTTGCAAATACTTCAAGTCCACCATGATCAAAAAATACTTTTTGAGCAATTGGAAATTGACGAATTAGTGAACTTATTGCAAAAAGACATCTGGATTTTATTTCAATATTATCAGTTGTTAATAATAAATGTAAAAGTTTTTGAATAAAATCAGTTTCCATTATTTTTGCCTGTACTTTTGGATTTGATTGTGCCGTTGCACCTAATAATCTTAATGCTTCAGATTTTATTTCATCATTTGTTGAATTTAAACAAGGACTTATAATCTTCGTGAGGCTAAAAAAAAAAGAATTAAATTAATTAAATGAAATTAATGAATTTTTAAAAAATTGTATCTTACCCTCCCATGTCGATGAAAACTTGTGCGTTATCAATTTGATGAATTAAGTACTCTAGATCATCCAAAATATCAACAATTTTTTTAACTTTCTTCTTGTCGTGATTTTTCAAATTAAGAAAATCTTTATTAGCCAAAAATCGTTCAAAAAAATCTTTCATTAATTCCGTTTCAGTGGAAATATTCATATTTAGAGCTTCAAATTCTTTTTTCAATTCTTGATAACTCTTAAATTTCTTTTGAATGTTTTCTATTTTCTGCAAAAAAAAAAAAAAAAATTAGAATAAAAATTTTTTAAAAATAAGCAAATATGTTTTAAGTTATAAAAATTATTTAAAAATATATCTTACATCCTGTATAGGTTTCATTTCATCTGACTTGATATTTTTTAGTTTTAATTTTAATTCTTCAATTGGTATTTTCGAAAAAGAATTCGTCAATTTTTCTTTTTCTTCTTTTTGCAATTCATCTGCATGAATGATTAATGATTTTCCTCGATTTTCCTCTTTATTTTCCATTGATTCCTCTGACTTATCATTGATGTCAATTAATTTTGCCTCTGTTTTGCCAGTTTCAAAATTATGTCTCACATGAAGTCCTTTGGGAATTGGTGTACCTTTTTACAATAAAAATGAGAAATAAAAAAAAATTTGTTTAAAAAAACAATTAATAAAAACAATTGGTTTATTTCAATAAAAAATAAAAATTTATTTACCTTTTTTTACAATTTGCCATTCTCGAGTTGGAACAAATAAACTTTCATTTTTTTCACTTATTTTATCAGCGGCATAAACATTAACACACAAATAACACATAAAACTATAAAATAAATATAAAGAAAAATTCATTTTGTTTATTTAAATAAATTTTTTTTTTTAAATTTATTTGATTTTTTTTTATTTATAAAAATTATTAAATTTTTCATATAAATAAAAATTTGACGATTAACATAATTTTTTTTTCATCAAGGAATATTAAAATTTTGTTTAAATAAAACTGACTTTTCCTTTGCTTTCATAATATTGTTTCATTAGGACTGAGTCAGAATGAATTGTTGAAAACGTGGTGAAAGCGAATAGCGACACGCAAGCCAAAATTTTTATAGGATAAAAATACGTAAAACACGATAATATACGTATAAATATTACGAAAATTAAATGAATTTATGTCGAAATTCTAGCCGTAGACATAATTTTATATTTAAAAAAAAATATGAGAATAATAAATTTCCAAAAATTTAATAACAGTTAGAATAAATAAAATAGGAAAAAATTTCGTATACTTGAAAGTCCGATCGCTTTATTTTTTAATAATAATAGAATTTAAATTATACGTACGATACATAAGACGTAACATCTCTTACGCACTATACCTAAATGAATATTTAAGGTTTTTTACCAGAGAAATTAAAAAAAAAATTGAAATCAATATTTGTTTAAATTTGACTTGATTTAAATAATTCAAATGTTAATTATAATTATGTGAATATTTTTAAAATAGAAAACATTTCGCTAAATCAATTTACAATTATTTGAAATATTAAAAAATTGCAAATTGCGTTATTGAAATATTTTATATTTTTTAAATAGCAAAATATATTTTTCTATAATATTAAATATAAATTATTTATCAATTATCGAAAACAAATCAGATTAATAAATATTATATAAGTAGAAATAATCTAATAATTCGAAAAATTCTTGTTTAAAATAATTTAAACAATTTTTATTAAAAATTTTTAGCTAAATTATTTATAAATTTAAATATAATATTTAATTAAAATTATGAATCATTAAAAAAAATTTTCTTATTCAGAGAGTTAAAATTTTTTTTTTTTTTAATTTAGAAAAAGCAAAAATTTGTAAATGGCAGGATCTTGGCAAGGATATTCCAGGATCAAAATAATTGGACTGTACACAGCGCGTACGATTCTCTCAGTATATAAAATAAAATTGACACTGACTGTACAGTTGCTGGACTTGTATTGACTACAGTGTTTTCTTGGTCTGATTCTATTTTATTTGATTTTTAATTATTTCTTTGAAATTAATCAAAGAAATCAATTTAAATCGAATAAATTAACAATATTGTTTATAAAAATTGACGAAAAATAACAATAGAAATGAGAAATCAAAGAATAATGTGTGTTTTGACGACCAATGCGAGTGCAAGCAGCGTCATACAGGAGATGATCAGCCACTAGACAAATGTCGGTAATAAAAAAAGAAAATTATTTCTTATAAACATTGATATAAGACAATTTTCTTATAAATATATATATTAATTTGAAGAAATTAAAAATTTCATTATTTATTCAATTTTATATTTAAAAAAGAGATTGAGAATAAAATGAAGGGGAAATTTAACATCTTCCGAGAGAGGAACCATAGAATTTTAGAGATGTTCCATTTGTCACGTGGCTCTGTTTTTTGAAAACGTCACGAGCCGACTTTAATTCGAAAAAAAAAATTTACAAAATCGATAGAATTTTAATTATTTAAAAATGGGAAAAACTAGAGGTGTACACGAAACTACTCCGGAATTAAGAAATCGGATGGTGGGAATGTATGAAGCAGGTCTAGGACTACGGGAAATAGCAGCAGCAATTAATTGTTCTGTAAGATATTAATTTCTTTTTTTTTAAAAAAAAGAGTATACTTTTTTCAAATTAAAAAAAAAATAGTTTCAAAAGAATTAAATATTTTTTGAAACTAATCAATTTAATTCTCTAGTATTTAGAAAAATATTTTCATAAAAAAAAATTTTTTTTTCAGCAAAGAACAGTGAAAAGGTGGCTAAATCGATTTGATAAAGAAGGAACAGTTGAGACACGAGATCGATGTGGTCGTAAAAGAGCAACAACAACAGAAGAGGATGAGGCTATTGTCCGTCTTGCAACTCAAACAACAATAACAGCTGCAAAAGCTGTACTCCCAGCATTAGGATTATCGTGTTCCGTTGACACTGTAAGAGAAAGATTGCATAAAGCTGGAATTCATAATTGGAGTCCATGTCGTAAACACATGCAAAAAATTCCCCTTGGGTTAGTTAATTTTATTTGACGATTTTTAATTTAGCTTTTTAAATATATTTTTTTAAAAATAAATTTTTAAAAATAATTTTTTAAAAATAATTTTAAATAAGGAGACTTAATTTGAAATATTTTAGAAATGACGTCGATGGATCAACAATACAGCAGGCTGTTTGGCGACCCACAGGAACGCAACTTGGAAAGAAAAAGTCTACAAAAGATACGAATAAAACAAAAAGAAATGTATCTAATAAAAAGAAACTTGCATCACGCAAAACAAGAGCAAAAGATGTTTTTATTGGCGATGGTGCTCCTGCTGAGTCACTAAAATCAACAGCTGTTGTTCAACAAAATTTTACCTATCCACAAGAAAATGTTCATCAACAACCAAACAATGAAATATCTTCACAATCATTACAACCACCTCAAGTAATATTTGCCAATCATTTAGATCTCGCTCAACAACCACAGGTTTATCATCATCAAAATTGGCCTCTAGATTTAGTTCAAAGCAATCATTATTCACAGGTGAGAAAATTTGTTTTCCTATATTTTATAATTTTATTTAATTTGAAAAAAAAAAATATTCTAGAGTCAACAATCAAATCAGCATTTACAACATATGCATACACATCAAGAACTTCATTCACAATCTGAAGATCGGCAAATTTGTTCACAAATTGAAGAGCAAAATATACATTCACATCATCATGGTATTGAACAACCTCATCAAATGGAACAACAAGTTCGACAATCACAACGATTAAGACAATCTTGTTTAGCATCATCGCAAGATATTACGAAAACTTGTTCAAATAATTCAAATGACAATCAAATATCAAATGATAATAATAATTCTGAGAGAGATTCATCGGATAATAATGAAGAGGGATCGGGCAAAGATCGAAAAAAGAAAGGTGGTAAAATTAAAGGAACACTTGAGACAAGCGTTGAAATACGAAATCGAATGATAGGAATGTCAGAAGCAGGATTATCGACACTATCAATCGCTTTGGCAATCAACAGATCTGTAAGTTTAGAAAAAAAATTAAAATATCGGAATTATACAAAATTTGTATTTTTTTGCAGGAACGAACAGTTAAAAGGTGGTTGGAACGTTGGCACAAGGAGGGAAATGTTCAAACAAAAGAGAGAAAGGGAAGAAGAAGAATAACGACAAAAGAAGAAGATGACGCTATAATTGCAATGGCAACGCAACATCCATTAACAGCCGCAAAATATGTTGCACCAGCTTTGGGACTAAAATGCAGTGTCGATACAATTAGAGAAAGACTTCATAAAGCTGGAATTCACAGTTGGAAATTAGGCAAAAAACAAGGGTTTGTAAATTTTATATATATATATTTTTTTTTTATAAAATAAATTTTAATTATTTAAATAATTTTTCAGTGAAGGTAATGCAGTTCACACTGTACATCTTTGGCAACCTAGTGGAAATCGTCCTAATAAACCAAAAATTCTTAGCGATAAAAAAAAGAAATCTTCATCTAATAAAAAACGTGATCAATCACACGATGATCAACAAAAGCGAGTTAATAGAAAAAAGAAATCTGATAATATACAACAAAAAACTGTTCCACCACCAGCTAATATGATTCCTGAACAAAATAACGTGCAATTTACGAATCAAAATACAAGTACGTATTTTTTATCCTAATTATAAATATTTAATTAATTAATTTTTTTTTAATGAATATTATTTTGAATTAAAAATCAATATTAACCACTTTTCAGTGGTACCTTATGTTCCAGAACCATCAATAATGCAGCCATTACACACACTTTCCTCGCCTACGCTCACGCATTCACAATCAATGCCTACAGATCAACAAGTATCACCAACGTGTCCAACACCAATGCAACCAATGGGACCTATAATGCAACAGAGACCTGATTGTCGATTAGAACCACCAGTTTCGAATCAACCAAACAATATAACTTATCCCTCGTGTATGGTTACTAACAACAATCAAACAAATCATATGGAACAAACAGATCCATTAAATTACGAACCTTACATTTGGAGTTTCTAAAACAAGTAAAAAATCTCTTTCTCTCTCTACCATATCATGACCACTATTGAGACTACGTTTCCCTTTTTTTATTTATTTATTCAATATTAAATAAAAACAAGTTCTTGCCACAAATACTTTCAAGAACATAAAAAACAAAATTTAGTCTTAAAAGTGAGAAAGTCCCTAGAGTATTATTTAACATTTAAAAATCCATACTTCAGTATAACTGAATATGGAAACGTGATCTCTTTATTGGATATAGACATTAAATTAACGTAAATCTATTTATAAATTTATACTTAAAATTTTTTATAAAAATTTGTCGTCGCGTGATTTCGTCTCTCAGTGCTGACAATATCAATTTTTTTTTATTTCATAGACTTATTTAAAAAAAAGAGTTTTTATATTTATTTTAATGATAAATATTAGCCCTGTACTTGAAAAGTTAGGCCATTTATCACTAAAAAAAAAGGAATCCGATAATTGATCTAATTAATTTAATCGATTCGTAATTTTTATTTCTTTTCTAATAGTAGTATTAAAAAAAAACATAGACATGTAATGCATGTTCTTAAATTCCAATATCTTTAAAGATAAGGCTGAGAAATGTATTCAAAGAAAAAAAAAATGTGATGAGAAAAAGCAAAATGTATAGATAAATTAAGTCCATTCTATATGAATGTAAATCTTATCCACAATTTTCATATTAAAAAATTAGCTATAAACATTTGTTTAATTTACACCCCCCACCCCTTTTTTTAATCGTTTATAATCCCTTTGGGACTGAAAATTATTTCTAAAGCACTTTAGAAAGAAGCATCGTCTTTTTAAAAAAAAAAATCAAAATATTTTTCAAATAAAAATTTTAAAAAATCACCTTTACGTAAGATTCCATATTTGCGAAACGTTGTCTATTATTTTATTCGGATCATTCTTATGAAACATGAAGAATCCTTGTATTTGAGCTGGACTGACATTTTTCTTTTGCAACATTACTTTCTCTGCAAATTCCTTAGCCATTTCTGTAGATGATGTTTTATAAAATTTAATAAACATTTGTTCCACTTGTTCAAATGTACACCAACCTAAATAAAAATCGAAAAATTCATTTAATTTTACTTCCATTCAATTGGAAAAATAAATATCATACCTATATATTCTTTGACATCAACTCTTCCCGGTCTTACAAGAGCAGGATCTAATCTCTCCAAATAATTTGTGGTCATAAATAAAATTCGTGCCTCTGTGGAAGCCACTCCATCGAGACAATTTAATAAACCACTGAATGTAACTCGATTCAATCCATCAAAAGCTGCTTTTGCTGAAAAATTAGAAAAAAAAAAAATTTAGACACATAAATTCACAAAATATTAAAAAAATAATAATAAATATTTATACATTGTGGTGACTCTTGTCTACTGACAAAAGCAGCATCAATATCCTCCAATAAAATAATACTCTGCTGTGGAGCAATAGCTAATAAATGATTTAATCTATCATCAGTTAAGCTACGTTCAGATAAATTTAATACACAAATTCCACGTTCTAATTCACCGGCTAGAGCAGTAATAAATGATGATTTTCCACATCCAGGTGGACCATGAAGTAAATATCCTCGTCGATAAGGAATTCCTATAAAAAATAAATACAAAGTTGAAACAAAGAATAATTAAATATTAATATATAGTAAAATTAAAACTTACCTCTATCACTATACCATTCAGGATGCCGTATAAATTCTCGACAATCATTTAATAATCTATCAGCAATACCAGTATCGAGAATAACTGATTGTAACGGCCTTCGTTTTCTTGGATGACCAAATTGTCTCCAATCGCTTCCCATTGCAGTGTACATTATTGTTTTTCCCTCGTGTTCTTTTAATGCCATACATCTAGCTAAAAACAATTATTATAAATAAATAAAACAATATTATAAATTAATTAATAATAAACTAATTTAAAATAAATTTCTTTTTTCCTATGCTTAATTTACTATATTTAAAATCTAAATAGTAGTTTTAAATTGAATTTTCTATTTAATTTAAATTCAATATTATTAAAATAAATTAATTTATAATAAACATTAACCTTCTTCAAGGATATTAAAGTAGAGATTTTTATCTGTTCCAAAAGATGTAAGTTGTACCGTTTCAAATGGTACCCCCATATGTAAATCTAAAGTTTGTTGTTCTCTCGTTCTGTCAACTTTAATCCACTTATTTTTGTATCTATTTAAACAAAAGAATAAATGTAAGAAACATAAATATTGTTTTTTTTTCGCGCACTATTAAACTAACCTAAAAAAGTGAGTTCCAACACTTGGAATAAAAGCATATTTGGTTTTTATATCACCGGTTTCTTTTTGTTCAAATGTAGTTTCAACTGAAAGATGTTGAGTTTTTTTTGCACCTTTGTAAGTGATCCACTGTAGTAACCATTGATAACTTTTGTCACGGCATGGTACTTCAAGTGTTATCATATAATGACGTCTAATGAAATAAAATAATTAATTTTTAAAAATAAGTCAATAAAATGACTGTCACTATTAAAATAGGGGAAATTATTTTTATCTTCATTATATTTACCTGAAAAGTGTAGTACCTACAAGTGCGCCTTTTCTCAATAATGCCGCACCGGCACCGAGGCCAAATAATCCAAAACCAGCACCAAAGTACGGATTGTCTGATAATGCTTGAAAATAATCTACAATCGTCATATTTTACACTTTATAAATAATTATAACTAACAATTGTAGAAATATTTAGAAATGTCTTAAAATATAAAAAGTTTGGTTATACAACACATGTAAACTGAACATCCTAAAGCATGTCAAATATGCGCTAAAAATTGTTATGACAAAGCAATATTTCTTTAAACCTGTATTTATAAATATTTTATCTAAAATCACAGTTTATTAAACACTTTTCAGATAATTAAGACATTATTAATATTACTTGAATAAACTATACATAACTTTCGCGTCGCACAGTTTTAAAAATGTAAGGTTAGGAAATTATTAATACTGATAAGTGCGCATGCGCCAAAGGGACAAAATTCAAAATATTTGAAAATAGCGCGCACAAGTTAAAAAAGAAAATAATATTATAAAAATTAATAAATGTAAATTATAGTAATAAAAAATAATATTTTTATTGAATAACTATTTTTTGTATATGAGTAATTTTTAGTTTATTGTTTCGAAGGCAATAATAGTTTTCAAGAATTTAAATTTTCCATAACTTCCTGTTCATTAAAAACTGCTCGAGTCAAATGAGAAAGTTTCTCTTGACTTGTTTAGTACTCTGTATCATTTTTAAATAATTTTTAACAACATTTTAAATATAATATTAAAAAAAATATTCACAATCTTCTTACAAGAAACTCTTGAATGTTCTAGAAAACTGTTTAATTATAAAAACTTGTTTAATTTTTAATGATATATAAAACAGGTTAATATTTTTTTTTTAATTTCAATTGATTTATATTGTGACGTATTATGACGACGTCACACAAAGCTTTGCGATTTAAAACATTCAAAACAGACTTTTAAAAAAAAACATGTTCACGTGGCAGAAAGATCAAATTACTTTTTCTTTTTTTGGCACCTGTTGAAGGTCATTGTAAACAATTATTTACATATCATTAAATTTATATATAGAAAGTGTAGTGTCATTAGATTTCTAACAATGTGTCGAAATACTGAAAATAGAAAATCATCAATAATGTTAATGCCGGTGTTATTGAGTGCATTCGCTATACCAGTTTCAATGATGTTTTGGATTATAAATGTTGTTTATAAATTTTTCTCACCTAATTTGGAACATCATTTTGATGGTAAGAGAGTTAGTTTTAAAATTAAAAAAACACACATCTTTTGCTTCAGATATTAACTTAAATTTAATTAAAAAAACAATGGGATACATAACCTCAATTTTTTTTAGGTTATCCCGTTATTTCACCTTGGAGATGGCTTGCTTCGGTTGTTATTCCTCTTTTATTTATTATTTGGGGATTAAAGAAGAAAAGTTTGGATCTCAGTGGAGCTCTACTTGGTATTATTATTTATTAAATAATTATAAATAAAATTGTTTCTTTCTAAATAGAAAATATTTTGAAAATATTTTTTTTTGAAAAAATGTTTATTATAAAAAATAAATATTGACTAAAATAATTTATTTAAAAACAGGACTTTTTACTGGTTTTATTCTGACTTTAACGAGTTACGCACATTTGGCATGTTTAATGGCATTTTTTGTTAGTTCGTCAAAGGCGACGAAATTTCGAATGGAGAAGAAAAAAAAATTTGACTGTGATTTTAAAGAAGGTGGTCAAAGAAATTGGATACAAGTTTTATGTAATGGAGGAATGGCATCGCAATTAGCATTACTTTATTTATTAGACGTAGGTTGTGGTGAACGACCCATTGATTTTGCAAAAGACTATCGAAGTTCTTGGTTATCAATAGGAATACTGGGTAAAATTTAATTTTTCTCTTCATAAATAAGTTTTTCAATTTTTTTTTTGAAATTTTTAATCTTCAAAAATGTAATTTTTTTAAAAAAATTTTTACAGGAGCTTTAGGTTGTTGTAATGGTGATACGTGGGCATCGGAATTGGGAACAGTGATTGGTGATTCGGATCCATTTCTCATTACAAATAGAAAACGAGTACCACGAGGTAGATAAAATAATATTTTATTTGCAAAACAATTTTCTTAATGAAAAAATTTATATTCTAGGAACAAATGGAGGTGTTTCTTGTGTTGGACTTGTAATGTCTCTTTTAGGCGGTTTATTTATTGGTTTATTTCATTATTTGGCTGTGCTTTATACTGTGGATTCGGCAATTTTAGAATTAGCCGCACCTCAGTGGCCAATTATTGTTGCTGGAGGAATTAGTGGACTTTTGGGAAGTATTATTGACTCAATTCTTGGTGCCACTCTTCAATACTCTGGTAATTATTTAAATTAGAAAATTTCAATAGAAAAATGATAATTAAATGAAATAAAAATTCAGGAATGGACGAGAAAGGCAAAGTCGTTGAGAAACCGGGCAAAGGTGTAAGACACATTTGTGGAAAACAAATTTTGGATAATCATAGTGTTAATTTGCTGTCAACTATAATTATGTCATTCACACTTCCAAGGATAGCAAATTTACTCTGGCCTTAAGTATATATATATATATTAATTATTAAGAATTTTTTTAACTACCTGTTATTTACTCATTCTTTTTTAACGAGCTAAAAAATTTAAAGAATCAATTTTATAAATTTTATATACAAGAAACAAACGACAAAAAGTTACGATATTATTTTTAACAAAATAGTGAACTTTTAATTTATATAATTCTGGAAGTTTCGAAGAATTCCATAGTAGTTAGTAATATTTTATATTTTATCCCAAGCGATATTATTTAATTTTTTATTATATATATATATATATATATATATATGAATTGTGTAACATTTCAGAATAATGTTATAAACTAGATTTATTTTATTTATTGTTTTAGAAATAAATGTCAACAATAATTGGTAACTAAAAAAGAGATTCTTCGAAATTTTGTTTTTTCAATTTACTTACAATTTTCCAAAAAAGATTGTAAATAATTTGATAGAGAAAATAAATAGAATTTTCTGTTAATTTCATATTCAGATATAAATTTAATTAACATGTTTTTGTTACAGGTTATAAAATCTATAAATTTCGATTATTTAGAAAAAAACGTTTTTAAACGATTTTTTTTTTTTGCAAATATACAAAAAAGTATTTATATAAAAAAAAATTGCCCCTTTTGAGAAAATTGTTTAAAAACATTTTTAAAAAGAATAATTCTTAATTTTTCATTTCATTGTCAATTTGAACACTTATATTTATAAAATTTGTTTTTTTTTTACAAAACTTAATTATAAGTACATAATTTATTTTCTTACACTTAGTTTATAAATACTTATTTTACGTGATATGCTTATCCGACTTTATTTTTTAACAATATTAGTAAAACATATATAAACTTTAGATTTATAAACTGGTCAAGTAAATAAACATCTGTACATAGTTTTATAAAAAAATAAAAAAAAAAACATTTTTATAAAAAAAAAAAAGAAGAAACGAAGTATTCAATCTTCATCTCTCGTTGATGACGGATGTTGGTTCGGTGTCCCTTGGATCACAGGTCGGTGCTGATTCATAGTCATACTTTTTCCTCTCCCGACACCGGACCTGCGTTTGATCGGATATACTGAAACAGTCAACATCCCCCACAATGGACTTGACTCAACCAGCCATTGGCACGATACGGACAGAAAATTGTTAATTAGTTTCACATGGACAGTTAGTTCAATTACATTAAGAACGGGACACGGATTTCCATTTGAACAGACGGCAAAAAGTTTTTTTTTTTTTTTTTTTTTTTTGATGATGCAGTTGTAGGAGAGAGACACTAGTCCGCATTGCACCATTGGCGGTCCATGCATAAACATCCAACTTTCGATTTTCGACTTAGGTACTAAAACAATATGGGATTAGTAATTAATCATTTTTTTATTCTTTTTAATTTAAAAAGTAAAATAATTTTGAATTCTTCACAGGCAGGAGAAAAAGAGAAAAAGACGAAGGCAAGATGATCGATGTTGATACAATTAAGACGTATAATTACTATTTATATCTGAATATTTACCGAAACGTTTGTTGTGGTCGTGCAGGAAGTTGCTCGTTTTCTTACAAACACCGAAGCTTCCCATCTTCTCTTAAAATGGGTAATCACCTGGAAAGAAATTCTCTTCGATTACGAGACGAAGGTAAAAAAAAAAAAATTTTTTTTTATAAAATATTTACCTCGCCATTGCAAAAGCAAAAAAGAATTGCTACACACAGACCCTGGAAAAAAGTTATTTTTAAAATTTGTTGATATTTATTGAGTTTTTTTTAATAATCGCACCTGAAAGGAAGCTGTAATTGCAGAAATAATTTCAAAAGGTTGTTCCCAAGGATGTTCTTTTGGTGGGCGAAATCCTATCAAAAGGTAATGAAGCCCTAAAAGTGGAACTAACAGCAAAGTTGCTCTAAAAAAAAAAATTTTTTATTTTCAAATATTACCACAGTTATTGATATTAAATTTAATATAGAAAAAGAATAAGATAAAAGAATGTTTCTAAAAATATTCAAGACAATTTGAGCTTTTGTAATTTTTTTTTTTAACAAAATAAAAAAAATACCTAAATGCCTGAATCATTGCACGAGTTGGCCGTGTTCCAATGGCTGGACCATTCCTGAGTTTAGTTACGAGAACTCGAACAATGTTACAAAGAAATATTAAATTGAGCAAAGTCGAAACACATACTGGATAGATTAATACTTTCATGTAACTTCCTTCATTCATCCAACATCTGTAAAATTAAAAAAAAAAATCAAATACAAACGAAAATTACAAAAAAGTAGAATATAAAAATTGTAAATTCTTTCCAAGTGAATGTAAAATATGAATTAATCTAAATTTAAGATAAATTTTAAGATTATGTATGGATGATAGATAGCAAATTCAATTTCCTCTCAGAGGACCTTCAATTTGCTTTGAGAATGATGGGTTTGATGCTTCAGCCTCCGTAGAAAGGACCTAATCGAATTCTTCATCCTGAATGTTGATAGTACCATGCCTGCGGTCTGATCATGAATATTTAACTTTCAACAACAATTTTCATCTATATATATTATAAAAATTTTTTAATAAGATTGAGATTATTTTTTTGCAGGAAAATTTTTCACCTTTTTTTTCTAAATACCTATCTATTTTAATTTTCTTAATAATTTTTTTTTTTTTGTTTTTGTTTTAGCTTTTGTTAATAATTTTTACTGAAAAAAAAACTCACTGAGTTGTGTCAGTTGGATCATCACTAATCATTCGCAAAATAGAATAGACAATCATGATGATTCCTGGAAAAAACCAACCAAAACCCACGAGCCATTTTACTAATTTTTGCTCATTTGTAAAAGCACTAACAAGTATTGTGTGCAAATAAAATCCTTCGCACAGCATCCAAGAATAATTTGAGACTAAAAAATAATGGAGAATTATATGAAGAAGTCGACAAATCATCTGTAAAAGAAAATAAATAATTAAGGTAAATGTAATTAAAAATTAACGTTCTTTTAGGTAAACGTTAAATAATAAATAATTTAATTAAATATTTAATAAATTAATAAATTGTTAATTTCCTGTTATACATTTTTAGATTTATTTGTAATTTCTTGATGTTACGATTTAATTTTTTTAAATTATTTTTTATTTTGCAGAAAATAATTGAGGTGAATTTTATAATTATACACTTACTCCATTATTTAAAAGAACATCGGGATTTGCAACAACGAATCCGTACCAGATTAACCACAAGGCATTATTGACGGCAAAAGATGCAAATAGATTCATGTGAAGGATTATTCTGGTACATCTTAGAGATCTGAAATCGTAAGGAATGTTTAAATTTATAAATTCAATTATACAGTTTATTGAATTAAACAATTTTTGTTATAAAACTGAAACGATATTATTAATATTATAATTAGCATTTAATATAATAGGCAACTTACCGAAAATATATCAAGATACCAAGAGACACTAATAAAGCGATCAATGATATTGAATATCCGACTTCGTAGACAATATTTAGATCTTGTTGCCACTGTAATTAAAATTAAAATTTAAAAATAATAATTAATAATGAGAAAGTTTTTATAAAAATTTAATATCTAATAATTATTATTATTATTGAGTAATTAATAAAATAAAATAAATTTTGAAATAAAAATCGCGGTCAAATATGAGATAAATCATAAAATAAATATTTAAAAAAAAACATTAAAAATGCTCAAAGGCATACATTTTACGTCTTTGATGGGATTAAATTTCGTTCAAAAAAAATTTCCTCTCAAATATTCTATTTTATATGACAGGAATATTATATTTCATAAATTAAATTTTTGAGAGAAAAGAGGATTTTATTGATAAAAATTATTTAAAATTATACCTACACCAAGATCAGCAATATTGATGCAAGTTGTGTAGTTGCTCCAGACTTTTAGTGAATCTGGATGTCGAAACCATGTACCATCTGATTCGCAATATTTAAATGCCGTTACTGAAAAATAAAAATCATGTTAAAAATACAAATTTTTATTTATTTCAAAAAAAAAAAATATATTTTTTTCATTATTATAATTTTATATAATATTAATAATTAATTAAAATTTTATTGTCGATCTTTAAAATTCTAACAAAAATCGTTTGAGTTATGAATTTAAAATAATTTTAGAACCATCTTTAATAAAAAAATTAATTTATTTATAACAATTTAAAAACAAAAAAATTAATTATGATCCATGTGGGGATTGAACCCGCGTCCTTCGCAAAACTTATCGCGACGCTCTGACCAACTGAGCTAATGGATCTTGTTTCTTTATTGTTATAAAATTGATTAAGAATGATTACTTGATGTTAATTTGAAAAAAAAAAATGAAAAAAAAAGAAAAAAAAAATATTGCACTTTTTCCAGAAAAGAAATTATAATAATTATTTATGATAATAATTATTTGGTAATTAAAAAATAAATTTTATTAACATTAATAAATAAATAAAAAAATAAATTTTATTAACATTAATAAATAAATAAGGTTTAAACCTTATAGTTAAATAAAAGGTTCTGAACCTTAATTATGTTTTAATTAATTTACGACCCCGCTTATTAGCAGGGTACACAAAAAATTAGAGTTAAGACTCATCAGTGTTCCCCCCCACGGAAATCTTTAGTAAAAGGCGAAAGATTTATACGCATTTTGAAGGGGAACCAGAGTTACTTAAATCCTTCAAAACCACGTCTATTTATACCCATGTAATTTCATCTTAACTGTGAGAAAGACGTTTTTTGAATCCTAGCGGTGAAATTGGAAACTAATGCACCCCTTTTAAACCACCACCATCCCTACAGAACATGATTTTTCAAAAAGGCGCCATTTTTGAATTATCGTTTCATTAAACAAACATTTTGAATTAAAAAAGAATTTTTAAAAATTAATTAATTACTTAATTAATTATTAAAATTAATTAATTTATTAATTATTAAAATTAATATTCAATTAATATTTTATTTATTTGGATAAAAATTTAAAATTTTATTTTATTATTTTTAAAATACAGTAGAAATTAATTGAAATTAAAACGTAACATATTTGAACAAGTGTAGACTGAAATCTTTAAAAAAAAATATCTCCTTTTTTCGTAGAATTTCCTTGAAACATTCATTGAAAACATTTCATTTCATTTTTTTTTTCGAATATTTAATAATATTAATTTAAGTATTTTTCTGCAAATAATCAGGAGGGCAATTAAGATAAGGATACTTCTAATTGTACGTGGAATTAAGGCCACTCATTTAGTAAAACTAATCTAGTATGGCTTGGAAGTGAAGTATAATTGACTTAGAAGCATATCCCTTTGATGCATATTAATTAGACAGAGCGCATTTCCAAAGCTAACGGTATCTATAGCTAAATTTATCTTCAAAACAATTATTTATCAAATCGATATTCTTATTTTTCTTTTGCATTTATTGTTTAATATAAAAAACATTTCAATAAAATTCATACTATTTTAATTTTTCTTTAAACGGATTTTTAAACGTTAATTATTTAAATAAATTAATTGAAATTGAAACATAACATATTTGAACAAGTGAAAATTCATAAAAAAAAATAAACATCCTCTTTTTTCAGAATTTCCTTATTGAGACATTTGTTTGAAATACATAAAAAAATTGTATATTAATTTAAAAAATGTATATATAATAGAAATTTATAAAATTTAATTCGTATATTTCTTTTAATAAATAATTATTTAAGATTTTATTTGTTTTAATTTTGTTTTAACTTTAATCGCCTTTACATAGGCAACCAGATATACTTGATTGTTGAGTGGGTCACCTGTTGATTTTTATCATTTAAAGAACCAGTAAACAGCAGTAATTAATGAAATTATTAAAAAGTAATTATTAAACAGTATTGATTACATTTAAAAGGAAAAAAATAAAAGTTCAACATTAAATAGTGTTGTGCTATATATATATAAAAGTGTTTACAATTGTTTTGCGAATGCGCACATTTAATTGACACGCCCATGGCATACCGTTATTCTCTCTTGTTTTGTTCAGACGTCTCTGCCTGATTTTCAGGCGTCTGTCTTTTTATTTTTTTTGTTTTGGATATACTTTTGAAGATAAATTCACTGTTTCTTCGTTTTTTAATAACCCAATTTGAAGTCTAAATAGAACAGGTATTTTTTTTCACATATTTTTTTTAATAATATTATACGATGTACAATAATGACGTATTTTTTGTTATCTTAACCTCAAATCATTTAGCCGGTTGAGTCATGTTTTAAATAATACTTTATACGCATATAAATTAAATTGATAAAATATTAAAAAATTTAATTGTTTTTTCTAATTTTTTGGATTTTATTTAAATGACTGAAAATTATTTTTATTTTGACGTGAATTTTCAAATATTTTTTTTTTTTTTGCATTGTGTAAATGTTCATTTTATCAATAGTTTTCCTCAAATTATACGATAAGTTATTTTAAAAGGCTTTTATATCAACTGATAAATTTTATAATTATAGAAACTAAGATATCATTTTTCATTGAAATCAAATTTATTGTATTTATAAAAATTATATTAAATTTTGAAAAGTCAATTAGCAATATACCATAAAAATTTGCATTTTGTTACTGTAATTATATTTAATTTTTTTTTTGTAATATTAATATTTCCATGAACTGTTAAATATTTTTTTTTAGCTCCATTAAAAAGAAATTCGTTCTTTTTTTTAAATAAAAGTTTATGCGAAAATTTACATGAGGAAAAAAATTAAATAAAAATAACAAATGAAGATATTATCGACTAATGCACTGGTCAATATTGACATTTTATTGTTTATTTGTAATTCTTTTTACAAATTTCATCATTTTTTTTTTTAAAGAATTTTTTTCTAAATGATAGAAATACAAAATTTTATTAATTCTGCCAATTGGCTTTTCCAAATTAATTTTAGAAAAAAAAATTTATAAAAAGAAATTAATGCAGAAATTTTAATTATTACTTAAAGGTTTCCATTGATGAGCAAGTAGGGAGAAAAATTGTCAGGAATCAAAAAAAAAAAAATAATAAAAAAAAAATGGAATCAAAATCGTCATACTTGGATGCAATCCAAGGTATTCCTGGAAATACGGCAAAAGAAAAATACGAATCCCTTAATAAAATTATAAATCAAACTATTGAAAATAAAAATGTACCGGGTGATTTAAAAACGCAAACAATATACGGAACTCAAATTCCAAAAGTATTGGAACCTTTGATTCAAACAGAAATAGCAAAAATTGAAAAAAAATCCGAAGATATTATTGCAGCATTAAAATCAGATGACGCTGTTATAATAAATAGAGCATTGCAAGCAGATTGGATTTTTGACGGAAGTATAAAGTCGGTAACGAATTTTAATTTTTTTTCCAAATCTATATTCCCGGAAGTTTCATTAAATACAAGAGCAGGTATTATAAAACGTTTGTCACAACATTTAGGACATAAAAAAGAATATATTCTTGCACAAGAATTTTTCGAAGGTTTAGAAAAACTTTATAATTTAAAACAAGCAAAACCTTTACTATCTGCATGTAGCGAAATTTATCTCGCGGAAATTGTTAAAAATAAAAATATAAGTTTATCGACAAAATTAGTAAATCGACTTTTTTCAAAATATCCCGAATTAGTTATTAATTATTTCAAATTTGGATCGCCTGCACCAAACGAAGAACGCGTTGTCAATAAAGTTAATATTAATGATTATAAAAATATTTTACCGAAATTAATAAAAAATTATGTTAACGATTTCGTCGATATTATCAATTCTCAAGAAAATAACGTCAACATTAAATTAGGAAAAAAATGTGCTGAATATTTTTTAGAAAGTAAAGGAATTGAAGCATTAATCAGCAAACCCTTAAAATTTATTCATTTTATACCATTAAAAACGATTACAAAAAAATTAAATAAAGAACAATTTGAATTAATGTTTCAAAATTTATTTCCAAAAAAATACGATGAAATTTATTTTGATTCAATGATTGAAATTCTTAAATTTCAACCAGATGATTTAAAATTACCATTAATTTTAAATAGTTTCAAAAAACTTTATGGTATCGATCCTTTAACATTAACTGATATAGTGACTATTGAATTATTACTAATATTACCAAGCGAAGAACGAATTAAAATAGCACGCAAAAAATTAGAAACCGAACCAGAAGGTAACTATAATTGGCAATATTCATGGATTTGCTATTTACCATGTCATGAAGCAATTCCAATAATTAAAAACAAAATAGCAAAAACAAAAAAAGTCGATGAACGTATACCTTATATTGGACAATTATTATATAATTGTAAAGTTAATAAAAGTGATGATGATCTATTTCAAGTTTTACAATATTTTTCATCGAAACATCGTAATGAAATTTCATATTTTTGGACAACACTCTACAATAATCTTATGCAAATATTTGTATTAGAAACATTAAATGAAAAAATATGGCAAATCATTAATGAAATGATACAAAGATCATATGTGAAAAATCTTCTTATGGAAAGAATTGATATGTCTGAGAATCTTTTAGAAAAATCAATTCATCACAATTTATTGAATAATTTATCAATTGATGATAAAATAATAATGTTAACTGAATTAAAAATAAAAGGTTGGAACAGTCATTTTTGTATAATTCAAAGTAATCAAAAATATGAGAGAATTTGTTTAGAAAAATTTCTCGATATTATACCGCGTAAATTTGTCAATGATGATTCTATTTGGGAAGATAATAAATTAGATACAATAAAATATCTTATCGCCGATATTTATGATTATAACAATAGAATGAAACAAGCAGCAAAGAAAAAAAATCTTCAAATTGAAGAAGAATTATCGATAAAAAATTATCCATGGCTTTTGGATGCTTTGGAAAAAGAAATTAAAAATGAAAATAATAAATTTAATTATAAAATTGATGATATTAAAAAAGTTTTACTCTTCAATGATCGAAAATTATATGATTCATTATTTCCGGATGAGGAAAAATTGGCGAAAGTTGACACTCAAGAGGGATTAAATTTACTTAAAAGAACACCGGAGAAAATTATTCAAAATTGGGAGAAATATTTAGAGAGCTGTGAAAAAAATTTAAATAACATTCATACGAGGAAATTTTTAAAAAAATCCACATGGTATTCACAGATACCAATTAAATTTTTTGAGGAATCATTAAAAAAATTACAAGATGGTAATCATTATTCGATAATGATTTTAGCTCTTTTATTACCTGGATCTGAATTTACAATTTTAATACAACATCTAGCGCCAAATTCAGAAAAAATGGATATTGATAATGATAATGCAAGAATGTTGTATCTTCAAACATCATCAATTCCAGATTCAATGAATGAAGTAAATCCTCCGCCATCACTTGAATTAGTGGAAAAATTTTGCCAAGGAGATTATTTACAAGATGGTTTAAGATCATTAATGAACATTGCACGTCGAGTATCAGCTCAAAAAGTTATTTTATTTGCATCAACACTCATTCAAAAACCAATTTCCGTAAAAAAACATGGAATTCGTTTATTATTCGTTGTTGCACCATCCGCGAAATTATATGAATTTTTACGACTCATGTGGACCACCGAGAAACATAAATCAATTCGTGAAGTTGTTTTTGAAAAAAGTTATCAACTCTTTTGCAATAAATCATGCAATGAATCGTGGGATTTAATAAAAGATATGATAGAAACTCTCACCGTTGAAGATCGTGAATTATTTAATCACTTAACGAATCTTGAAAATATTCCCAATGAATATATAAGAATTTATTTTGAATTAGCTTTGAAAAAAGTCGATGATCTACAAAAAAATGATACAAATAAAAAAGAAATGAACAGTGTAATGTTAGATTTAACCTCATCATTGACACCAGAAATTTGTCATTTTTTCACTGAAGATTATTGTCAATATTTATTAAAAAAATTAACATTCAATTTTGAAAAAGATGAATTAATTACACAAGGTAATCGTAATTATGCGGTAAATATTTTTCTTGCTGATAAAAATAAACTTGATTCGCGATTAAATTATTTTTGCAATTTATTGTCATCGATTATAAATGAAAAATGGAATAAATCACATCCTCGTAATTTTCGAGTTTATCCAATTAGATCATTTTTTTCTGACACTGTTGAAAATTTTTGTGAAAACACTGAGACTGATATAAAAATTCTTCAATCACTTTTTAATTTATTTGAAAAATCAACATTATTACCAGTTCATGATTGTAAATCATATTTACTTTTGTATTTTAATATTAAATTAAGGGAAGTTGATTTTAATGGTAAAAATTTTGCTACTGTGATTGGTAATGAATTAACGGAAATAATTAAAATTTTTTCCCCAGAAATGTTGATTGAAATTGGAAAATATTTAGCGACTATTTTTAAATCTTGTGAACGTTATAATTATAAAGATATAATTAGTCTTGTGATTCAAACGCTTGTTGATTTAAATTCAAATTATTCTTCAATTGTTGCCACAGTGATGCTTGATAAACAATATACTAATATTTCTGATGATTTGTACAAAGATATTGTTGAAAAATTGCAAAAAGTAAATCATCCAACAGTGGCGAGTATTTTGAATAAACACATAAATTCCATTTATTTTTAAAAACAACGCAAAATGAACATTTTTTAATGATGTCTTGAATTAATTAAAAACATCTCAAACCATTAAATTGAAATTATTTTTTTTTAATTTAATCCAAATATTGAAAATTTAATCATTTAAATTATAAAATTGAATGAAAAATGTGGATGAGAATTTTTATTAAATCTTTTTGCGACATGTGTCAGTAATTAAAGATAAAAAGAGTTTATATTTCAAATGATATGTATTACGATAATGTATAAATTATATAGTTTTTAAAAAATACGTCTAAATAAAATAGACGGAAAAAAAAATTGTAAAAAATGAAAGAAAAATATTCCTGATTTTTCTGTTGAAACTTTTTGTGATTTTTTATTCTATTTAAATAATGATATTACTATTTTATAAACAATTTTCAAAAAATTCGATAAAAAATTTTGCTATAAAATCACTTTTTTATATTAAAATAATGAAAAAAAAAAAAAAATTGTAAACCAAAAAATTAAAAAAAGAAAATAATGTAAAATTATTAAAAAAATAAATTTAAGAGTTATTTTTTCATGGAAAAATATAATTAAAAATGTGTGACATTTTTTTCAATTCGACAGATATTGAAGTAAATTTTGTAAAATTACTAACGGCACTGTTACTTTCTATAAGAATTAAAAATAAAAAAATAAGGATTACTATAAGCAGCTATTGTGTGATGAAGAATTTTAATAACACACTTTGTTAATTGAATATGAATAAAATATTGTTTATGGCTTACTTTGATGTATTTATATTTTTTAAATATAAGTATTTAATTTTATTTTACACTTTAATTCTATAATTAATAATTATTATTTTAATTTATTTAATTATTTAATAATTTCATGGAATTATTAATTTACAAAAAAAAAACCTTTTTTTAGTTTTATGACGATTTAATTTATTAATTTTTTTGTATTAGTTATTAATTATTATAGATATAATATTCATATAACGAAAATTTTAAATTTTAAATTCCGGTTTTTACGTCACTGATGAAGATAAATGTGGGCAAAGTAGCAAACTGCGAACTCATGGACTCAAGCAAATAGATTATAACAGTGCTTCGGAGAGAATATTTTAATTTGCAGTAATAGATTTTAATATTTGAAAAAAAATGAATAAATTGGTGAAAACTAAATTTGGAATACTTCGAGGTCTTGTGAAAACAAATGTACTTGGTGACAATTATTTTTCTTTCAAAGGAATACCATACGCTGAACCACCAGTAGGCAAATTACGATTTCAAGTATGATATATAATAATTACCTTCTGCTGTGAATGTAATAATTGTCTAGTCATTATTAGTTTTCATTTATGACGTGTATATTATAAAAAAAAAACTTTTTAAATTAAATTTATAATGATTTAAAAAAAAATTATATTAGAAATATATTTAAAAATTTTTTTGTAATAATAAATTAATTAAATTAATAATTAATTAATCTATAAATAATTCAATTATTTAAAAATTATTTTCTAGAAATTTTTTAATTTAATATAAATTATATTATGACAATTTCTACATTAATAGAATAATATTGTTTAAAAAAAAATTAATTTCAATTTCTGTTGAAAATTAGGAACCAATTCCCTGGACGAGAAATTGGAACCACGTAAGAGATGCCATTGAGCATGGAAATATTTGTTCTCAATTTGATAAAATAACAAATTCAATTGTTGGCGATGACGATTGTCTTTATTTAAATGTTTATACAGAATCATTAGAAAATAAAAATCCTCGACCAGTTATGGTTTGGATTCATGGAGGTGCTTTTCTTTTTGGATCTGGCAATGATGATTTATATGGTCCCGATTATCTTCTCAAAAGAAAAATTGTTCTTGTAACTATAAATTATCGACTCGACGTGTTAGGTATTCAAAAAATTAATAATTAATTTTTTTTTTGATATATAAAAATTTAATTTACATTTTTTTTCAGGTTTTCTTAATTTGGGAATTGAAGAAGCTGCGGGTAATCAAGGACTAAAGGATCAAGTAACAGCACTTCGATGGGTGAAAGAAAATATTTCAAATTTCGGCGGTGATCCAGAAAATGTAACAATATTTGGCGAAAGTGCGGGTGGTGCTTCAGTTCATTATTTAACACAATCATCTTTGGCGAAAGGTAAACCTCTCAAGAGATAATTAAAAAAAAAGAAATTGTTTTAAATATTTAATTAATTTTCAGATTTATTTCATAAAGCCATTTGTCAAAGTGGAGTCGCTATCAATTCATGGGCGAATATGCACGAAAATCCTGTTAATTATGCTTTTAAATTGTCAGAAAAATTGGGAAATAAATCTTCGGATCCTGTTGAGGTGGTGAATTTTTTGAAAACTATCGATTCACACAAATTAATCGAGGCTCAATCGAAAATTATAACTAAATTGGTAAACATAAAAAAATATAATCGAAAAAAATTATAAAAAAAATAAAATTTCTAAAAAGTTAGAAAAATTAATTAAAATCAATAATTATTAAATAATAATTAAATTTTGATTTTTCAGGAGAGATTTAGACTTCATTTTACCAGTGGACCATCGACAGATGATAAATCAAAAACTCCATTTATGCCACATTCAATATCTACTGATAGTCTTAAAGAAGTTAAAATTCCCATGCTCATTGGACATAATTCGCGAGAAGGACTTCTTTTTCTCGCAGGTTAATAAATTTAATTTAATTAAATTTCAAATTTTTTCAAAATATAAACTTATTTTTATAATTTGTCAAATAGGCATGAACGAGAAAAATTTTGAGCAATATGATTTAAATTTTCCCGATCTTATACATCCTAATTTTGTCAATTGGCTAAAACAAAGGGGCTTTACAATTAAAAATTTACGAGAATTGTATTTTGAAAATAAGAAAATAACACCTGAATGTTCGATTGAATATGCCGATATGGTTGGGGATATTTTATTTGTTTGTGGATTACATGATGTGGCTAAAATTCAAGTTATAAAAAAAGGGAGTCCAACTTATTTCTACAAATTTACCCACGATATTGGAACATCTTTTATGAAAAAAGTTGTCAACGTTGATGAACCAGGTATAAAAAGAAATTTTTAAAATGCGTCAATTTTCTTTTTTTCTAAATGTATTGAAAATATTTAATTTTTAGGTGCTTGTCATTTTGATGAAATTCCATATTTATTTTACATTAAAGCACTGAAAATGTTAGGTCTTCCATCACCGGAAACTGATGTAATTGAACGGAAATTAATGGAGAGAATGACAAAAATGTGGACTGATTTTGCAAAAACGGGGTAAATTAGAATTAAATCAAAATTGGAATTTTTTTTTAATAAAATATTGAAAATAAATTTATTTTTAATTAACGAAAAAACTAAATTATTAATTTCAGTAATCCAACATCTAGTACATCTGAAGAGATTCCTCTAATTTGGAAGCCAGTAAATGATAGTACACATTTTAGATATCTAAATATTCAAGAAAATCTGAAGATGGAAATAATGCCAAGTTATGAGCAATATTTTTTAACTCGAAGAAAATTACAATCTAAACTTTAATTCTTGATTGTAAATAGAAGTGAGACTATTTTTTACTTTTTTTATGAAAAAATTGTAAGTAAATTAATTTATTTACTTTTATAGACATGTAAAAAGAAATTAAATTATCTTATAAGATAATTAAATATAGTTAATTAAATAAATTCTAATTTTCAAAGAACTGAATTTTATATGTTATAAATAAAAAATTTTATAAAATAAAAAAAAAAGTTAAAGTAGTATTAATATTTTCTCTTTGAGATATAAATAATTTAATTTAAATTATTTTTTATTTATTTCATTTTTTGTAACGAAAAGAATAAAAAAAATGATCTAATTGTCAATAATTTACTTTTTGTTATTTTAATATTAAATTGAATTTGATTATAAAAAATACTCACACGTAGGATCGAATCCAGTGATAAAAACAGGACATTGGGTAAATGCAACTTTTCCTGCAGGAGTTGTGGACCAACAGGACCAGCCATCAAAAGTTGCAGGACAATAAGGCTCTGAAAAATAATTTTTTTAAAAATTTAGTTGAAAAGTAGACAAATTTAAGAAATTTGTTTTTAATTTGATAAGAAACCAAATCAAAAATCAACGATAAAGCCGATAATTATTTCTTTTATGAAAGAAAAAATGTAATTAAAAAAAAATTTATTTTTCTTTTCAAGCCGAGAGGATTTATTTGAAATTCTATTACGCTAGATTAATCCAGAAAAATGAAAAATTGATAAATCTACAACAATGGAATTATTTCGAACAAATAACGTTTCAAGGATTCTAAATAAACTGAAAAATAATATTTTCCTGAAATTTTTAAACTTTTTATTTTATTTTTTTTTTAAATATGTCTAGTGTAAATTGTTTCTTAAATAATTAATATTAATAATTTTTATATTTCACTATTTACTTTTTTATTAACGAATTTTAAAATTGCCAATAAATTTTACAACTTCATGCATCCTATTGGAAATTCATGAATAGGGAACATTTATTGATAGTTGAAAATATGGGGAAAAAATTTTTTTTTTTAATTTTCAAAACGATTAAAAGTAATTTGAATATTTTTAGATAATTTTCACGAACGCGTCTTTGATAAACTTGAAAAAGTTTCTTCCTCGAAAATATTGAAAGAAGTTAATTGAAAAAAAAATTGAATAAAAAATCTGACCTAAAATTTTCAACTTTTATGTTAATATTATGTTAATATTATTATAATATAATATCTATTTACAGAGAAAAAAATGACTTGGTAAAAAATTTACATTATTTAAAAACACATTTTGCATAGTTCAAATATAATTTCATAGAAAAGTTTTTTCATATATAATTTAGATTTAAATTTTTATATCTTCGAATACAGAAAAAAAACGAAAATTTCGAACGTAAGTTTATTTAATTTATAAAAAAAAACTTTATAATAATTATTAATAATTTATTTTATTGTTTCAGTTTAATATATCTCTTTAAAAATTATTTTCTATTTTGAATGTGAATTATGTATATTTAATTATACTAAAAACAATATTCTACCAAGTGTGAAATAATCGTGTGTATATGTGCAAGGAAAGCAAAGAAATTAATTACATTTCTAAACTTGGGACATGTGAATTTCAGTGACATGATAAAAATGGTGCATTATAATTTAGTTTTTTATTTCTTTTTATTTAATATTGCCGTTGATAAGAGTAATACCTACAGAATTCTCGGGATTTTTCCATTTAATTCACGAAGTCATAATAATGTATTTGAAAGTGTTACAAAAGCTTTGGCTCGTCATGGACATCAGGTGGATGTTATTTCACATTATGATTTAAAGACACCAATTAAAAATTATAAACGAATTATTAATTTAGAAGGAACAATTGGAAAAATATCAAATAAATGGGACGCTAATAGAGCAAAACAAGTGGCAAACACAGAAATTGTTGATTTAATTGTAAAAGATTGTGGTAATAAATTGTGTGATTTGATGGGATTTAAAAAAATACAAAAATTTCTCAAAAATCCACCAAATAATCCAGCTTATGATTTGGTTATAACTGAGGTTTTTAAAAATTTTATAAAACAAATGATTTTTAAAAAATTATTTACAATTATTTTTAATTAAAATTGTTTGAAATTTAAAAAAAAAAAAAAATTTCAGGCCGCTGCTGAAAATTGTTACTTTGGTTTTGGACATGCTTTAAAAATTCCTGTGGTGGGAATTTCGACTCTTTTACAATTTTCATGGTTCGATGAGAGCATCGGAAATCCCATATCACCAGCATTGGCAGTAAGTATTTACATGGAAAATGCTGAAATTTCAACATTTTGGGATCGTTTGAGAAATACCTTCTTGACGCAATTTGGTAGATTAAAATTTTATTTTCTAACGGAGAAATATCAATCTGATGCAATGAGAAAATATTTGAATCCCGAGATTCCTAATATTCGTGAAATTGAAAGAAATGTCTCGCTAATATTTGTCAATACTTATCAAAGTTTATTAGGTATACGACCAAATACTCCCGCTCTCATTCCAATTGGTGGTATACAAGTAGAACAAAATCAGGACAAAATTACTCCAGTAAGTTTTTTTTTTTGTTAATAAAATGTATTTTTCAAACAACATTTTTTTTTACAAAAAATAATTTTTTTCAATAGGAATTAAAGTCTTGGATGGATGATAGTAAAGATGGCGTTGTTTATTTTACATTAGGATCAATGGTAATAGTGGAAAGTCTTATGAAAGAACAAATATTATCGCTTTATGCCTCGTTCGCTAAAATTTCGCCAGTTCGAGTATTAATCAAAATAAAGGATCAAACAAAACTTCCTCCGGGTTTGCCAGACAATGTACGGACAATGTCATGGATTCCTCAGATTCCTGTTTTGTGTAAATATCACGAAATGATTTTAAAAAAAATTATTACAATAAAAAAAAGGATTATGAATTTTTATAATTATCGTTAATTTTAGGTCACAAAAACACCAGAATTTTTATAACTCACGGTGGATTAAATAGTTTAACTGAAGCTGTTTACTGTGGAGTACCAATGATTGGAATTCCATTATTTGGCGATCAACAGTTGAATATAAATATTTTAACATCAAAAAATTTAGCAGTAAAATTAGATTACGAACAAATGACTGAAAAAAATTTAGACGAGGCTTTAAATAATCTTTTATACGATCCTAAATATGAGTGAGTAATAGAAAATTAATTTTTATTTTAAATTAAAAATTGATGGTAAAAAATTTTGAAAAATGAAAATATAAAAAATTACCGACACAGAAATCTACTTTACCGACTGATGGTAAAACAGTTTTTTGAAAATAAAAATATAAAAATTACCGACCTAGAAATCTACCTTACTATAAGTCGGTAAGGTAGACTTCTATGTCGACAATTTTTATATTCACATTTTCCAAAAAAATCTTTACCATCAGTCGGTAAGGTAGATTTCTATGTCGGAAATTTTTATATTTACAGTTTCCAAAAAAAATTACCATTAGTCGGTAAGGTAGATTTCTATGACGGCAATTTTTATATTCACATTTTTCAAAAATCTTTACCATCAGTTGGTAAGGTAGATTTTTATGTCGGCAATTTTTATATTCACTTTTTCCAAAAAAAACTTTACTATCAGTCGGTAAGGTAGATTTCTATGTCGGTAATTTTTATAGTCACATTTTTCAAAAATCTTTACCATCAGTCGGTAAGGTAGATTTCTATGTCGGCAATTTTTATATTTACATTTTCCAAAAAATCTTTACCATCAGTCGGTAAGGTAGATTTCTATGTCGGCAATTTTTATATTCACATTTTTCAAAAATCTTTACCATCAATTAATAAGGTAGATTTCTATGTCGGCAATTTTAATATTCACATTTTCCAAAAAAAAATCTTTACCATCAGTCGGTAAGGTAGATTTCTAGGTCAGTAATTTTTATATTTCTATTTTTCAAAATTTTTCTTACCATCTTGTTGATTTTTTCACCATCTACAAATAATTATTGTAATTACAGACAAACTGCAAAATATGCATCTCGTATATTTAGAGATCGACCAATGAATGCTACGGACACTGCAATTTTTTGGATCGAGTACATCATTAGAAATGGAGCCGACTCATTAAAATCACCTGCAGTCGATTTATACTGGTATCAACTGGAATTGATAGACGTTTATGGATTTTTAATCCTTTGCTTATTAGTAATAATTTACGTGACATTTCTTATTTTAAAAATATCTTTCTATATACTAAAATATATTCTAAGTTTGAGATATTATTTACATAAAAAAAAGAATTAAAATTCTCATTAAAATGAAAAAAATATGTAATAATTTTAATCAAATTATTTTAAACAATTCATATTAATATTTATTGTAATATTATGATAAGATAATTCAAATTTAATAAATTATATTAATTTAAAAAGTATGATAGATTAAAAAAAACATTCTTCAAATAGAAAAAAAATGTTTTAATAACTGTCGATAAAAGTAAGTTTTTTCTTTCTTTTTAAAGATATAAAAAATGAAAATTGCAACATTTTCTCTATTTGAAAAGCATGTTATGCATTTAAAAACAGTTCATTTTATTTCAATAAAAAATGTTAGCAGATAAATGCAACTTATCATGATAAATCAAATTTTAAATTGTCTACTACTTTATAAACAATTCGCTTTTATTTGCCGGTACATATTGCATAAGATTTTAAGTGTCACTATAACCATCAATGAGATAATGCACACTACATAATAATCCGCTTAATAGGAAGCGTAGTTTATAATATTGGCCAGTTGAAAAACGATAGTAGAGTGACATTGAAATTAGTGAAATAATACAAGGATATAAAACAATGATTTCCTTTCGTAATTTCTCTTTGTGCCTATTTTTATTAATATGTTTAATTAGTTCAAACAGTGATGCTTACAGAATACTTGTCATTGGTCCTATTAATTCAAAAAGTCATAGTAATATATATGAAAGTGTTGCTAAAGCTTTAATATTAAAGGGACACCGAGTTGATGTTATTTCACATTTCGAATTGAAAAATCCACCAAAAAATTATACGAAAGTTGTAAATTTGGATGGTTCATTGAAGGCAATGGTAAACACATGGACACTGGAAATTGTGGAAAGTTTTCGTGATATTGATTTAGTTCCTGCAATGATTGAAGAATTTGGAAACAACTTGTGTGACTTAATGGGATTGGAAAAAATGCAGAAATTTATTAAAAATCCACCACGTGATCCTCCATACGATTTAGTCATTGCAGAGGTATTATTTTTATTTATATTTTATAATATTTTATTATAAATATTATAAACTTTATAAAATTATAAAGTTATTATTATAAGGTCTAAATTAAATTTTGCAGGCGTTTGTAGCAAATTGCTACTTTGGATTCGGACATCTTTACAAAGTTCCAGTGGTTATGCTATCAGCTTTGCCACAAATTGTATGGTTTGATGACATACTTGGAAACCCAATGTCAAATGCATATACAGTTCATATGGAGACAAAAGATGCACGAATTGTAACATTTTGGGATCGAGTGACAAATCATTTTTGGGCTCTTTATGGCAATTACAGATTTTACAGATCCACAGAAGAATATCAAACCAACGCCATGAGAAAATATTTAAGTCCAGATGTACCAAATGTTAGGGAACTAGAAAAGAAGACAGCATTGCTTCTTGTTAATGCCTATCAGAGTTTTTTTGGTATAAGACCTTTAACACCTGCTGTAATTCCCATTGCTGGCATTCATGTTGAACTAAGTGAAGCAAAACTATCACCGGTATGATAATCACATTAATAATAATATTTTCAATTTTAAAATAATATTTCCTCTAAATGCAGGAACTGAAAGTCTGGATGGATGAAAGTACTCACGGTGTAGTATTTTTCACTTTGGGATCTATGGTAATTATCGAAGATTTTCCAAAAGAAATTTTATTAGGACTCTATGGGGCTTTTGCGAAATTAGCACCAATTCGAGTTCTTATGAAAATAGTAAATGAAGAGAAACTTCCTCCGGGTTTGCCGAAAAATGTTTTGACAATGTCATGGATTCCTCAGATTCCAGTTTTAAGTAAGATGAATTTTATTAATTAAAACAAAAATTTAAGTGTTTGAAAAATAAAAGAAATTAATAGTTTAAACATTTTTTTAGAACACAAAAATACGAAAGTATTTATGACTCATGGCGGATTACAAAGTGTTCAAGAAAGTCTTTACTTTGGTGTGCCAATGATTGGTTTTCCACTATTTGGCGATCAGCCATTAAACATTCGGTTGCTTGCTGAAAAGAATGTAGTTTACAAAATGGATTATAAAGATATTACAGAAAAAACTTTAAATAAAGCTCTGAATGCAGTTCTCCATGGTACTAAGTATCGGTACGATATTATAATCAAATTTTTGTAAATTAAATTCATTTTTGAATTTATGTTTAAAATTAATTAATTATTATAGGGAAGCTGCTAAACGTGAATCTCAACTTTTTCGTGATCGCCCAATGAATGCAACAGAAACAACAGCTTTTTGGGTTGAGTATATTATAAGAAATGGTGCAAATTCTTTACGATCACCAGCAATGGACATGCCTTGGTGGAAAGCCGAACTAGTCGATGTCTACTTATTTTTCTTTATTTCTATTCTTTTAATAAGCTACATTGCTATTTTTGTTTTGAAAAAAATTTGTTGTCTAATGTGCAGTATTTTAAATTCAAATTCTCAAAGTCATAGGAAAAAGGATTAATAGTTATCCATTTGATTTAGAACAATTATTAAATTAAATTTTTATTTTTTGTTAATAATAAAATAATACTTATTTTTATTTAGCTATTTTAATAGATGATAATTATTTATTTTGAAATTAAGTTTTTAATTTATTATTTAATTTATTGCATCAGTTTCTCTACGAGAAAAGTGTTTGATGAATGTATGAACTGTTTTATTTAAATAAGAGACATGCAATTTAGCATGATTAATCGAATTTAAAATTATTTATCTCTTTATAAACAAATTATTTTTATTTGCTATATTTCAAATAAGGATTTAAGCATCGTACTATTCTCCTCGATAAGATAATAAATTAATGAATCATAAGAATTCATTTAATAGGATACGTAGTTTATAATGTTGGTCAGTTTAAAAATAGCAGTTGACTGGAGTTGTTATTAAATTACTACAAACATCTAAAGGGGAAAAATGATTTCCTTTAAGGACTTTTATTTGTGTTTATTTTCAATATATTTAATTAGTTCAAACAGTGATGCTTATAGGATTCTTGTTATTGCTCCTCTCAATTCAAGAAGTCATAGTAATATGTTGGAAGGTGTCGCTAAAGCTTTAGCAATAAAGGGACATCAAGTAGACGTTATTTCCCATTTCGAAATGAAAAATGCACCAAAAAATTATACAACAATTATAAATTTGGACGGTTCAATGAAGAAAATGGTTAATACTTGGACAATGGACATGGTAGAGCATTATCGAGATATTGATGTAGTTCCTACAATAGTTAAAGATTTTGGAAGTAATTTTTGTGAATTAATGGGTCTAGAAAAAATGCAGAGGTTTATTAAAAATCCACCACGTGATCCTCCATATGATTTGGTCATTACAGAGGTATGCAAATTTATTTTCGTTTTTTAATAAAAATATTCTGTTATAAATATTATATAATTTGATAATAGTTATAAATTAATGAAAATAATTCAATATCAAATATATTTTTATGTTCGAATATTCAGGCTTTAGGAGGAAATTGTTTCTTTGGATTCGGTCACGTTTTGAAAGTTCCGGTTGTCATGGTATCAGCTTTAACTCACTTTTTATGGTTTGATGAAATACTTGGAAATCCAATGTCTAACGCTTACGCAATTAATTTAGAGACAAAGAATTCAAGAATAGTCACATTTTGGGATCGAGTAAAGAATCAATTTTGGGCTCATTACGGTAACTACAGATTTTACAAATATACAGAAGAATATCAAACTATGGCAATGAGAAAATATTTAAGTCCGGATATTCCAAATATAAGAGAAATTGAGAAGAAGACATCTCTGCTTCTAGTCAACGCGTATCAGAGTTTTTTTGGTATACGACCTTTAATTCCTGCTGTGGTCCAAATTGCTGGCATTCAAATTGAACTCAGTGAAACAAAAATTACACCGGTAGAATAATGTCAAATATGTATTAATAATAATAGTAATATTTTCATGAATGAAATATTTGTAAGTTGTTATATTTTTGCTTTGAACACAGGAGTTAAAAATTTGGATGGATGAAAGTACTCACGGTGTAGTATTTTTTACTCTGGGATCAATGGTAATTATCGAAGATTTTCCAAAAGAAATTTTATTAGGACTCTATGGGGCTTTTGCGAAATTATCACCAATTCGAGTTCTCATGAAAATTGTAAATAAAGAGAAACTACCTCCAGGTTTGCCGAAAAATGTCTTGACAATGTCATGGATTCCTCAGATTCCAGTTTTAAGTAAAATGAATTCGATTAATTAAAATTTTGTTTCTATTTGGAACAAAAAATTATTAGTTTAAAATTTTTTAATATTTTTTAGGACACAAAAATACGAAAGTATTTATGACTCATGGAGGGTTAAATAGCGCTCAAGAAGGCCTCTATTTTGCTGTGCCAATGATTGGCTTTCCTTTATTTGGTGATCAGCCATTAAATATTCGTCTGCTTGCTGACAAAAATGTCGCTTATGAAATGGATTATAGGGATATTACAGAAAAATCTGTGAATAATGCTTTGCGTGCTGTTCTTTATGATCCTAAGTATCAGTAAGTTTTAATAAATTAAACTTTTAAAGTAGTGTTTATAAGATATTCTAAAAACATCTCAGTATGCAATTAATTATTACAGAGAAGCTGCAAAGCGTGAATCTCAACTGTTTCGAGATCGACCAATGAATGCAACGGATACAGCAGTTTTTTGGATCGAGTACATTATAAGAAACGGTGCAAATTCTTTACGATCACCATCAATGGACATGCCTTGGTGGAAAGCCGAACTAGTCGATGTTTACCTCTTTTTTTTCATTTCAATTCTTTTAATAAGTTACATAATTTTTCTTATTTTAATGAAAATTTCTTGTCTAATTCGCAGTATTTTAAATCCTAATTCTCAAAATCATAGGAAAAAGGATTAAAATGTATATATTTTGATAGAACAATATTAAGTCTATTTTAACATCATATTTATTGAAATTGTAATAAAACTTTTTTATTTAAAAAACAGATGTTTAGTTTTTTAAAAGTTAATAAACAATAATCGAAACCACTATGTAAATAATTATCTTTTGCATTATATTATATCTGACGTAAAATAGTGTGTTAATGATAAGAATCATACGAAATGTAGCAAAAGTGCACTCAAGTCAAAATAATTTGAATATACAGTAGATTATCAGCTGTCGAGCATATAACCGATAAATAAAACTGTGAAAAAAAATTTAAGATTAATCGAGCTATTTCATCAATTCAAATTTGAATTAACGGATAAAATGAACTGTTTTTATCATATTTTATTAATTTTCACTCCATTACTAATTTTTGGAAACGCCTACAGAATTCTGTTTATTTGTCCCTTTAATTCACCTAGTCACAATATTTTTTTGGAAGGCGTTTCGAAAGGATTAGCTAAACGGGGTCATCAAATCGATGCCATTTCCCACTTTAAACCGAAAAATCCTCCAAAAAGTTACAAAACATTCATCGATTTAAATGGTACGATGGCAAATATAAAAAATAATTTTACATTTCAATTCGCCTCTCACATAGGACAAAATATAGTTCCAATCATTGCCGATGTAGGTGGAAGAGATACTTGCGAACTTATGGGACTCAATGAAATGCAGATGTTAATAAAGAATCTATCAAACCATCATTCCTATGATTTAATTATTACCGAGGTATATTTCATATAATTTATATTCTGACGTAATATAAGAATAATTTTTATTATATAAAAATATAATATTAAAATTTTCATCTAGAAGAAATGTTTATGTTTGAATTTATCAATATTTTTAGGCATTTGGATCAAACTGTTACATGGGTCTTAACTATGTTTTTAAAATACCTATAATAACCGTTTCAACAAGTTTAGAATATTCTTGGATTTCTCCAGGAGTCGGTAATCCAGATTCAACGGCTTTTGCTCCAAATGTTTTGATGGATTCTGCCGAAATATCGACATTTTGGGAACGATTGAAAAACACATTAGTGACGCAATTTAGTAGAAATCAATTCTACAGGTACACATACAGCGTACAAACAAATGTGATGAGAAAATATTTGAGTTCGGAAATTCCAGATATTAGGGAAATCGAGCGGACTGTAGCATTAACTTTTGTCAATTCTTTCTATACTCTGTTTGGCATTAGAATCAGAACACCGGCTCTTGTTGACATTGCTGGAGTTCACATTGAAGAGAACGACGAAAAATTATCTCGCGTGAGAAATTTCGTTTTTTTTAGTCTATATTCTGCTATATTTAATTTACTCCCAATATTTATATTTGGATATCAATTTGAAAATTAACATTAAGTAATTAAAAAGTTCTTTTTAAAGGATCTTCTAAAATGGATGGATGAGAGTAAAGATGGCGTGGTATATTTCACAATGGGATCGATGGTTTTGATCGAGACACTCCCGAAAGAAACACTTTTGGCATTTTATGCGTCTTTTGAAAAATTATCACCCATTAGGGTTCTTATGAAAATTGTAAATCCAGAAAAATTACCACCGGGTCTGCCAAAAAATGTCCTGGCCATGAAATGGATTCCACAAATTCCAATTTTACGTAGGATAATTTATAGAAATTTTTACATCACTGATAAATTTTAAATAAAAGCGTTGGAGTTGTAAAACTTAACGATTTTTTTAGAACATAACAATACAAAATTATTTATTACACATGGAGGTTTATTAGGCGTGCAGGAGGCTCTTTATCATGGGGTTCCAATAATTGGAATGCCGATATATGCAGATCAATTTTTCAACATTCGTATTCTCGTTAAAAAGAACATGGCTGTTCGTTTAGATTACAAAAAAATTACAAGTCATTCTTTGAATAATGCACTGAATCTTGTTCTTTATAATCCACTATACAGGTAGTAAAAAAAATTATTTCTATTATTATAATGAGAAATTTAATAATAAATAAATTTCAGGAAATCAGCTAAATATGAATCGCAATTATTTCGAGATAGGCCAATGAGTGCAGGCGATACGGTGGATTTTTGGGTCCGATATATCATTAGAAATGGAGAAAATGCTTTAAAATCACCAGCAGTTAATTTATATTGGTGGCAAATTGAACTTCTAGATGTTTATGCTTTTATTTTAATCTCTATTATAATGACTATTTATTTAGTTATCTTAATTTTTAAATTTATTCCACGAGTGTTGTGCAAAAATTCGAAAAAATTAACAGTTCATAAGAAAAATTAGTTAAGTTATGAATTACAACTTTATCACTTATAAACAATTAATTTACGTTTGATACATATTACATAACATCTTAAGTAACACTATTACCCACGATAAGATAATAAATTCCTGTTACATAAGAATGATTTTTTAAAAGTCGCGTAGTTAATAATAATGATCAGTTTAAAAATAGTAGTAGATTGGAGTTACTATTAGTGATAAGTAAAAGTTTATAAAAAAAACTATGATTTTGTTTCATAAATTCTACTTGTGCCTATTTTCATTATATTTTATTAGTTCAATTAGTGATGCTTATAGGATTCTCGTTATTGCTCCTGTTAATTCAAAAAGTCATAGTAATATGTTAGAAAGTGTCGCTAAAGCTTTAGCATTAAAGGGACATCAAGTAGATGTTATTTCACATTTTAAATTGAAAGATCCGCCTAAAAATTACACAACAATTATAAATTTGGATAGTCCATTGAAGAAAATGGTAAATACTTGGACAATGGAAATGGTAGAACTTTATCGAAATATTGATTTAGTTCCCGCGGTAATTGAATATTTTGGAAGCAATTTTTGTGAATTAATGGCAATAGAGAAAATGCAGAGGTTCATTAAAAATCCTCCAAATGATCCTCCATATGATTTGGTAATTGTAGAGGTTTGCAATTTTTAATTAATTTTTCGATAAATCATTATACATTATGATTAATATTTTTTTGATATCAATTAAATATTTTTATCAGGCTTTGAGGGTGAATTGTTTTTTTGGATTTGAGCATATTTTAAAAGTTCCGCTGGTAGTGGTGTCAGCATTAAAAGAATTTTTATGGTTTGATGAAATACTTGGAAATCCAATGTCTAACGCTTATACAGCTAACACAGAGACAAAAAATTCACGTATTGTCACATTTTGGGACCGAGTGAAAAATCACTTTTGGGCACATTATAATAATTATAGATTTTTTAAAAATACAGAAGAAAATCAAACAGTGTCCATGAGAAAATATTTAAGTCCAGATATACCAAGTATTAGAGAAATTGAGAAAAAAGCATCTTTGCTTTTAGTGAATGCATATCAGAGTTTTTTTGGTATATGACCTTTAATTCCTGCTGTGGTCCAAATTGCTGGTATTCAAATTGAACTCAGTGAAACCAAAATGACACCGGTAGAGAAAATATTTATTAATATTTTCAGTGAATATTTGTAAACTGTAATATTTTTTGTGAATACAGGATCTAAAAGTTTGGATGGATGAAATTATTTGAAAATTGAAGAAAGTTTAAAGTAAAACTTATTACAGGGCACAAAAATACAAAAGTATTTATGACTCATGGTGGAATAAATAGCGTTCAAGAAGGACTTTATTTTGCTGTACCAATGATTGGTGTTCCACTTTTTGGCGATCAGCCATTAAACATCCGACTGCTAGCTGACAAAAATGTTGCTTACGAAATGAATTACAAAGATATTAATGAAAAATCTTTAAATGAGGCACTTAATGCCGTTCTTTTTGATCCAAAGTATCGGTACGTTATTATAAATTAAATATTTTTAATTGAAACTAATTAAATTAATTATTGCAGGGAAGCCGCAAAACGACAATCTCATATTTTTCGAGATCGACCAATGAATGCAACGGATACGGCAGTTTTTTGGGTCGAGTATATTATAAGAAACGGTGCAAATTCTTTACGATCATCAGCAATGGACATGCCATGGTGGCAAGCCGAGCTGGTTGATGTCTACATCTTTTTCTTTATTTCCATCTTTTTTTATAAACTACATCGTGTTTCTTATTTTAGGAAAAATTATTACTCTACTCTATAATGTTTTAAATCCTTGTTCTCAAAGTCACAAGAAAAATGATTAATAATTATTTAATCATTTTTTCAAAACTATTATTTAATTATTTTTTAAATTCAAGTAATTAATTTAAATTTATTTTTCTAAGAAATGTAAAGATTATTATTGTCTTAATAAATTACTTATGAAGATATAAATGTCATTAACTCGTTCCAAGAAATCTATTCTTTTTTTGCAAACTCATCATCATCAACTGACAATGATAGAAAAGTTTAGAGATATTAGTAGTTATTAAAAATGGAAATACTTTGATAATAAATATATATTTTTTTTAAATTAATTATTAAATGTTAAATTTTTTTGATATTACATAGATATAATTATAATTTTTATGATTTTTCTAGTTAAAAACACATTTAAAAACTTTTCACATCTTCTATTTAAAAATTGTTTAATAAATTATTCATAAAAATTTCGATCACATCATCAATGCGACATTATTTTTTTTCTGATGAGTAATAGTTTATAGTTTTAATTATCTTATAGTTGTTTTTTTATCGAAAAAAATTGATAATGTGTTAATGATAAGAAGTATACTAAATGAAACAACGGTGGACTCAAGTCATTTTATTGACCATACATATAGTAGGCTATCAGCCTTCAACCATTTAACGGAAAAATACGACTGTCAAGAAAAATTGAGAATACTTTAATTGTTTCATAGACTTAAACTTGAACGGATCGGAAATTAAATCATTGATTAAAATTAAATATAAAAATTGTGATTTTTATTGACATTAATATTTAACAAAAAAAAGTCACATTAATATCACTTTTAATGATAATATCAACGATAAAATAAAATGAATTGGCTTTATTGGATTTTACTAATTTTTACTATATTAATAATTGGAGGTGATGCATACAAAATTTTGGTCGTTCATCCCTATAATTCACCGAGTCATAATATTTTTTTGGAAGGTGTTTCTAAAGGATTAGCTAATAGGGGTCATCAAATCGATCTTATTTCACACTTTAAGCTGAAAAATCCCCCAAAAAATTACAAGATAATCGTCAATTTAAATGGTACGAGGCCAAATGTAAAGAATAATTTTACAATTGATTTTGCCTCTCAAATAGGAACAAATACTGTTCCATTTATTGCGGGAGTATTTGGAAATGAAATTTGTGAACTTATGGGTCACAAAGAGATGCAGAAGCTGATAAAAAATCCCCCAATGGATCATCCCTATGATTTAATTATTACTGAGGTATTCAATTTATAATTAGAACATAATTTTTTTTGTAATCTTTATTCAATTATTTAAAGAAAAAATTTAATTATTGTTTTTAAATATATTGTGAACTTTTTTTTTAGGCATTCGGATCAAGCTGTTACATAGGTCTTGGATATGTTTTTAAAGTGCCTGTAATAACAGTTTCATCATGTTTAGAATATTCGTGGATTTCTCCAGGAGTCGGTAATCCGGATTCAACGGCTTTTGCTCCCGACGTTTTGATGGATTCTGCTGAAATATCGACATTTTGGGAACGATTGAAAAACACATTAGTGACGCAATTTAGTAGAAATCAATTCTACAGGTACACATACAAAGTACAAACAAATGCGATGAGAAAATATTTGAGTTCGGAAATTCCAGATATTAGGGAAATCGAGAGGACTGTAGCATTAACTTTTGTCAATTCTTTCTTTACTCTGTTTGGCATTAGAATCAGAACACCGGCTCTTATTGACATTGCTGGAGTTCACATTGAAGAGAATGACGAAAAATTATCTCCCGTGAGTGTTTATTCTGCTTTATTTAATTCTGTAATTTTTATTTGTCATTTTGAAAATTTCTACTAAATATTTAACAAAAGTTTTTTTAAAGGATCTTCAAAAATGGATGGATGAGAGTAAAGATGGTGTGGTATATTTTACAATGGGATCGATGATTTTGATCGAAACACTACCGAAAGAGACAATTTTAGAATTTTATGCGTCTTTTGAAAAATTATCACCAATTAAGGTTCTTATGAAAATTGCAAATCCAGCAAAATTACCACCGGGTCTTCCAATAAATGTCCTGACCATGAAATGGATTCCACAAATTCCTGTTTTACGTGAGACAATTTTTAATTAATCTATTAGCCATATATGTCTATTCATTCGTTGTGAGGATAAAATTTTTAAATCTTTTTTCAGAACATAAGAATACAAAATTATTTATGACACATGGAGGTCTGATAGGGACTCAAGAAGCTCTTTATTATGGGGTACCAATGATCGGAATGCCGATATATGCAGATCAATTTTTCAACATTCGTATTTTCGTTAAAAAAAATATGGCTGTTCGTTTAGATTATAAAACAATTACAAGTCATTCTTTAGATAATGCACTGAATCTTGTTCTTTATAATCCAATCTACAGGTAGAAAAAAAAATTCTTTCTATTTTTATTTTGAGAAATTTAATAATAAATTAATTTCAGGAAATCAGCTAAATATGAATCTCAATTATTTCGAGATAGGCCAATGAGTGCAGGTGATACGGTGGATTTTTGGGTTCGATACATTATTAGAAATGGAGGAAATGCTTTAAAATCGCCAGCAGTTGATTTATATTGGTGGCAAGTTCAACTTCTCGATGTTTACGGTTTCATTTTACTCTGTTTTATAATGACAATTTATCTTATTATCTTATTTATTAAATTCATGTCACGATTGTTGTGCAAAAATTCGAAAAAATCGCGTGTTCATAAGAAAAATGAGTAAAGTAATTTTTACTATATATCAAATAAAATGTTTAATGATATATAATTACTACATTCGTTGACAAGTGCATAACTATAATAATTAATAGATAATAATAATTTTTGTTGAAGGCTGTGACAATACTTAATAAAAAAAACATTGATCTATTAAATAATATTTTTTCAAATTTAAAAATTACAGAAAAAACTGTATTGTTTGTATTAAAAGTATTAGAGATTATACAGGTATGACATTATATAAATGAACAATAAATGTCCATCGTCTCCGACATTTAATGAAAATTTTTAAAAATATTAATATTTTTAGCATTAATTGTTTATTATTTTTCAAAAAAGAAAAATTAATGCTATTTTAATTAAAACTTTAATTTTTCTGATAAACATTTTTGAAATTCATTTGTTCATTATCTTGAACTTAAATAGTATTAATGAATTAAACATGATAAAAATATGTTTTTCTTGCTACTGCGAAGAAACTAGAATCGACACAAAGAAAAAAAATATATATTAGAAACGAACCAATTTTTTTTTATTAGTGTCTTTTTTTTATCAACAATGGACAATGATAAAATCCGGTATTAACAAACAATATAATAAAAAATAATAGCTGCAAAATTATAAATAAATTAATAAAGCAAAAAAAAAAAATAAAATGAAATATAAATAATAATATGATAATAATATTATACTAAAGTGATATTTTTCCGCTTAATTAATTTAATTTAATAAATGGGTAGTTTCGGGCAAAATGAATTTTTTATTTAAATTATTTCTTGTGTTAATAATTAATAATTGTGAATGTGATGGATATAGAATTTTGGCAATTTTCCCCTATAATTCGCGAAGTCATAATAATGTTTTCGAGGGTATGACACGAGGTTTAGCTAAACGTGGTCATCAAGTTGATGTTGTTTCACATTTTGAAATGATAAATCCACCAAAACATTATCGGACAATAATTAGTTTGTCAGGTACGCGAAATGATGTTGTTAATAATTTTACAATTGAATTTGTCAATGAACTAGGAAATTTTGTTCCTATAATTTCACGAATATTTGGAAATGAAATATGTGAATTGCTTAATCTCAAGGAGATACAGAAATTAATTAAAACACCTCCAAACGATCCACCTTATGATGTTCTCATTACTCAGGTTAATTAACTAATTATTAATTAGCCTAATTAATTTAATTATTCTTAAGATTTTTATTAAAAATTATTTCTGTAATTGAAATTTTTTTCTATACCCTAAAAAATTAATTATATCTGTTACAGTCATTTACAGCAAACTGTTTCTTAGGAATAGGTTTTATTTTAAAAATTCCAGTGATAACTGTGTCAGCATCCTTGGAATTTCCCTGGACCAGTTCTGCTATTGGAAATCCTGATTCTATTGCATTTGCTCCAAATGTATTGATGAATTCAGCGGAAATTTCAACATTTTGGAAACGAATGAAAAATTTGATAATAAATTATCGAAGTGTGTTACAATTTCGTACAATCACCGAAGAAATACAAACGGAAATGATGAGAAAATATTTGAAATTCGATATGCCCGATATTCGTGAAACAATGAAAAGCACTGCTCTTACATTTGTTAATTCATTTCACAGTTTATCGGGAATTAGAATTAGAAGTCCAGCTCTAATTGACATTGCCGGAATACATTTAGAGGATGCTCCTTTAACAGTGTCAAAGGTTTTATTTTTAATAATAATTAAAAAAATAAAATTTTTATTCGAAATTGAAAATTTTATTTTTATAATAATTATCTTTTTTTTTCATTAAAGGAACTAGGGGATTGGTTGGATGAGAGTAAAAAAGGTGTCGTTTACTTTTCATTGGGTTCTTTAGTGGTAATTGAGACACTTCCCAAAGAAACGCTTCTTGCGATTTTCTCGTCTTTCAAAAAAATTGCCCCTGTTAGAGTTGTGATGAAAATCGTCAATAAAGAAAAACTTCCTTTCAGTCTACCCAGTAATGTTTTAGTTTCAAAATGGATTCCTCAACTTCAAGTTTTAAGTAAGCAAAACAAAAATATTTTCTTTTATTTATAATAATTTTATCAAATAAGTGATAATAGTCTAAACGATATTTTTTTTAGAACACAAAAATACAAAATTATTTATCACACATGGAGGTTTAATGTCAACATTAGAAGCATTGTACTATTGTGTTCCATTAATAGGAATTCCATTGTTTTATGATCAATTTTTTAATGTTGGTATATTGGTGAAAAAAAATATGGCAATCGAATTAGATATCAATAAATTAACTGAACATTCTCTAGATAAAGCTTTAACAGAAATTCTAAACAATCCGATATACAGGTATAAATATTCTTCACTATTACATAATAGTTCAAATTAAAATGTTCAAATTAATTTTTTTAATTCAAAAAAAGTTAATTTTTTTGCAGAAAAAATAAACATTTATTTTTTACAGGGAATCGGCAAAATACGAATCTCGTCTATTTCACGATAGGCCAATGAATTCAACAGAAGCTGTGAATTTCTGGGTGGAATACGTGATTAGAAATGGACCAGATTCTTTAAAATCACCAGCAGTTAATCTCTATTGGTGGCAACATAATCTTCTCGACGTTTATGGATTTTTAATATTATGCTGTTTTTTGCTAATGTATTTCCTTTTTATTTTTTTAAAATATGTTTTACATTTCATTTTAATTTATAATTTATAATTTTTAATTTTAATTTATTGTTCTATATAGAATAAATAATTTATCACACGTTTTCTTTTATCTAAATATTTTATTAATAAATTTTTTTTAAGATAAAGGAAATGTAAGTATAAATTATTATTTTCAATTAAAATTCATTTACTAATTATTTAAAATAAAGAATATTTATCAAAATTTCCTTTCATTATTTTTCCATATTTTTTGTATGTATTATTTTTTGTTTCTATTTTTTTTTTACTATTGTTTCGATTCTATTTTAAAATTAAAAACATTTTCATTCGGTACATTTGAAAAAAAAATCGCTTTTCCCACAAAGTGATGTTGAAATTTCCAAAGTTATCTTTTTCTACATAAAAACATGTTACGCAACTGAAATAAATTGCATATACATTAATATTCTTCATGAGATCAATGTGGCAAGTCAGTCTCATTATTGAATTGCCTGATACCTGTTCTTAAAATCCGTTTAGCATATTCGATTTATAAATGTGATACTTGTTTTATTTTCATTGAAACAAAAAAAAATGAATTTTCTTTCTTTAATTATTTTCTGTTTCTTTTTTATAAACGAAATTCATGGCTACAGAATTTTGGCAATATTTCCATTTAATTCACGTAGTCACAATAATGTTTTTGAAGGTGTAACGCGTGGTTTAGCTAAACGTGGACATCAAGTTGATGTTGTAACACATTTTGAAATGAAAAATTCACCACCAAATTATCGGACAATTATAAATTTATCCGGTACCAGAAGGAATGTAGTGAATAATTTTACAATTGACTTTGCATCACAACTTGGCGATGACCTCGTGCCATTAATTTCTGTCTTTTATGGAAATGAACTTTGTGAGTTACTCGCTCACGAGAATATTCAGAAACTTATTAAAAATCCTCCAAGGGATCCACCTTATGATATTTTAATCACTGAGGTTGGTTTTTAAATTTTTTAAATTTTAAAAAATTTTTAAAAATTTTTAAAAAGTTTTTTATAATTTTTCTATGCTTCTTCTTAGGCATTTACAGCAAATTGCTTTATAGGAATTGGACATATTTTAAAAGTACCAGTAATAACAGTTTCTTCATTATTGGAATTTTCTTGGACAAGCGATCATGTTGGAAATCCAGATTCAATAGCATTTGCGCCAAATGTTATGATGGATGCGGCAAAAATTTCAACATTTTGGGATAGGTTGGAAAATACAATAATAACATATCGTAGTAAATTTCGTTTTTTTTCAATTACTGAACAAGTACAAACTGAATTGATGAGAAAATATTTAAGTTCAGATATGCCAAATATAAGGGAAGTGGAAAAAAGTACTGCTCTAACATTCATTAATTCTTTTCACACATTATTTGGTATTCGAATAAGAAGTCCTGCTTTAATTGATATCGCGGGAATACATGTGGAAGACAGTGACGTTACAGTATCCCCGGTGAGAGAATTTCTTTTTTTTTTTTTTTTTAACTGAAATGGTTAAAAATAGAACAAATTGGTAAATTATAACACTTAGAAAAATATGCTATTGAATCAACAGCATTTCTGTAAAAGGTATAAAAATTATTAATTCAAGAGCATATGCTATAAAGTAAAATTTTTTTTATAGATTTTATAGCATAAGCTAATTTTTATATACCTTTGGCAGAAATGCTATTGATTTAATAGCATATTTTTTTCATTGTGCAATTACAAAAAATTGTAATGATAAGATAAATTAATTTAATGAATTAATTTCATAAAAAATAGTAATTTTAGTTTAGAATCTTAATTTTTAGAGTCTTCAGAAATGGTTAGACGAAAGCCCTCAAGGAGTGGTTTACTTTACACTTGGTTCAATGGTTTTAATCGAGACTCTACCAAAAGAAACACTTCTTGAAATATATTCAGCTTTTGAAAAAATAACACCTGTCAGGGTTCTCATGAAAATTGCAAATAAGGATAAATTACCACCGGGACTTCCCAATAATGTACTAATTTCTGATTGGATTCCACAACTTCAAGTTATGCGTAAGAAAAAATGCTCCTTTAAATTTAATTTCTTATTTTCTAAATTCACAATTCAATATAAAAAATTTGCCCTTTTTCAAACTTATTATAAATATGTAATTTGCATTTATAATTTTGTATATGACAAAATCGATAAACAATATTTTCTAATAGGTAATTAAAATGTTATAATAATATTGAATTTAAATAGTTATTAAGTCAATATAATTACCATCTGAATTACATTTCATGTGTTTCTGACAGGACATAATAATACAAGATTATTCATAACACATGGAGGATTAATTTCAACTCTCGAGGCATTATATAATGGCGTTCCTTTAATTGGATTACCGTTATATGCTGATCAATTTTCCAATATTCGCATTTTTGTTAACAAAAATATGGCAATTAGATTGGACTATAAAAAATTGACAAAGAAGTCATTGGATCATGCTCTCAATGAGGTTTTAAATAATCCAAAGTATCGGTGTGTATTTTTATATAAGACACTTTTTTTTTTGTTTATTTATAACAACTTCAATAAAAAAATTTGCAACTTAAAAGGTAATTTCATAGAAAAATTGCAAAAAAACTATTAATAATATCTTTTTACAAACAGAGAGGCTGCAAAATATGAATCAAAATTATTTCGCGATAGACCAATGACAGCGACAGAAACTGTTAATTATTGGGTTGAATATATAGTCAGGAATGGACCGAATTCTTTAAGATCACCAGCAGTCAATCTCTATTGGTGGCAATTGGCCTTACTTGATGTTTATGGATTTTTATTACTGTGTAGTATCATCACAATTTATTTGTTTTTGTTTATTATTATACGCACTATTCGGACTATTTTGAAAAGAATAATGCCCACCACAAAATCTCACAATAAGAAGAAAAATTAATTTTTCAAAAATAAAAATTATTATTTATTAAATATTATTAATACGAAATTTTTATCACTTATTTTTGTACATTGCATGTGTATATAATTAGAAATAAATTAAGAAAATAGAAAAACATTTTCAAGGGTATATTTTTAGTAATTTTTTTTAAATCACTATTTAACTATTGATAAGGTAAAATATAATAACGTTAGTTACGAACAATCTATAATCGAAATGATTTGCTTTTTTTCAAAACTATTCTGAGATCATGTTAACTATATAAATGATTACTTAACAAACAAAAAAACATATCTTGCAACATCTATATATGATTTAAATTGATAAATAAATTCATTTACACAGAGAAACCTTTGGGTTATATACGTCTTATCTCCCATGTAGTGTCTTTCTAAAGGTGCTTTTATATCTCCAGTATTTTTGATGAGTGTATCAATGATTTTTCACGACCGTGATTGGCTTTACTAAAAATTTCGTGAAAAGTGGAAATTTTAATAGAGCCAATCACTGAATTTTCATGACCGTGAAAAATCATTTTGTCGCACCCGAAGAGGGAGAAAAAATAGTGGGAAACAAAAATTTTTACTACTCTAGACGAGCATACGATTCAAAAGATTTCTTCGTGTATTATTGCTTCAGTGTTAGTTTTTCACTTCAGCTTGAAACAATATATCTTTAAATTGTATATATAGAAAAATGAAATTCTATTCTTTTTTTATTATTTTGAGTTTCTTTATTATAATTGAAAGTGATGGATATCGAATTTTGGCAATATTTCCATTTAATTCAAGAAGTCACAATAATATGTTTGAAGGAGTGACTAAAGCATTAGCTCGCAATGGACATCAAGTGGATGTTGTCACTCATTATGAAATAAAAAATCCACCGAAAAATTACAAAACAATTATCAATTTAGATGGAACAAGAACAAAATTGGTGAATAATTATTCAATTGAATTCGCCCATGATTTAAAAGTGTCTATAATAAAATTAATTTCCGAATTATATGGAAATGAACTTTGTGATTTAATGGGCCTAAAAGAAATGCAAAATCTAATCAAAAATCCTCCAAAGGATCCTTCTTATGATATTTTAATCACTGAGGTATGCTATTTTATTTAATATTTTTATTTTTAAAATTATTTTCTGTTTTCTTTGCATCATGAAAAATTCTTTCAATAATAAAAAAAAATGTTACTTTTTTTTTTAGTCATTTACTGCACAATGCTTTATAGGAATTGGATACCATTTTAAAATACCGATTATTACAGTATTAACAACAATGGAAAATGTATGGATTAATTCTGCAATTGGAAATCCAAATTCGGCGGCATTTGTGCCAAATGTATTTAGTGAAATGATAGAAATTTCAACATTTTGGGATCGATTAAAAAATGTTATACAAATTTATCAAAGTAAATATGAATTTAACAAATGTACTGAAAAAGCACAAACAGAGGCAATGAGAAAATATTTGAGTCCTGATATGCCAAATGTAAGAGAAATTGAAAGAAAAGTATCATTGACATTCATCAATGCATTTTACAGTTTCAATGGCGTTAAAAGCAAAACTCCTGGTGCAATTGATATTGCTGGAATTCATGTTGAAGAAATTGATAATAAATTACCATCGGTTGGTTTAAAATTTTTAATATTTTTTTTTTTTCTTCTAAATTTTCTAAATCATTAATAAAAATTTTATTTTAATATATAAATAAAGGATTTACAAAAATGGATGGATGATAGTAAACATGGCGTTGTTTATTTCACATTGGGCTCAATGGTTGTGATTGAAACTCTTCCAAAAGAAACTCTTTTGATATTTTATTCAGCATTTGCAAAAATAGCGCCTACGAGAATTTTAATGAAAATTGTAAATAAGGAAAAACTTCCACCGGGACTTCCTAATAATGTTCGTATTTCTAATTGGATTCCTCAAATTCCAGTTCTGCGTAAGAATTTTCTTTTATTATTTTCTTTTTTAAAAACATTTCAATTTGCGAATTTAATTCAATTCAAATAATCTAATTAAATAAATTTAATATTAATACCTAATTTATTGATTATTAGGACACAATAATACTCGTTTATTTATGACACATGGAGGTCTTTTATCAACATTAGAGGCACTTTACCACGGCATACCTATGATTGGATTTCCTCTGTTTGGAGATCAATTTCTAAATATTCAACTTTTCGCGAAAAAAAAGATGGCAATTTTATTGGATTATAAAACAATAACGGAAGAATTATTAAATGATGCTTTGAATTCTGTTTTACATAATTCTACTTTTAGGTAATTTATATATATGATATTAGTTATTACAAAAAGTTAAAAAAAAATTAAAAAAATAATACAATTTTTTTTGCAGAGAATCAGCAAAATATCAATCACAATTATTTCGTGATAGACCACTAACAGCTGGTCAAACTGTTAATTTTTGGGTTGAATACATAATTAGAAATGGACCAAATTCTTTAAGATCACCAGCAGTCGATTTATATTGGTGGCAATTTGAACTTCTTGATGTTTATGGATTTTTATTGTTATCTTTTGTAATAATTTTATTTATTCTAATGAAAATAGTTAAATTTATCTTTTATAAAATTTTGAAAATTTTTACCGATGATGATTGTTGATTATCAAAATTTATTATATTTTAATTTATTTGTATTTTAATTTTTTTTTTGTAATTATCGAAATAAAAAATTATTTTTATTAATAAATTTCATTAAAATCATTTTATTTTCACATTGAAATCATTTTGTTTTCATATTGTGGGTATGGTAAACATTCTACTTCAAAATAAAGTGTATCCTTTTACAGAAAGGGAATAAACTTGATTGTTTATGACAGATTCGATTCGTGTCAATACAAGAACCCACTTTGTCATGCCTCTATGATCGAATTTCCAATATATCGTGCTTTTCAATTTACTATAATATTAAAATAAAATTATAATAGGAAATTTTTTTACAGAAATTTGTAAAAAAGAAACAAAAAATATTTCTAATGAGAATAAAATTAAAAATTTATTAATAATTTTAAAGAGTAAAGATTTTCCCTTACGGAATGTTTAATAAAAAGTTGAGAAAAATTCGATCATTGGAAGGAATAAAATAACATAAAAAATGTATGTTATTAATGTTTATTGCCACAAAACAAAAAACGACTTTTTGATGAATTGGTTCGTCATCATCTTCATGTTAAATCTAATAAAAATATTTATAATTTTATTTATAACACCACATTAACTTTTTTTTTAAATAATAAAAATACACAAGTAATAACAATTACATACAAATCCATACAAAAACACGATTGCAAACCGAAAGTAATATAATGACAGGTTCATTACCTCCTGCCGCCGTCAGATGGCAGCAGCATGCAGGGCGCACAAAGTCGCAGCTGTTATTAGATTACTTTTCTACTTTTTGTTTTGCAACCATGTTTTTCTATGGATTCGTACCGTCTTTTGGATTTAGGAAATTTATAAGATGAGGATTTTGGCTGATTTTGTTAAAAGTGTTTGTTAAAAATGGTTTTTTTTATTTAAGAACCATAATCAAAAAGAATTTTTAAGTGCCAACTCATTTTTATTTAAACCTCCTTCTGGCGTACCGTGTCCTTCCAATGATCGAATTTTCCTCAACTTTTAATTAATAATTTTGTTATGGATTATTATTGTTGGATAAAAAAATATTTTGAAATATTTTCATAATTTTGAGTGTCTAAGAGGAAAAAATAAATAATTTTTTTTTTTTTAATGCAATGTACAAATTAAAGACAAAAGAAATTAAAACCATTAATTTTTATCACTTTTTTTGTTTCTAAATGTTATCAATTTAAAGCAAGGTTGTTTCGACATTTTTTCATCGAGTATTTTCAGTTTGTATTTAACTTTACATTTTACAACAATGTTTTATATTTCGCAAATGTGAGAGACTTGCGATAAAAAAAAGTGATCAATTCAAAATTCATTATTTATATTTAAAATTTTTTTTTTTTTGCCGTAAAAATGGATTTTTACAAAAACATATTATTTATTATTTTATGCATTAAATTTTATAGTGAAACTTATAAAATATTAGCAATTTTTCCCCTAAATCCAAGAAGTCATAATATTATGTTAGAAGCAATTGTCAAAGGTTTAGCGAAAAATGGTCACAATGTCGATGTTATAAGTCATTATGAATTGAAAAATTCTTTAAAAAATTATAAAACAATTATAAATTTAAATAACACTTTAAAATCATCTATAAATTTTATGACAATTGATTTTGCATTTGAAATTGAAGAATATTTGATATCATTAATTGCCACAAATGGTAATCAAATTTGTGAATTAATGGCACACAAAGAGATGCAAAAATTTATTAAAAATTTACCAAATTATGATGTTGTCATCACCGAGGTAAAAATATGAAATTTTTTTTAAACAACAAAAGAATTACGGAAATTATTTATTTTTTTTAGGCATTTGCAGCGAATTGTTATTTTGGATTTGGATACATTTTAAAAGTACCTGTAATAATTGTTTCTACATTTTTAAAAGAATTTTCATGGCAATCGCACATAATTGGTAATCCAAGTTCAATTGCTTTTACTACGAATGTTTTGCTTAATATGGTGTTGCCTAAAACATTTTTTCAACGCTTAAAAAGCACTTTTGTTTTTTATCAAAGTAGATATATTTTTGAAAAAATTACTCATGTACAAACAGAAGCTATGAGAAAATATTTGAGTTCAGATATACCAAATATAAGAGAAATTGAAAAAACTGTTTCATTAATGTTTGTTAATTCACATCATACTTTATTTGCCATACGGCCTAACACTCCGGCTGTAATACCAATTGCTGGTATTCACATTGAAGAAAATGATGACGAACTATCTTTAGTGAGTTTTCATATTTGTTTTTTTGATATTTTATTTTTTGCTCTTAAAATATTTTCTATAATTTTTTTTTTCTATTCTAAAAGGAACTGAAAAAGTGGATGGATGATAGTATTCATGGTGTAATTTACTTTAACCTCGGTGCTATGATGCTGATTGAAAGTTTTCCTAGAGACACTCTTCTTGCTTTTTATGCATCATTTGCTAAAGTAGCTCCTATAAGGATACTCATGAAAATTGCGAGTGAAGATAAGTTACCACCAGGTTTACCTCAAAATATTTTGACATTATCATGGATCCCTCAAATTCCCGTTTTAAGTAAGATTAAAAAATTTCATTATTTTTACACTATATGGGACAAAAAAAAAAAAATTAAATTCCTTTGACGATAAAAATAATTTAAAAATTAAATTTTCTATAGAGCACAACAACACAAAGGTTTTTATCACTCATGGAGGACTAATGAGTTTACAAGAAGCAATTTACCATGCTGTACCTATGATAGGGCTACCATTTTTTATTGATCAATTATCGAATATTGAAATTTGTGTTGAAAAAAATATAGGCATTCGTTTGGATTTAAAAACATTAACTGAAACAAAATTAAATAATGCATTGAATCTCATTCTTAATGATTCAAAATACAGGTAAGTTATTTAAAAAAATTTAATAATTCCCTAGTTAATAATTGAAAAATTTTTGAATAGAAAAGCTGTTTTACGTGAATCGCGTCTCTTTAAGGATCGACCAATGAGTGCAATAGAGACTGCAAATTTTTGGGTTGAATATGTCATTAGAAATGGACCAAATTGTTTAAGATCACCAGCAGTCGATTTGCATTGGTGGCAAGTGGAACTTTTAGATATTTATGGATTTTTACTATTTCTTTTTATTTCAATACTGTGGTTAATTGTATTTTCTATAAAATTTATTGTTATATTTATTAAATCAACAAAGCTCGATATTGACAATAAAAAAAGAAGCTAATTATACAGAAAATTTTTAAAAAATTTGAATACTCAAAATTTTCAATCTCCGATTAGAAATAATTAAACTAAATTCACTATGTAGATAATGATTTTCTTCAAATGTACGGCATATTATAATAAGTACTGAGAGTGGAAAATTTTAGATTATCATCAAAATTAGGAGTACTAAAAATAATATTTAACAAATAAAACTGAATTGACTGCAGCTAATTGTCTTTTATCTTAAAAAATATTTTTAAAATTCCTAACAAAAAAAAAGCAATATCGAATTTAAATTGTACTTGAAATTTACAATTGCTTTTGCGTCATTTATATTATATTTGATATAGATAATAAAATTGTATAAAAGAGTGGGAAAACTTTATCAAATAAATAAATATTAAATAATGATATAATTATTTATAGAATATTACATCAGTAAAATTTACAACGATCAATGATTAAAAATACGAAAAATAATAAAATTTTATAGCCAAAAAATTTTTCTTTTAAAAGAATCATGAATTACAAAAATTTTTTACTGACAAAAAATTATAGTAATTTAGAAAAATAAAAATCGTTCATCATAAACATTGTGAATTTCATCGACATATGATTTTAAAATCGATAAATGGAATTTTTCAAAATAGAAAATAAATGATTTTTTAAACTAATTTTCATTTGTTGTTTTGACAATCTATAAATCAAATATAATAAATATAAAATTGAACTTATCAGTCTATTTACTATGTTTGTCAAACATTAAAAAAAAAAAATTTGCTAAAGCTTTTTGCATTAGTAAGCATTATGCAAACTGAGTATTCAAACTGATAATTCCTCTTTGCGCTGTACCATTACATTCTATCAGTCGAAAAAACATCGTTGCACTAAGCTCATTATCTTAACTTCGGAGTTTATATATATATATTTCAAAATAATTTTTTATATAATTAAAAAAAATGTATTTTCATAAATTAATTGAATTATTATTTATTAGTGGTGTTATTGTGGAAATTAATAGTTATAGAATTCTAGGTGTATTTCCAATGAATTCAAGAAGTCATAATAATATGTTTGATCCTTTAATGAAGGGTTTAGCAAAACGAGGACACAAAATAGATGTCATAAGTCACTTTGAACTCAAGAATCCTCCAGATAATTATAGGACAATTATTAATTTACATGGGACTAGACACGATTTAACCAACAATATTTCAGTTGAACATGCCTCACAAATTGGACACGATCCAATAATACATATTAGCACAACTTATGGCAATGAATTTTGTGAATTAATGAACCTTGAAGAATTTCAAAAAATTATCAAAAATCCAATACATCATTACGATCTCATCATAACTGAGGTAAAAAATAATATTTTTATTATTTTTAGAAATAAAAAAAAATTATATGAGAAATAAATTTATATCAAAATTCAGGCATTTAGCTCAAATTGCTATATTGGATTAGGATATGTTTTAAAAGCACCGGTAATAACAGTTTCAACATTATTGGATTTTCCATGGGTATCTGATGCCATGGGTAATCCAAGTTCAACAGCTTTTGCCACAAATGTCTTTATGGATAAAGCATTTGTCACAACGTTTTTTGATCGTTTAAAAAGTACATTTATTCATCATCATACAAAATATAGATTCAATAAATTAACTGATAAAATTCAAACGGAAGCTATGAGAAAATATTTGAGTCCAGATATGCCAAATGTCAGAGAAGTCGAGCGAAGTGTTGCTCTAATGTTTACAAATTATCATCATACATTATATGGACCTAAACCATTCACATCAGCAGTGATTCCAATAGGTGGAATACACGCCGAACAAAATGATGATCAATTCACACCTGTAAGTTTAGAAATATTAATTTTCTAATTAAAAAATTTTTTTTATTAATAACTAACATTAATTTTTAATTATGAAAACAATTTTTTCTACCTCCAAGGAATTAAAACAGTGGATGGATAAAACTACACATGGGGTCATTTATTTTAGTCTTGGATCTATGATTCTCATTGAGAGTCTCCCTAAAGACACTCTACTTGCATTTTATGCATCATTTGCTAAAGTAGCTCCAATAAAAGTGTTAATTAAAGTTCCAAATAAAGATAAACTTCCTTTGGGTCTTCCAAAAAATGTCATGACCTCACCTTGGATACCTCAAATTCCAGTTTTAAGTAAATTTCTATTTTTCATTTCTAAAAAAAAAAGAATAAGATAATTTTTACTACTTTCGGAGTAAAACGAGAACTGTCCGAAGTTTCTGCACATCTCTGGAAAATTTTACTCCAAAAATAGTAAAAATTTACTCAAGAAATATAGTAAAAATTACTACGGAAACAGTAAAATTTACTACAGAAATAATCAATTATATACTATTTTTGGAGTAAAAGTTGACAGAGATGCTGACAGTTCTCGTTTTACTCTGAAAGTAGTAAAAATTACTTTTTCTTCCATTATATTTTATATTTTAAAAATTAATTATTACTTGTAGAACACAAGAATACAAAGGTATTTATCACACATGGAGGATTAATGGGCACAATGGAAGCACTTTACAATGGCGTTCCCTTAATTGGTTTACCCTTTTTTTCTGATCAACAGCCAAATATGGAGATTTATGTTAAAAAAAATATGGCAATTCTATTGGATCCAAAAACAATTAATGAGAAAAAAATAACCGATGCTCTAAATAGTATCCTAACTGATCCGAAATATAGGTAATTTTATTTTAATGAAAAATTAATTAATTAAAAATTAATTTGGATATACTTCAAAAGTAGGGGAATTTTTTTTTTTTTCATTAAATTTTATATTATTTTCCTTAGGGAAGCTGCGAAACGTGAATCTCTTTTATTTCGCGATAGGCCAATGAGTATATTGGACACTGCAAATTTTTGGGTTGAATATGTCATTAGAAATGGACCAAATTGTTTAAGATCACCAGCAGTCGATTTGTATTGGTGGCAAGTTGAATTGTTGGACGTTTATGCATTTATATTAATTTCTTTTATAATCGTCATCTATCTTTTTGTATTTTTTATCAAAAAAATGGTTAAGATACTAAATAATTCATTGAAAAATTCTCAAAATTCAAAGAAAAATAAATGAATAAAAAAATAATTTTTTTTTTTTTAAAGTAATTAGGTAAATTAGGTAAAAAAGTAATGTTTATCAAAAAATTTTAATTCAATTATCCCCTTTTTCAAATCTTAATTAATAAGAGATTAATAAGTTGAAAATTCATTGAACTTTAATCCATGACCTTTAAATAAAAAATTATCATTATTTAATCAGGTATTTTTTTTGATGTTTGAAAATATTTAAAATTTATTTTATTAAATTTTATTTTAGTTTCAATATTTACCTTTATAAAATTTTAAATAATTTTTTTTTTCAAATTAAAACCTAAAAAATTCAATATATTTCTTTAATCATAATTACTAACAACGTTTAACGATTTAATTGTCATTAAAAAAAAAAAATATTCTTTTTTATTAATACCGAAAAATAAAATCCAAAAATTCATATTTCTTGATTATTAATCGACAGTTGTCACTATTTTTAATTTGAAACTGCATTTTTGATGATAGACAATTTTTATTCATTATTGCGTAATTCTAATGAGATAGAACATTGCACGCATTCTCTATATTGTCATCAACGAGTCATTTCTGAGGGCCAATTTATTATTCTAAAAATATGTCTCTAATTTTGCAAAAAAAATTCGCTCACAGAGGATAAAGAAAAAAATATTTTTGTAAAACGATCAGTCAGTGTCATAGAGAATAATGTTTCGTTTCTAGAAAACAATTTTTTTTTTCGGTGCATTGTTTTCTTTTTTAAAAAAAAAGAAAATTCATTAACAGAAGGATAGAATAAAAAATTATTCATTAATAGAAGAATAAATAATATTTATAAAATAAATTATTTAAGAAAAAAATTGCAATAAAAATAAATAATGCATTAAAAAGCAGAGAAAAATATTAAACCAATATTTTGTATAAGACGAATTAAAACAAGAAAAATTTTAATTAAAAACAAGAATTTAAAAGATTAAAAAATATTTATATTGAAAATAGAACAATAGAAGAGTAAAAATATTAAATTATTTAAACAAAATTAGTAAAGAGAAACAAAATTAGTAGAAAAAAAAAATTTCACAATAGAAAAAAAAAATAGAAAAAATATTTTAATCAAAATGAAATTAAAAATATATTTGACAATAATTTTGAATATTTTCTATTATTGCAATGGTTATCGTATTTTGGGAATATTTCCATTTAATGCAAAAAGTCATTTTATGATGTATGGTGAATTAATGAAAGGACTCGCAAAAATGGGACATCAAGTGGACGTGATAAGTCCATATCCATTGAAAAAACCCTATCCTAATTATTCGGATGTTATTGTTTATCCTCAAGTCACGCAAGGACTCGTGAATAATTTAACATATCGCGAGATGAAATTGTACACTTCTGGTACGCCAGTAGCATTTGTTGGTAGCGTTGCTGGTAATCAAATTTGTCAAGGTATGGCCGATCCAAAAGTTTTTAATTTTCTACAAAATCCACCCAATGATCCACCGTATGATGCAATTATTGTCGAGGTAATATTTTTTTAATTTCAATTTTTAATTTCAATTTCAATTTCAATTTCAATTTTTAATTTTTATTTTAATTTTTCATTTAATTTTAATTTAATTTCTGTTTTTTAAACGAGATTCAAAATATTTTTTTTTGATAAAATTGTTCTATCTAAATAGAATAAAATATTTTACTTACGAATATGTTGACAGAAAACTGGTTAATTCACTCACCTGTAACAGAAAACAAATATTTTATTAGAATAAAAAAAAAATTGAAATATTTCTATTTATTTTTTGCTGCATTTAAACAAATCATTGAACAATAATAAATTGTTATAATTTTAATTTTTATATAAATCAGAAATAACACATTATTAAATAAAATTCATTATTTTATAATGAATATTATAATTAAAAATTATTATTATTATTATTATTATTATTATTATTATTATTATTAGATTATTATTAGATTATTAAATAGTTTAATGAAATGTTATGTCATTGTAAATGTGGCTCTTTATTAAAATGACATAAGTTTCCAAGCAGACTGTATTATAAAAAAAAATTGCATAATCATTTATATCAGTTTAGAACATAAAAATAGCAAGTCATTGTTCTCTCTTTTTCTCTCTCTCTCTCTCTCTCTCTGAAGACTATTGATCTTATCAATAATTTATAGCTCGCGATTAATTAGCATATATTATCTATAGCGAAAAAAAAATCATAAGCTCCAATTGATTCATCATTTGTTTGAAAACAAATAAAAAAAAATTAAATATATTTTTTAATAAAATATTTTTTAAATAAAAATAATTGTATTATTATTTAAGAAATAACACAATTTTTATTATATAAATATTTAATTATTATTATTAATTATTATTTAAATTGATTAAGTTAATTTCTTTTTTGATTTGTTAAAACAAAATTTCAGATTTTTGGAGCACATTGTTTTTTGGCATTGGGTTCAAAATGGAATGTTCCTGTAATTGGTGCAAGTTCCGCTGTTCTTTATCCCTGGATGCATGATATTATTGCAAATCCCGAAAATTTGGCATTTGTCTCAAATAATTTAATAAATTATGCAGAGAATTTGGATTTTTCATCAAGACTCTATAATGTCATTAGTGCTAGTTTTAATAAATTTTATTTCAATTACATCACAGCTTCTCAAGATGAGATTATAAGAAAATATTTAGGACCAAATGCAATGGGTGTTAGAGAAGCAGAATCAAATGTTGCAATGATTCTTGTTAATTCATATTTTTCTCTAAATGGCGTAAGGCCATTTACACCAGCACTTATCGAAGTTGGTGGTCTTCACGTTCAAGACGAAAGTCCCGAATTGTCCAAGGTTATTAATTAATATTTTCTTTTTTTTTTTATTCTTTTACTTAATTAATAAATTTTTTTAAATACCAATTATCAGGATCTGAAAAAATGGCTCGACGAAAGTAATGAAGGTGTTGTATATTTTACATTTGGTTCAATGGTGAGAATAGAGACATTTCCCTTAAATATAATCGATAATTTTTACAAAGCATTTGCGAAAATTGCTCCTGTTCGGGTTTTAATGAAAATACCAAGAAAGGAAGATTTACCGGAGGGACTGCCTGACAATGTTCTCGTACTACCTTGGATGCCACAATTGAAAATTTTACGTGAGTCACAAATTATAAAGAATGATTTTTATGTTCACCCTAAAAAAAATTATACCCTGTATATCATCGCATTTTATTATATTCCAAAATTAAATTTAAAAATAAAAAATTCATATTTCCTTTTTGTAAGATGCTATTAAAATTAAAATAATTTATATAAACGAAATTTAACTACAACTCACAATCAATTTTAATAAGATTACTTAACTGGTTTTAATAAATTCAAAAAACTGGAGATTCAACTCTATACGTATAAATTAATTTAAATTGTCTTTCCTTATAAATTTTTCATAAAAAAAAAAATTAATTTCTTAAAAAAAAATTTCTATATTTTTAATAGAGAAAAAATTTATTTTTATAGAACATCCAAATGTAAAAGTTTTCATAACACATGGAGGTCTCATGGGAACTCAGGAATCGATATATTCTGGAGTACCAATGATAGGCATACCACTTTTTGCTGATCAATTTGTAAACATTGATTTATATGTATCAAAAAAAATTGCAATCAAATTGGATATTGACAATTTTAATGACAAAGATTTAGTTCATGCATTGAGTTCAATTTTAACTGATCCAAATTATAAGTGAGTATATAAATTATTCGTATTATATTAAAATGAAAAAAATAAATATATAAAATAAATTTCAGAAAAGCAGCAAAACGTATTTCTGAACAATTTAAAGATCGACCAATGACACCAATTGACACTGCCGAATATTGGATTAGATATATAATAAAAAATGGTAAAAATTCATTAAGATCACCGGCAATGGATTTATCATGGTGGCAATTGGCTTTACTTGATGTTTATGGATTTTTACTTCTCTCCTGTATTCTACTGTTGTTCTTAATTTACATTCTTGTGAAATTAATAAGAAACAATTTATTTAAAAATAAAAAAGTACCATTTTCTAAAAAAGTCAGATAACTAATTTTTTAATTATTAATAATTTTTAATTACTAATTTTTAAATTACTAATTTATTTATATTGTAAAAATATAATGTTGAAAATTTTGAAAATATTTATCAAATAAAAATCTCAGTATAATATATAAAAATTAGTTTTCAAATAAAATTCGCGACATTGATTATAATTCCCCCCCACCCCTCCACATATTTTTAAATTAATCCAATAATATTTTCCTTTAAAGCTGCTTGACATGAAAAGAGTGAAATATAAATAATCTTATCAGAATTTAATGAGTGTTTTTGTAGCTGAATAAGTTTTATATTTTAAAAATGAGAAGGGGAAAATCTTCGTTAGTTTAAAGGAAAAATGTTCTTTATTAGAACTATAGTGAGAAGAAGAGGAAGAAGAGTTTAAAAGCATTGTTGTGTTTACAAAATAGTTACCGGATCTTTTTAAAATATTAACGGATTGATTTCAATAACGGTAAAAAAAAAAAAAAATTTGCCTAAAAGAAAAGAAAATTCATTCAATATAAAAATCAATATAAAAATGCGTCTCATTAATTTTATGTGTATTTTATTATTTTGTTTTATAAATATTAATGAAAATAATGGATATCGAATATTGGGAATATTTCCATCAAATGTGAGAAGTCATTTTGTAATGTTTGAAAAATTAATGAAAGGTTTAATAATAAAAGGACATGATGTCGATATAATAAGTTATTTTCCACTCAAGGAGAAAATTAAAAATTATAAACACATTTCTGTTGATGAACTACTACCAGCTAAACATAATAATGTTAGTTTTCAAAGTTTTATAAAACCAATGAGAAATATTTTTTGGGTATCATTGGTCGCCGACGATATTGGAAATAAATTTTGTGATATCTTTAAACATCAACAAGTGAATGATATACTTAATAAATCTTCTCATGTGCCATATGACCTTGTTGTCACTGAGGTATTATATTTAAAAAAAAAAACAGTTGATTTCATCTTCATGAATCATCGATAATTATTTTTCTAAATCATTTCATTTTTAAAATTACTAATTCCACAGAAAATTAAAAGGCATTAAAATAAGCTGCAACGCTTATTATTATTTTAATTCAATTTCGCTTATTTTAATCCATTTTGGTATTAAAATAAGCAAAATTGGATTAAAATAATAAGCGTTGCAGATTATTTTAATGCCTTTTAATTTTCTGTGTCTTAATTAATATTTTTTATTTTTCCAGTTATTTTTTGCACCATGTTATTTTGCACTTGGTCGTTATTTAAATGTTCCAATTGTTGCAATGTCAAGTAATGCATTATTTGATTTTATGAATGATCCTTTTGGAAATCCAATAAATCCATCATTTATACCATCGGGTATGGTAACATATTCACAAAAAATGACATTTTGGCAACGACTCGTAAATACAATTTGCACGAATTTTATGAAAATTATATTCAATCGAAATATTCAAATACAGGACAAATATGTGGAAAAATATTTTGGACCTGGTTATCCAACTGTTTATGATTTACAAAAAGAAATTGCCTTAATACTTGTCAATTCACATTTTATATTCAATGGAATTCGTCCAATCACTCCTTCAATCGTTGAAGTTGGTGGAATGCACATTCAAGATGAGGGAGAAAAATTGCCACAGGTATGTGCATTTCAATATATAAAGATAGAGAAATAAAATTTCAATGAAATTTTTATTCAACAAAAAATTCCTAAAATTTTTATAATTCAAAACAGGAAATACAAAAATGGCTCGATGAAAGTGATGCTGGTTGTATTTATGTAACATTTGGATCAATGGTGAAAATTGAATCGTTTCCTGATGAAATTTTAGATGCATTTTACACTACTTTCCGAAATATCGCACCAATGAGAGTATTAATGAAAATTGCTAATGAAAAAGAATTACCATCTGGATTGCCAGAAAATGTAAAAACACATCATTGGCTACCACAACTCGAAGTTTTAAGTGAGTTTATTATTTAAAAAATTATAATGCAAATGAAACAAAAATTGTTTACTTTAATTTTTAGAGCACAACAATACCAAAGTTTTTGTTACCCATGGAGGCTTAATGGGAACAATGGAGGCAATTTATTACGGAGTTCCTATGATAGGAGTGCCTTTATTTGGAGATCAACATTCCAATATGCATCACTATGAACGACAAAAAATTGCCATCTTGATGAAACTTGAAACTATTACTGCTTCACGATTCACAAATGCTATTCAAACTATTTTAAATGTTCCAATTTACAGGTTACTATTTTTTTTTTTACAGCAAAACAAAAATTCTTGCTCAACAGAATATGAAATTTAAAATTATTAATTTACTACACTGAGAAAAAATATGCTATTAAATCAATAGCATTTCTGCCAACGATATAAATATTATTGATTCAAAAGCATATGCTATATAGAATCTATAAAATATTTTACTTTTATAGCATTTGCTTTTGAATCAATAATATTTATACCTTTGGAAGAAATATTATTGATTTAATAGCATATTTTTCTCACTGTATTATAGTTATTAATTATTATTATTATTATTCAGAGTATTTATGTTCCGGAGCCCCTAAAATTTTAGAAACGAAAAAAATTTTTAGGGGGGGGGGGATCTGGAACAAAAATCTCTTACTAAATATTATTATTATTATTAAATTCATAATTTCAGGACAACAGTGAAGAAATTATCGGAAATGTTTAAAGATCGACAGAATTCACCTTTGGAAACAGCAATTTTTTGGGTTGAATTCATTTGTCGAAATGGAAATGTTCTCAAATCACCGGCCATTGATTTAGAATGGTGGCAATTGAATCTATTGGATGTTTATGGATTTATATTATTCATTATTTTCATTACATTTTATATTATCTATTCTCTTTCAAGAATTCTGATAAGACTTTTACGAAGACTGAAATCTCATAAAAAATTCATATCAGGAACTGTAAAGAAGAACATGTAGATTATTCCATGTGTCTCACACACTCTCTATACAACTCTCTAGTCCATATTATATAAATATATAAAAATTTTACATTTTACAAATATATAAATAAATTTTTTTATTTCAATTCATAAATATATGTATAATTTTTGCTCCTTAATGCTATATATCAGATTAGAAGCTTAATTTTTGAAATTAAAAACTATTTTTAAAATTTGGGTGTATGTATCTATGTGTCATGTGCCTGTAAGACAAAGACGACAAATTTAACTTTGAATGGTATACACGTCACAGTGACAACCAACCAATGGGATAGTTACTATATTTTCGAGAAATTTCGAGTGATTATCGTTTAGAGATTTATTATATATATAATATCTGTGTACACTTATAACTAGTCATTAGTTATCAGTTTTTGATATTAATATGTCTCAAGAATATTTTATTTCTTTTTTACTCTTCATAAAGTACGCATCATATCATTTAAATTCGTCGCAATATTCTTTTTCGTTATTAATAAATCAAAAATTAAAAAAAAAATTATAAATTACTAAACAAATAATACTAAAAATAAATAATAAAAATATAAAAAAATAGTTAAATAAGTACAGAATATATCTATTAAAAATTAAAAAAAAGAAATATATATATACATATAAAGCAAAAAATGGGTTTACAAAAGATTTTCATGACATTGTTATTCATTGGGGTGTTGAATTTTGAATTTAACAATGGATACAGAATTCTTGGAATTTTCCCATTTCAGGGAACAAGTCATTTTGTTATGTTTGAAAAAATCATGAAAGAATTGGCAAGAAAAGGTCATCAAGTTGATGTTATTAGTCATTTTCCTTTAAAAGTGCCACAAGAAAATTATCATGATTTTAGTATTAAAGGAAGTGCTCCAGAAACAAAAAATAATGTCACATTTGAAGTGATTGAAAATATATCGAAATTTTTTGATATAAGAGATTTTTTACAATTGGAAATGAATGGACTTTGTGATATTATGGGACATTCAGTGATGCAAGATTTTATTAATGGACCACATAAAAATATATCCTATGATCTTATTATAATCGAGGTGAGAGTTTAATTATAAATTAATTAATAATTATTATTAAATTATAATTATAATTTTGTTTATAGATATTTATGAATCCTTGCTTTTTGGCATTTGGTCATCATTATAAAATTCCAATGATTGGAGTGACAAGCAGTATTCTTTATGAATGGATGAATGAACCATTTGGAAATCCAGCAAGTCCTTCATTAATTTTTAATTCGGAAAAAAATTCTTTTATTTCAAATTTTTATAAAAGATTAATTAATACAGTTAACAATTTTCGTGGGAAATTATTGTTCAATTATTATTCACAAGAACAAAATAAATATGTGAGAAAATATTTTGGTGATAATTTTCCAACTATTAATGAACTACAAAAAAAAGTGGCTCTAGTTTTGGTGAATTCACATCATAGTTTGACGGGTGTCAAACCATTGACAACATCTGTTATTGAAGTTGGAGGATTACATATTCAAAAAAATGAGGAAAACCTATCTGAAGTATTTTTCAAACAAAAAAAAAATGATAATTTTATAATTATTTTAATAATTATAGTTTATAATAATGAAATCAATAATTGTTTTTGCAGGATATTAAAAAATGGCTCGATGATAGTACAAATGGATGCATTTACATAAGTTTTGGATCAATGGTTCTTTTTGAAACATTTCCAATGTATTTACAAGACGCTTTTTACACAGCATTTCAAAATTTACCACATTTACGATTTTTAATAAAAATCAAAAATATTAGTGATTTACCGACAAAACTTCCGGACAATGTTAAAAGTTTCTCTTGGATTTCACAGTTACAAGTGTTTAGTAAGTTTAAAATAAACTTATTAAAGAAAATTAAAATTAAAACTGTATTTTAATGTAATTTTTATGACCCCTTAAAAAATTTTAAAGGGGTCATAAAAATCACGCTTTATAATTATTAAGAAATTAATTCTCTTTTAGAGCACAAAAATGTCAAGATATTTGTAACACATGGAGGAATGATGGGTGCATTAGAATCAATTATGAATGCAATACCAATTATTGGAATGCCATTGTTTGCTGATCAATCATTGAATCTCGAAAATTTGGTACAAAGGAATATTGCCATTTCGTTAAATTGGAAAACTGTTAATGGTGAACAACTTACAAGTGCCATTTCTCGTATATTAAATAATTCTATGTACAGGTAATATACATAACATTAAATTTTCATATAGTCGTAAATTTTCCACCCAACCATACAAAATTATATATATAGGGAAATATATTGGTTTAAATGTAAATATAATATAAATGTAAATGTTATGAAAATGTCAATCTATAAAGATAACTGAGCTTTTGTTTCTTCTACAAACTGCTGGTTCAATTAATTTCTATTTATGTTATTTAATTATATATTTTTAAATTTAATTTCTCTTTGTATTATAAAAATTACTTTTATAAAAATTACTTTTATTTAAAATTAAATGTTTAATTAATTATAAAAAATCAATAATTTGAATTTAATAATTAATTTTTAAATAATAAATATTTTAGAAAAAATGTTATGAAATTATCTAAATTATACATGGATCGACCGTTAAGTCCTTTGGAGACAGCAATTTTTTGGATTGAATATATTGGAAGAAATGGAAATATCCTTCAATCACCAGCAATAAAATTGAAATGGTGGCAGGTGGAACTTTTGGATGTTTATGGATTTTTGTTATTGGCTATTTTTCTTATTTTTTATATTATTTATTTTATTGCATTAAAATTATCAAAATTATTCCCTCCTTTTAAATACGGGCAAAAATTAATGTCAAAAAAGAAACAGTAAAACTGATCGATTTGAATATTAAAAAAAAAAATTTTTAATTTAACTGTAAATAAAAAATTGTTTTTAATTTTAATTTCTATTATTATTTTAAAATAAATAAATGTAATATTTTTGAAATTTTTTTTTTATAAAATAAAACAGTCTACGATTTTATATATATCTATTACGACCTTGAAGTTATGAAGTTCATTTCTGTTATCCCCCCCCCTCTCTCTCTCTCTCTCTCTTTGAAGATGTTACAAGACCATGTGATACTCTTGTCACACCATTCGAGATAATCGGTTTCATTATTGAAAGCTATTGAGAATAACAATAAATTTTAAGTGGAAAAAAAAATTATTCTTTAAAAAAAATATTCTAGTGTTAATTTAAACTCAGTGTTAATTAAATTCCAAAATGGGATATATTTTAACAATTATAACAATTGTCACTCTTGTTATTATTAATAATAGTGAAATAAGTGATGGCTACAGAATATTGGGATTATTTCCATTAAATGGTAAAAGTCATTTTGTTATGTGTGAACAATTAATGAAAACTCTTGCCAAAAAGGGTCATCAAGTCGATGTTGTTAGTCATTTTCCACTTAAAAAACCATTTTCTAATTATAGAGATTTTAGTTTAAAAGGTTCAATACCAAATGTTGTTAATAATTTAACTTTTCAACAATTTAACCAATTTACCCAAGGTTCTTTTAAACATTTTGTCGATATTACTGGAAATGAAATATGCAAGTTATTAAACCATCCAGTCATCAATAATATCATTAAAAATCCTCCCAATGATCCACCGTATGATCTCGTCATTGTTGAAGTAAATATTTTAAATTATTATTATTATTATTATTATTATTATTATTATGTTTCTGATTATTACTTTTTTTATTATTCTAAAAAAAATAAAAGAATTTTTCAAAAGTATTTATCATTGAATTTTTTTTTATCAAATTCATGTGATAAATATATTGATAAAATTCGATAAAAATTAATTTATTTTTCAAATTTTTTTCTATAATAATGATTAATAATTATTAATATAATTATGAAATATTAAAAATTATTAATAAATATATTTAAAAAAAAAAAAAACTGTTTTAGGTATTCGCTGCACATTGCTATTTTGCATTTGGACGACATTTAAAAGTGCCAATGATTGGTGTTTCAACAGCGGCATTATATGATTGGATTAGTGAACCAATAGGAAATCCAGCTAATCAGGCAATTATTCCCGGCGCATTTTCAGGATTAAATTTTAAAATGAATTTTTGGCAACGATTAAAAAATACATTAATGTCACATATAATTAAAAATGGTTTCAATTATTATGTTTCTGAACAATCGAAATTTGTTGATCAATATTTTGGTCCAGGATATCCTGGTATTTATCAACTTTCCAAAGAATTTGCTCTATTGTTAGTAAATTCACATTACAGTATTAATGGAATTCAACCTTTGACTCAAGCTGTTGTTGAAGTTGGAGGTTTACATATCGAAGACAGTGGAATTAAATTGGATACGGTTGGTTAACGATTCCTATTTTTTAAACACAAAACTTTTTTTTTTTGTTAAAAAAATTGTCAGGTATTTCTCACTAAGACAAAAATAGGTAATTAATAATAATAATAAAAATAAAAATAAATATGTTTCTGAGGTTGGCAAATATTGAAATAAATATATCTTTTCTGAACAGGATCTTCAACAATGGCTTGACGAAAGCACAAAGGGCTGTATTTATATATCGTTTGGATCAATGGTAAAAATAGAATCCTTCCCTATTGAAACTCTCAAAGCTTTTTATTCAACTTTTCGAAATATAGCGCCAGTTCGAGTTTTAATGAAAATCGCAAACCCAAAGGAATTGCCACCAGATCTTCCCAAAAATGTGATGATACATTCTTGGCTACCGCAAATTCAAATTCTAAGTATATAAAACTATAATTTTGAATTTCTTTAAAAAAAAATTTTTTAAATACCTGTTTTCCGTTTAGGCCTCGTTAAAATAAAAATTTAATAAATTACGGATGTAAAATTAATTCAATATAAATTTTAGATACAATCACAGAAAATTAAAAGGCATTAAATGCCATTTAATTTTCTCCCAGATAGCACGGAAACTTGCAGCAAGCTTGCGGCAAGTTCACCGTGCAAGCTTACTGAAAGCTTGTCTGATCTAGCGAAATGTCCCACCCAGGGCAAGCTTGCCGTGAAATCTTGCTGTAAGCTTTTCAGGAAAGGTTGTAAGCTTGCTACGTAAGGTTGCAGGAGAATTTCAACAAGCTTCTGGAAAGGTTGCTGCAAGGTTGCTGCAAATAGCTACTCGACCAACTATCAGAGAATAAAAAAATCTTGCTCTTAACCCTCGACTGTTTTTATGAGTTGAAAAACAGTTGAAAAACGAGGGTTAAGAGCAAGATTTTTTTATTCTCTGATAGTTGGTCGAATAGGTTCTCGGTTAGGGTCTTTGGTTAGTGTCTGTCGAACCCGGGTTCAATTCCCAGTCCCCTCAAATTTGTTTCGAAAATTTTCTCGTTAAGTTTTCAAATAAAAATAAACAGGACATAATTAATAAATAATAAACCTCACAAGGATTTTCAAATTTAGAAAACAAATAAATTTTTTATTAATTTAAAATGTATTTTTTAAAAATTGCAGCAACCTTGCAGCAACCTTACCAGAAGCTTGTTGAAATTCTCCTGCAACCTTACGTAGCAAGCTTTCACGGCAAGCTTGCCCTGGGTGGGACATTTCGCTAGCTCAGACAAGCTTACAGTAAGCTTGCACGGTGAACTTGCCACAAGCTTGCTGCAAGTTTCCGAGCTATCTGAGCTGTGATACTAAAATACCCATTTTCTCTAAAATTAACGAAACATTTATAATATTTAAAAATATTTCAGAGCACAAAAATGTACAAGCATTCGTCACTCATGGTGGATTAATGAGTAGTTTAGAAGCAATTTACTGTGGAGTTCCAATGATTGGAATTCCACTTTTTGGAGATCAGATTATTAATATAAAATCTCTACAGGAACGAAAAATAGCAACTTCATTGAATTATAAAAACATTACTGAAAGTGAATTCACAAATACTGTGAAAACCGTACTGAAAAATACGGAATTTAGGTGAAGATTTTTTTTTTATAATTACTTTTTAATTGATTACATTAATAATTAACTATTTAAATTATTATTATTATTATTATTATTATTATTTATTATTAACTAATTATTAAAATTAGATTTAATTGGTTATAATTAATTTTTTTTGTTAGAGAAAACGTCAAGAAGTTGTCAAAATTATATTACGATCGTCCTTTGAGTCCTCAGGATACTGCAATTTTTTGGGTCGAATATATAATAAGACACGGGAACGTTCTTCGTTCCCCAGCAATCGATTTATCATGGTATCAAGTTCAATTATTGGACATTTACGGTTTTATATTCTTGGTTATCATCCTTGTTATCTATCTTTTAATATTAATAATTCGCGGTCTAATTAAATGTGTTTTTGGTACAAAAAAGAGGAATAACAAAGAAATTCTTTCTAAAAAGAAGAAATAATATTCATTATTTTATATTATATAGAAGAAATTCTTTAATAATTAAATACACTCGACTTTTTTTTATAAATTTCTTTTTCAAATAATTTTAAATAGTAGAATTTTTAATTAAATAAATTTTGAAATCTGTAATATCTATAATTTTTAGTTTTTTTTTTTTTTAGTGAATGACTGACACGTACTTATATTATAAATATATTTTGTATATTTTATTATTAATAAAATACTAAAGATTTGGAATTTATATAATAGGTAATAAAAATTTAATTATACTTTTTTTTATATTAAAATGAAAATTATATATATAGAATAATGTGAAAAATTCCCATGAGTTTTTTTTTCACAATCGAAACAAAACTCAATAATAAAGAGAAATGAATAATTTTTTTGTTGATCAGAATAAAATATAAAATTTCTCTCTCTATATATATGATCTCTTTTCATTATTTTAATATTGGAAAATAACAAAAATAATAATTCTAAAAGAGAAAAAGTTTCCAATTAATATTAATTGGAGAAAAAATTCCTCCATATTAGAAATAATTATTTTTTTAATAATTTTATTAAAATTTAATTTAATTAAACAAACTTTTTTTCATAAACGTATATTATATTTAGCAAAAGAAAAAGTGGTAATGATTCGAATATTTTATTATTCATATTTAAAAATGAAAGATATATTCTTATCTACAAATTTTAATAGAAATAAAATATAAAAAGAATGTGACAGTTCTTATTTTTAATTTGTGGTAAAAAGGAATAGTTTTTTTAAAAAAAAAACAATATTACTTTTTTGACTATAATAAACAAATATTTAATTTAAAAAAATAAAACAAAAAATTAATTAAATAATTAGTAAATTATTATGAAAAAAGAATTAAAAAAGTCAATTAAAAAAAGCAATGAATAAATATACGAACTAATGAAAAGATTTTTTCACAATGAGTTCATTAAATTTTCTGACAATTGGACTAATTATAATAACTATAATTAATTGTAAAATAAATGATGGTGCAAGAATTTTGGGAATATTTCCATTACAAGGATCAAGTCATTTTGTAATGTGTGAACGATTAATGAAATTATTGGCAAAAAATGGACATCAAGTAGATGTAATTAGTCATTTTCCTCTAAAAGAACCATTTCCTAATTATAAAGATTTTAGTTTAAACGGTACATTACATCCAATTGTAAATAATGTTAATTATTCAGATATACATTTGTTTTCAACAAAATCATTAAAAAATCTACTTCTCTACGCTGGTGATAAAGTGTGTGAATTATTGAAACATCCAATTTTAGAAAATTTTATAAAAAACCCACCAAATCATCCACCTTACGATCTCGTTATCATAGAGGTAATTTTGAAAATTTAATTTAAAAAAAAATTGTATTTAAAAAAAAAAAATTATTTTCCAGGGTGGCTACTAAAATAAAATTTCTGGCTATTTCTATTCCAAAAATTTTTTTTAAATTGTTATTATAAAAAAAATATATTCACTAACCTTCGCCTGCAACCTTTCGTAAATTTTAGAGGAGATTTGATAAAAACACACGCGATTAAAAAAAAATTTCGAACATTTAAATATTAGGAAAAATTAAATACTTTTTTAAGCGATCGCGATTTTAAAATTTTCTAACACTCCCGTAGCAAAATTTTACTGTAAAAAAAAACACACTGAGCACGTCTAAACAGGTTAATACACGAATTGCAACTGTCTGAAATTTATTATCTTTGAAATATTTAATTCAAGTATTGTTTATGACCTTAATAGTTGTACTTTAATGTAAACAAAAGGCTCGAGATGCTGAAAGGTCATAAAATTTTTAAATTTGTTTCGAATTTAAAATACTATTTGAAAATCATCATTTTTTGAAATATTTCACTGATTAAATTAAATTAAATCCCGATCAGTGGCCACCCTGTTTTTTTTACTGCAGTTTATGATTTATTAAATTGTTTTAATTTATTTTATTTTCTTTTATTAATTACTATTCATTAATAATGTATAATATCCATTGCCTTACTTTATTTTTCATAAATTTTAAAAATAATTTTTTGTTTTCTTATTTATTTAAAATAAATAAAAAAAATTTGATTTAAAAAAAAAAAAATTGTAAAGTACTATTTTTTGCAATACGGCCTTGTATGCTTTGTGCAATTCATAATTATATCTTGATGTCATCACCTACATTAAACTGACTGTACTTTTAATTTGCGAATACTATTTTTAAAAGAGTATTTAATTTTCAGTATTAATAGGCCTCGGATCAACTTAAAGGAACAAAAAAAGTCGTTTTAGTCGATTTATATTCCAAAAAAAGTCGAAAAAGTCGATTTTTTTTATTTTAACAAAAAAAATTTACAGATTTTTAAATAAAAAAATTTTTTTTAATATTAATACTTTTGGAAGGGTTGAAGTTGAAATTTTTTAGAAATAATTGAATTTCAAAAGATTTTGTTAATTTTCAGACAATAATTAAATTTTACAGAACTAAAAATAATTTATCAAATAATTTGAGATAACATTTTTTAAAAATAATTGGGAATTTTCAAATATTTACAATTCAGACTTAAAATTTTTTTAATGATTTCACTAAAAAATTTATTAGAAATTGCGGACAAAAATACAATAATTTTGAAAACTATTTTTTATTGAAAAATGGTTTCAGATAGTTGAATTTTTAATGAATATTATAAAAATAGTTAAAAAATAATTGAATTTCCCGTAGAGTTATAATTGAAATTATTAAATTTCAAAAAATTTTCGATGGGAAATTTTGGAAATAATTAAATTTTAAAAGCTTTTAAATTTAAATTTTAAAAAATAATTGAATTTTAATTAAAATTTTGGATAATAATTTAATTTTAGTTGATTTTTGATTGAAAATTTTGATAATAATTAATTTTGAATTGAAAATTTAGAAAATAATTGAATTTTAATTGAAATTTTGGATAATAATTCAATTTTAGTTGATTTTTTATTGAAAATTTTGATAATAAATAATTTTGAATTGAAATTTCTAAGAATAATTGAATTTTAGTTGATCTTGAATTGAAAATTTTGAAAATAATTGAATTTTATTTGATTTTAAATTGAAAATTTGGAAAATAATTGAATTTTAATTGAAATTTTGGATAATAATTCAATTTTAGTTGATTTTTTATTGAAAATTTTGATAATAATTAATTTTGAATTGAAATTTTTGAGAATAATTGAATTTTAGTTGATTTTGAATTGAAAATTTGGTAAATAATTCAATTTTATTTGATTTTAAATTGAAAATTTGGAAAATAATTGAATTTTAAAAGATTTTGATTTGAAAATTTTGAAAATAATTGAATTTTCTTTGATTTTTAATTGAAATTTTGGATAATAATTGAATTTTATTTGATTTTGAATTGAAATTTTGGGTAATAATTGAATTTTATTTGATTTTGAATTGAAATTTTTGAAAATAATTCAATTTTAAAAGATTTTGAATTGAAAATTTTGAAAATAATTTAATTTTCTTTGATTTTGAATTGAATTTTTGGATAATAATTTAATTTTACTTGATTTTGAATTGATTTGTGATTTTGAATTAAAATTTTTTGCTAATTTTATTTGATAATTTTTTTTTAAATTATAAACAATTGTTAAATTTCATATAAATTTTAATTAAAAAATACTAAAAATACTTTATACTAAAAAAATGTATTTTATTAAAAAAATTTTTTAAAAAATGTAAAAAAAAAAGTCGAAGAAGTCACATTTTATTAAAATAAGTCGAAAAAGTCGTAGAAACCGAGGCCTGTATTAATTTTCAAAAAATTAAAATTTATTATTTAATTGAAAAATTGAAAAATTTTAGATTTTCGCTGCACCATGTTATTTTGCATTTTCACGTCATTTAAAAATTCCAATTATTGGAATCACAACATCGTCGATTTATGATTGGATTAATGAGCCATTGGGAAATCCAACAAATTTGGCTTTTGTTCCATGTTTATTCTCTAGTTTACCATCAAAAATGAATTTTTGGCAACGACTAATGAATGTTGTTCTATTTAATCTAGTTAAATATCAGTTCAATTATTATGCTGACAAACAAAAGCGATATATTGATGAATCTTTTGGAGTTGGGTATCCCAGCATTTATGAACTTTCAACGGAATTTGATTTGGTGTTTATAAACTCACATTACAGTTTAAATGGAGTGAAACCAATGACTCCTGCTATTGTTGAGGTAGGAGGACTACATATCGACAATAGCGGAGATAAATTGATACCAGTTTGTATATCAAAATAAATTTTCATTAAATATCTATATTTATATTAATGAAAATCATTTCTTGTCAATTATAATTAAAATGAAAAATTATCCTTTTTTTAAGAAATTGAGAAATAAATTTCTCTTTCGAAATTTTTTTTTTTTTTTTGGCAGGAGTTACAGCAATGGTTGGATGAAAGTAATCATGGATGTATTTACATGAGTTTTGGCTCAATGGTAAAAATTGAATCATTTCCTAAAGAAATTTTAAAAATTTTCTATACCACTTTCGAAAATATTGCACCTGTTCGAATTTTAATGAAAATTGCCAATAAAATGGAATTACCCCCTAGACTACCGAATAATGTCAAAACATATCATTGGCTTCCTCAAATTCAAGTATTGAGTAAGGAATTAAAAAAAAAAACCTTTATTAAAAATTTTAAATAAATAAATTTATCGACTACCCATAAAAATCATTTACTTAATATTTCAAAATTGCTATTTTTATCAAAATTTAAATTAATTTTATCAAAAAAATTTAAACTAATTTTATCAAAAATTGGTATATAAAATGATTGATATTTTAGAGCATAAAAATGTGAAAGCTTTCGTGACTCATGGCGGTTTGATGGGGACATTGGAGTCAATTTACGCAGCAGTGCCAATGGTCGGATTTCCACTATTCAACGATCAAATTCAAAATATCAAAAAATATGAGGAAATGAAAATTGCTATTTTTCTAGAACACGAATGTGTTACGTCAAAAAAATTCACCTACGCTTTGAATATGATTTTAAAAAATCCCAAATACAGGTAACTTTTTTTTGTTTGAAATAAATGAAAAAAGAAATTAAAATATATATTGAAAAAAAGAGAGAGAGAGAGAGAGCTAAAACAAAAGAAGCGAAGAAACAATTTTTTCTGGTATCTTTTTCAATATGAACAATTATATTTATTTTAACAATCAACAATATTGTTTTCAAAATTAATCATTTATCAAGAGAAAAAAAAATGCAATGAAAATTATAATTTAGAAAAAAAACGAATTCTTTTTTCAGAAAAAATATCAAAAAGTTATCAAAATTTTATTTTGATCGACTCATGAATCCTCAAGATACGGTAATTTTTTGGGTGGAATATATTTTACGAAATGGAAATATTTTGAGATCTCGAGCAACTGACATCAATTTTTACCAAGTTGAATTATTCGATATTTATGCTTTTATAGCAATTTTAATATTATTATTTATTTATTTAGCATATTTGATAATTAAATTTATCATTAAAATGATTATTTAACCAAAAGAATTAAATTGTAAATAAATAATTGAAAACGCTAAAATAATTATTACTAATAATTAATAGCTTTTTTTATAATAAATAATTTCTACTAATTCTAATGAATTATAAATTAATAAAAAAATATATATATATATTAATTATAAATAACCTTGAAAATATATTGTAATAATAATTTACGATTAAAAAACAATTTAGAAACTAATCAATTTTTTAAAGCTCTATCTTTGTAGGACTTTGTTCACAAGATTCATAAAGAAATCAATGTTTTCGGTTAGTTTTTTTTTCTCTCATTAATTGCACAGTTTTCATTCATAAACATTATCAAACTTAACAGTTCTGAAATAAAGTAAGAAATAAATTTCATTTACGTTTTAGTAATAATTAATTAATCTATTAATTATTTTTTTATTTAGAAATTTACAAACTTTCAATTTTTTTTTACAAATTAATTTAGTGCCGATAAACACGTTAAAAAAATTCTAATAAATATAAATTTAAATAAATTGTATTTACGATTATAAATATTATAATAATTAGTGTTTTTTTTTTGTTTTATTAAAGTAATAAAAAATAACCGAAAACATGACATTTTTGTGTTTTTTAATTATAATAATAATTATTACAAGTGCTATAAAAAGTGATATTTGTGATGGGGCAAGAATATTGGGCATTTTTCCATTAAATTCAAAAAGTCATTTTACATTAGGAGAACAAATAATGAAAATTCTTGCAAAAACAGGACACCAGATAGACGTCGTTAGTCACTATCCGCAAAAAAAACCGGTTTCCAACTATCGTGATTTAAGTTTACATGGATCAATGATTGATAAAACAAATAATTTGGATTACAATCGACTACAATTTTTATCACCAATTTCAATTGTTCCCGAAATTTCAAATAATACCGGCAGTAATATTTGTAAATTAATTCAACATCCAATACTACAAAATATAATTAAAAATCCACCAAAAAATCCGCCCTACGATCTCGTTATTGTTGAGGTAAAATAATAATTTTATTTTTCATTTATAGATAAAAATATTTTGGTTTAAAATTTTTTTTAATGTATATTTTTACAATGAAAATTTTATTACTGAAAAGAAAATCTTTAACGCAGGGAAAATTTTCTTAGATAAGATTTCAAAAAAATTATTTTTTAAATTATTTTTTTTTTAAATTATTATGTAAAATAGATTAATAAAAATAATAATAAATTAATTAATTAAATAATAATAATGAAAAAAATTCATTTTAAAATAATAAATAATAAATCATAAAACAGAAAAAACTTTAATGAATTGTCGATAACAAAAATTAAGTATAGTTAATTAAAAAAAGAAAAACAAAACAGAAAAAAATATTTATATTTTTATTATCATTTTTTTTATATCCAACGAAATATGGAAAAACTAATGCAGAAAAAAAACTTGTTTCCTTTTTATATATAATTTGATCACGTCATTGTGAATAAAATTATTTTGCAAAATGACACAGCGTATTTCGCTAATTTTATCTGTCATTAGAGTAAAAATTTCAATATTATATATCAGCAAAAGCAATAAATTTTATTTTTTTATCAAAAAATTTATTTCATGTTTTAATAAATTTGTTATCTTATTAAATATTATTATTTAATTTTTTTTTATATATTTTCCGAAAAAAAAACAAATTAAAAATTTTAAAATAACTAAAAAAAAAATTCATTCCTTTTTTGTTTTTAGATATTTACAGCTCACTGCTATTTTGCATTTGCGCATCACTTAAAAGTTCCCATGATAGGATTAATATCATCTGTTGTACAAGAATGGGAAAATGAAGCACTAGGAAATCCTGACAGTTTTGCATTTATTCCAGGAGGATTTACAGGACTTAATGTTGGGGGGAAAATGAATTTTTATCAACGTCTTTTAAATACATTAATGGGTAATCTAATAAAACGACAATTTTACCACTATACTGATCATCAAAAAATATTTATCGATCAATATTTTGGACCCAATTATCCAAGTATTCGCAATCTTTCTACACAATTTGCCCTCGTATTTGTAAATTCTCATTTCAGTTTACATGGAATTCGACCACTAACACCAAGTGTTATTGAAATTGGAGGAGTTCACATTCAAGAAAATGGGGAAAAATTGTCACCGGTTAGTGTTGTTGATTATGAGAAAAAAAGAAATGGAAAAGAAATAATAAAAAAATCCATTTTATTTTTTTTTTTAAATTTTAATAACTTTTGATGAATACACAGAAAATAAAAAGGCATTAAAATAAGCTGCAACGCTTATTATTTTAATCCAATTTTCCTTATTTTAATCGATTTTGGTATTAAAATAAGCAAAATTGGATTAAAATAATATGCGTTGCAGCTTATTTTAATGCCTTTTAATTTTCTGTGAATTATCGACTTTTTTAAAAAAAGAAATTAAATTAAATAAGAATTAATTTTTGAAAAAAATTTAGGATCTTCAAAAATGGTTGGATGATAGTAAATATGGATGCATTTATATGTCATTTGGTTCTATGGTGAATATAGAAACATTTCCCAATGAAACATTGAATGCATTTTACACGGCTTTTGAAAATATTGCACCTGTTCGAATTTTACTAAAAATTGGAAATGAAAAATTACTATCTAAACTTCCCAACAATGTCAAAACACATTCGTGGCTTCCACAAATTCAAATTCTAAGTAAGTAGATCAAAATTGTAGCCATGACAAAAAAAAATTCCAAACAAATGGAATTTTTTATTTTCAAGAGCATAACATCATAAAAATAGAATTTTTTCGAATACCCGATTTGTAATGTAAAGAATATACTAGGTATCTTCCGAATATTCATCAATTAACATAAGAAAATGTAAATTTCTTGATTCCAAATATATTGTATTGGAGATTACCGACGATTGTTGAAAAGGATGTTCGAATTTGTCGAATACTATGCGAATCCGAACGAATCTCGTCGATTTCAGTAAAATCCTAAGTCATGCAGTAAGAATTGTTGCAAGTCACGAATGGTTACGGAGATATACGAGCGAATTCGGCGGTGAATTATACAATTAATCTATTTTTTTTTTTTGCTAGGAACTCTCAATTACTTTAAATAAAATGAAAGCACTATTTCCCTTAATTTCAAAATAGGAATTACAAAAATGACTATAGCAATCCTTAAAAATCTTTAATGAATTCTCAAATATTGTTCAATTGGATTTTCAGTGAACAGGCCCTCGATTTTTTATTATATAAATTCTATAATTTTCTGTGTTTCTGACATTGGAATAACACTTGATTATGACCTTAATTTTGATAACCATATAGCTGATGTTGCGGGTAAGGCCAATAGAGCTCTTGGTTTTATTATACGAAATGCCAATCGTTTTTTGGATTTATCCACCTTAAAGTCATTATATTATTCGTTTGTAAGATTGATCTTAGTTTGCAATCATGTTATTTGATTTCCTTATCAAAAGGATAGCTTGTTAAGACTTTAACACATTCAGTACAAATTTTTACGCTTTGCTGCTTGGCAAAGAGATGTAATTCACGACAGATTTAATCATGATTACTTCGATCTCAGACGTTTATTCAATATCCCTGAAATTTCATCTTATTTTATATATGCTGATTTACTATTTTTATACAAAATTCTTAATAATTATATCGATTGTCCTGAGATTCTGTCAAAAATTAATTTTTATGCTCCATTTAAAAACCTTAGAGGTCGCCCTTTGTTTAAAACAAATTTTCATAGATCAAACTTTGCCAAGAATTCTATTTACGATAGATTGTCCGAAGAGGTAAACTTACATTGTACCAATTTGGATTTTTTTAACTCTTTGTTAAGTAATTTCACAATGTCTTTGCGTAAACTATTTCTTTTTGATAGTAATAACAACGCTACCTAGTTATAGTTATTTTTGTTATTCGGTTTTTAAGAAACATTTATGTTTTATTTTTCATTAATCTTAGTACTTCGGTACGAAAGGGTTAATTCTTTTTTCTTTTGTAAGCCCGTTTGCATGTAAATAAATAAATAAATAATTGAAACTGTTTATTCTAGAACATAAAAATGTAAAAGTTTTTGTAACCCACGGAGGTCTTCTTGGAACATTAGAATCAATTTATTACAAAGTACCAATGATTGGATTTCCTCTATTTGGAGATCAATTTTACAATATGAAAGTTTGCGAAGATAGAGAAATAGCAATTTCTTTGGATTATCACAAATTTACAGCCAATGATTTCCTCGAGGCTTTAAATGTGGTTTTAAAAAATAATAACTACAGGTGAGAAAATTCGAAATTTTTAGAAATTTTTATCTACAAAATAAGAAATTTCTTTTTTTTTATATATAGAAACAATATTGAAGAATTTTCCAAACTCTATTATGATCGTCCTATGAGTTCACAAGAGAGTGTAATTTTTTGGGTAAACTATGTTTTACGACATGGAAATATTTTACGATCTCCTGCTGTAGATTTAGCCTGGTATCAAGTTGAACTTTTGGACGTTTATGGTTTTTTGTTGCTTAATGCAATATTCTTAATCTATATCAGTTTTTTAATTATCCGAACTTTCTACATACTTATTTATCATACAAAGAGATTTGATAAAATTAAAATCTTATCAAAGAAATGAAAATAAAAATTTTAATGAGAAATTTTAATAAAACAATACCCAAAAAAAAATTATTTACTCTTTTTCTATAATTTTTCCTTAATTTTTATATTTGAGGTAAAAAAAATTTTGTACTAAAATTTTATGGAGTTTTTTTTTTTTAATGAGAAAATCTTTTCTGAAAAAAATATATTTATCAGTTAAAGCTATCATAAAAAAAGACAATGACTTGCATCTATATCACTAACATTACCTGCACTCAATAATAAAATTATCTCGAATATAAATAATGAAAGATATAATAATTATATTAAAATTTAAAATATTTGCGAAAAAATGCCTTAAAATAAAATTAATATAATACGAATACGAAAAATAAAGAGAAGAAAATTTACGATAAATTCGCAAAATTTTACGTTAGAATTTGCAATAAAGAATGTGATGCGCTCCAACCAGACAAGATTCTCCTTCCTCTCTTTCCTCTCCTTCCTCTTTATATAGTTCTTTTAAATATACTTTGCTCAGTTTCCTACAACAGTTCTATAAGTGATGTCAGCAATTTAATCATTTAACTCGACTATATAGTTTCTCCAAGGCCTCTCCTAACTACGTATAAAAATATCTTTTTCGCATTTTTATAAAATTTCAAATATATAAATTCTATTTTATCGACATTCCGAAAATTTCAACGACCATCATTAGCAACTATTGTGCGCTTCTCACGAGAAAACAGTTTGAAAATTACGTCAGATTGTAGTGTGACTAACTATATATATATATATATATATATATATATATATATATATATATATATATATATATATATATATATATATATATATAGACGAAGTAAATAAATAAACGCAAATCAAAAATTTGTTAAATAAAATTTTAAAAATGTAAATATTAATTTACATTTTATATTTTTTTAAAAAGTAATTTTTTAAAAATAAAACTTAAAAAAAAATAATTTAAAAATAAATTGAAGTAGTAAAAAAACCGAATCAGTGTAAAAAAAACTCTTTTCTCAAGAAAAAAAAAGTGTAAAGAAATAATTTTAAAAAAAATGACTTCTCTACGTATTTTGTTAATTATAACAATTGTTATTACATTAAAAAGTGAAATAAATGAAGGTGCACGAATATTGGGTATTTTTCCATTACCCGGAAAAAGTCATGCAATTTTAGGAGAAAAAATAATGAAAGTACTTGCACAAAAAGGACATCAAGTTGATGTTATTTCACATTTTCCAATGAAAAAATCATATCCTAATTATAATGATTTAAGTTTAGAAGGTTCATCGGAAATTATAACAAATAATTTAAATTACAGTATGGTAAAAAATGTTTCTGTTAATTCAATAAAACGATTATTAGAAATGACAGGTGATCCTGTTTGTGCATTACTCAATCATACTGTATTTCAAAATATTATTCATAATCCACCAAAGGATCCTCCATATGATCTCGTTATTGTAGAGGTAATTAAAAAAATGTTTTTCTTTTAGAAAATTATAATCAATTTTAAAAGTTTAAATAATAACAATAACAATAACAATAACAATAATAATAACAATAATAATAAAACTAAAAAATAATTAAAAGCAAAAAAATCTTCACGTCCTGGAACAGCGATTCATCTGAGAAAAATATTTATTTGATTCAAATAATCGATTACTTAAATATTATCAAATAAATATTTACTTGAACAAAATAATTTTTATTTGAATTAAATATTTGAACCAATAATTTTTGTATTTGAAAAAATACTATCTTAAATAAAAATTATTTGGTTCAAGTAAATAATTTTACAGGCCTCGAATCGACTTAAAAGCACAAAAAAAGTTGTTTTAGTCAAATTATATTTAAAAAATAGTCGATTTTTTTATTTTAACAAAAATATTTTAAAGATTTTTAAATAATAATACTTTTGGAAGGGTTTTAGAAATAATTGAATTTCAAAAGATATTGTTAATTTTCAGACAATAATTAAATTTTACAGAACTAAAAATAATTTATCATAAAATTTGAGATAAAATTTTTTAAAAGGAAATTTAATATTCAAAGATTTACAATATTGATTTTTGAAATTAATTGAACTTCAAGTGATTTTTAATTAAAATTCTTTTTTTAATGTTTTCACTAAAAAATTTATTACAAATTGCGGACAAAAATACAATAATTTGAAAATCATTTCTAATTGAAAAATGGTTTCAGATAGTTGAATTTTCAAAAAATATTATAAAAATAGTTCAAAATAATTTAATTTCCGTAGAGTTATAATTGAAATTATTAAATTTCAAAAAATTTTCGATGGAAAATTTTAGAAATTAATAATAAAATTTTAAAAGCTTTTAAATTCAAATTTTTGAAATTAATTGAATTTTAATTGAAATTTTGGATAGTAATTCAATTTTAATTGATTTTTGATTAAAAATTTTGATAATAATAAATTTTGAATTGAAATTTTAGAAATAATTAAATTTTAAAAGCTTTTAAATTCAAATTTTTAAAAATAATTGAATTTTAATTGAAATTTTGGATAATAATTCAATTTTAGTTGATTTTTGATTGAAAATTTTGATAATAATTAATTTTGAATTGAAAATTTGGAAAATAATTCAATTTTATTTGATTTTAAATTGAAAATTTGGAAAATAATTGAATTTTAAAAGATTTTGAATTTAAAATTTGGAAAATAATTGAATTTTAATTGATTTTAAATTGAAAATTTGGAAAATAATTGAATTTTATTTGATTTTAAATTGAAAATTTGGAAAATAATTGAATTTTAATTGAAATTTTGGATAATAATTTAATTTTAGTTGATTTTTGATTAAAAATTTGATAATAATTAATTTTGAATTGAAATTTTGGATAATTATTGAATTTTAATTGATTTTGAATTGAAATTTTTGAAAATAATTAAATTTTATTTGATTTTGAATTGATTTAAGATTTTGAATTAATAATTTTTGGTAATTTTATTTGATAATTTTATTTAAATTATAAACAATTGTTAAATTTCATAAAAATTTTAATTTGAAAAATATTTGAAATAATTGAATTTGTGATGAATTTCATTAAAATTTTCATTAAAATTATGAAAAATAATTAATTTAGTGAAGAATTTTAGTTACAAATTTGTTAAATAATTGAAATAAAGAAGATCTGAAGAAGATCTGCATTTTATACTAAAAAAAAGTCAAATAAGTCGCATTTTTATTGAAATAAGTCGAAAAAAGTCGGAAATAATCGAAAAAGTCGTATAATCCGAGGCCTGAAATATTTATTTGATAATAATGAAGTAACCGAATATTTGAATCAAATAAATTTTTTTTTCAGTCTAAGTTTCTCTGGAACAGCGATATATTTCTCCAGAATACGAAAAACTTTTGCTGTTTTAGTGAAACATATCGCTGATCTAGGTAAAGATTTTTTTTTTACGTGTATAATAATATTATTATAATTTTTTTTTTGGATAAATTTCAGTATTTTACATCCTATTGCTACATGGCTTTTGGTCGACTTTTGAATGTACCAATAATTGGAGTAACTGCATCAGTTTTACTTGAATGGCATAATGACGCCGTGGGAAATCCAAATAGTCTTGCATTTGTACCTGGTGGTATGACGGGTTTTTCAACAAATATGAATTTTTGGGAACGTTTACAAAATACACTATTTGCAAAATTAATAACACACGATTTTAATAATCAAGTTGAAAGTCAAAAAATGTTTATCGATAAATACATTGGATCAGATTATCCATCAATTTACGATCTCACAAGAGAATTGTCATTGGTTCTAGTAAATTCTCATTATAGTTTAAATGGAATTCGCCCCTTTACACCAGGTGTTGTGGAAATTGGAGGTGTTCATGTACAAGACAATAAGGAAAAACTTTTACCGGTTAGTTTCTTTTTTTGAAAAATTCGAAAAAAAAGAAAAATTCTAGAAAATTATTAGATTTTTATATTTTGTTTTTTTTATTAAATTGGAAAATAGCTTTAAGTTTCTTTAAAAAAAAAAAAAAAAAATTTCCCTCGTCAATCTTTTTCAAAGCTTTGTGAATATATAAAATCCGGCTTTTTTGAATATCATGTGACATGTGGAAAGGACTCTTTTTTTTTTTCTTAAATCGAAAATTTGATTTTTAATCACCGCCCAAAAGTTTTCCAATAACAAGCTCTCGTCAATCGCAAAAAAGACAGCGCTTTCCTTTCAACTATTTTAAAAAATCAGCTTTAAAACTGAATTTTTCCAACCAACATGGAGAAAAATTTCTCCCTTTCAACGACTTTAAAATTATATAAATAAATATATAGAGTTTTTAATCCATCTTCATAAAACTTGAAAACTACACTCAAGACAGAGATAAAATGAAAAAAAAAACATTTTTTTTTTTTACGAGAAAATAAATAATTTTTTTTTTTGTTTTTACAGGAATTGCAAAAATGGTTAGACGAAGCTAAACATGGATTTATTTACGTATCATTTGGTTCTATGGTGAGATTAGAGACGTTCCCAAAAAAAACACTTGATATTTTTTATTCCTCTTTTAAAAAATTATCACCAGTTCGTTTTTTAATGAAAATTGCAAAAAAAGAAGAATTACCCCCAGGGCTTCCCGACAATGTCAAAACATATCACTGGCTTCCTCAAATTCAAATTTTAAGTAAGTTTCATTAATTTCTCTTTGCGAAATTTAATTGAACTCTTTTGTATAATTTTAATTAATTTCTCCATGAATAATTTATTTTTTACTTTTAATTAAATCCATCTAAATTAATAATTCACTTGTTGTCACGTTATCAAGTTTATAATTAATAAATAATTACAATTTTATGTAATTATTTAAATATTAATTAAAATAAATTTTAAATATAAATTGAAAACAATTATAAATATAAATTAAAATTAATTATTTTTAATACAAAATAATAATTAATTTAATTCATGTATTTTCACTTTGTTTATGGGTTATATAATTAATTTATCAATATATATATATATAAATTAATTATAATAATAATTAAAACTTGTTGCAGAGCACAAAAACGTCAAAGGATTTGTCAGCCATGGAGGGCTTTTAAGTACAATTGAATCGATTTATTATGCAGTTCCCATAATCGGCTTTCCATTGTTTGGAGATCAAAACTTTAATATGAGAAATTATGAAAAGAGAAAAATTGCCGTTACATTGAATTATGATAGTTTCACTGAGAAGCAACTTGACGAAGCTTTGAATAAAATTTTAAAGAATTCCGAGATGAGGTAAAAAAAAAAAATTACTAAAAGATAATTCTTTGTTTCCAAACAAAATCAAAAATTAGGTCAACCTTTTGTTTGTCTAATAGAAATAAATCTTTCTCTCTCTCTCTCTCTCAAAAAATAATCCAAATGAATATAATAATTATGCAAAAAGGTAGTGTATGTTAATTCAAGAATTAAATTATTCATTTTTATATGAATTAATTTGGAAATGAATATTTTGAGAAAAATTCATTTTTATTTAATTAATTTTTCATTTAACAGAATTTCTTTATAATTTCTTATTTTTTTTTTTTTTTTGAGAGAGAAATTTTGCAAATCGAATTTCAAATTCGTAAAACGATAATAAAATTGTACTCGATATTTAAAATATATATAAGGAAATTTTCTCTCAAAACTTAATTTTCTACTTTATCTATACAGTTTATAAATTATGTGAATCAATTTGCAAAATTCTGCTAAATAGAAATTTATCCAAGTAGAAATTAAGTTAAATTAAAATTCACTTGAATAGAAATTAATGTTAAATGAAAATTTTATTAAATAAAAATTTCACCAAATAAAAATAAAGTGAAATAAAAATTTTGCCAAATAAAAATTCATTTGAATAAAAATTTTGCCAAAAAAAATTTTGCGAAATAAAAATTTTACCAAATAAAAATTCAATTGAATAAAAATTTTTGCCAAATAAAAATTCAATTGAATAAAAATTTTGCCAAATAAAAATTCATTTGAATAAAAATTTTGCGAAATAAAAATTTTACCAATTAAAAATTCAATTGAATAAAAATTTTTGCCAAATAAAAATTTTGCCAAATAAAAATTCAATTGAATAAAAATTTTTGCCAAATAAAAATTTTGCGAAATAAAAATTTTACCAAATAAAAATTCAATTGAATAAAAATTTTTGCCAAATAAAAATTCAAATGAATAAAAATTTTGACAAATAAAAATTTATTTGAATAAAAATTTTGCCAGATAAAAATTTTGCCAAATAAAAATTTTACCAAACAAAAATTCAATTGAATAAAAATTTTTGCCAAATAAAAATTCAAATGAATAAAAATTTTGCCAATTAAAAATTCATTTGAATAAAAATTTTGCCAAATAAAAATTAAATTGAATAAAAATTTTTGCCAAATAAAAATTCAATTGAATAACAATTTTTGCCAAATAAAAATTCATTTGAATAAAAATTTTGCCAAATAAAAATTAAATTGAATAAAAATTTTTGCCAAATAAAAATTCAATTGAATAACAATTTTTGCCAAATAAAAATTCATTTGAATAAAAATTTTGCCAAATAAAAATTAAGATTTTTTTGACGATAAAATTTTTTAAATAAATATTTATATAATAATTGTTTTTTTATAGGAATAACATTGAGAAATTATCAAAACTTTACAAGGATCGACCAATAACACCACAGGAGACAGTTTCATTTTGGGTTGAATATGTCTTACGTCATGGACCAGTGTTACGCTCACCAGCAGTCAATTTATCTTGGTGGCAAGTTGAATTATTAGATGTGTATGGTTTTATTTTACTAGTCCTTTTGTTAGCTCTATTCGTTATTTTATCATTAATAAGGATTTTAATCAAGTGTATTTTCCATTCAAAATCAAATAGTGAAGCGATTCGTTCAAAGAAAAATAAATAGTTAAAAAAAAAAAAAAAAACATAAACGAATATTTTGTAAATAAAAAAATTAATATTTTATACTAAATAAATAAAAATGATTTTTATTTCCTCTCTTTCATTTTTTTTTTTACTATTGTAATTGGAAACTGTTTAAATATCGAGTTTTTAAAAATATAATTTCTTTACAGAAAAAAAATTGAGTGAAATTACAACATCAAAGAAAACTGATAAATATTTTTTTTTTTCGTCTTTTTTAGAAAAAATTTTTTATATTTATACGAAAAGAGATGTATATAGATTTTTAAATCCTCATATATTGGAGATTGTGCATCAAAAGAACCACAAGCATAAAGCCCGAGGTTGTTTATAATATATGACATTTTTATGGAAAGATAATATCTTTCTTTTATCAGGAGAAACGAAACGTATTATGAATTCTATTTAGAGTGGAATATTATTTGAAATTTCATTTTTTCAGTCAATAGAAAAATAAATTGAGTAAAACAAAATTTGTGCAAGTGACTGCAATATATATATATATCTTTTTTTTTGAAGAATAATTTAGTTTCATTAAACGCCATTATATTTGAATTTCATTTTATTAAAATTATTTTTAATTATTTTCAAAATTTATGTTTATTTATCGATATGTAAAACTGATTTTAAAAAAATCGAGTCACTATTTATTGTAATTTTTTTTTTTTTTTTTTTTTTCTAAATGTAAGTTGATATTCTACCCTTCTATTAATTCTCTGAAGAGCGTGCAATATAAATCATTCGAATATGTCTGATATGCACGAGAGAAGACGAACGTTCATTTATACGGAAAATGAAATATGCAGGTTGTTGCACTATTGGACGTGTATGGCTAAATTTGTTTAATTAAATTTTCTTTATTTTACATTATTATTTAATAATAATGCAAAAATATATATATTTATTATTTTTTTTTTTATTTTAAATTACGATATTATTTAAACGAAAATACAAATTTATTTTACTTGGGGAATATATTCGTTTCCAATAAATTTCTATTAAAACTGATGAATCCACAAAAGTTGATTCAAATATGAGAGGAATTTTAATAAAGCAAATAAATAGAGCGTTATTAAAACAAACGTATATATATATATATATGAATAATAAAAAAAAAATTTTGTAATAAAAATTTAATTTTCTAACCTGGTATTGTGATTTCTTCTTTATCTATAAATTCTAAGCAGGCTTGTCTTCGTTCAGAAATAATTCGTTGCAGATCATCTTCGTGAAATGTGGAAGCTGCTGTATTATTTGCAGGCATCTGTAAAAAAAACAATTAATTTCAATAAAAAAAATTTATATATTTTTTCAAGAATTTGGTACAAAAATATTTAAATATAATAATATAAAATATAATATAAATATATTTTAATAATAAATATAAAAAAAAGATATAAGTTTAGATATAGTTATTTTATAAAAATAGTTTATATTTCCTTTAATAAAAATAAAAAACGCTCATACAAGCTGACGTGAAAGAATTCAAGATTTTATTTATCAAAATCTTTTTATTATAAACACTTGCATCTATTTAACACAATGATATGCAAATAATTATATTACATTGAAACTGGGCGTCAGTTTGACTTTACTATATTATGCATTTTTAATATTAATAAATATTAATGGGATAATTAAAAAATTTATATAAATAAATAATTTAGAAAAAAAAACCGAGAAATAATTACATTGAATTTAAACGCTTAGTGTGTTGAAAAGTTTTACTCTCGATATTCGCAAATTTAAAATGCAAATATTTTCACGAAACTCCGCATATTTGTTACCAATAATCGATAATTTATGGAAAAGTAATAAGAAACAATAAAGGAATAATGTTTATAAAACAAGTGTTTTTTTTTTATTTCGAATTTTCAAAAATCGTATTAAAATTTTTTTCAAATAAATAAAAAAAAAAAGAACTATAATATATGTAATCAAGTTTAATTTATTGTAATTAATTGCAATTTGTAATATTTATTTTAATTTTATAAAATTAATTATTTTATAAATTGAATGAAAATAGATAAAATAATTAATAAAAATTAATGTAATTAAATGCAATTTGTAATATTTATTTTTATAAAATTAATTAATTTATAAATTGAATGAAAATAGATAAAATAAAATGAAATGAAATGAATTTTGTCAAACGGGATTTTGTGATTAGAGAGAAGTAACAATTCTTTGAAATAGGAAAGAAACTATTTACTATAGCACAGTTTAGTTGTCAAAGTTTGTGAACCAAGTTGTAAAGCACCAGAGTAGTAAGTTGTCTGTATTTCCAAGAGGAGAAATCAGTTGAGAAATTGATGCATGTAATTTAAATTAACAAATGCACACCAAACACCAATTAAATTACGATTTACACAAGTTTCAATATATAAATATACTAAAAAATATATTAATATTATTTTTATTATTATATTTTTATATTATATATTAAATATAATTATTATTAAATTATTAAATTTTTAAAATTATTAAATTTGAGTGATTTTGTTTTAATCAATATTCCTTTATTTTCGTAAATCTCACTTGATTTTAAATTGTAAATTTATCTAAACCTTATTTTTCTTTTTCCCTTTTTTTTTTTATCGAAAAAAATTATTATTTTTACTTTTCAAAACAAAACTTTTAAACTCTTGTTAGTTCGTACCTATCACGCAAACTAGAATATAAAAATGAACTTTTAATAGCCATCTGCTGGTAAGATGGTCCATTGTTGGCGAATGCCTCATACACCTTTGAATCGATATTAACAATAAACACGTGCTGTTATGTGAAAATTTTCAATTCAAATTAACATAATTTATTTTTCCAACTATATATAAGTATTTAAAATAATAATAATAATAATAATAAAAATAATATTATTTAATAATAATATTTAATATAATAATATTATTTAAAAATAATATTTAATTATATTAAATAATATTATTTAAAATAATAAGCTATGAAATTAAAAGTTCAGTGCTATGAAGTTAATTTTATATTAAAAATTTTTTTCCACCTTTTTTGTCAATTATTATTTAGATATTGAAATAAAATCCCAATTAATTAAATTTCGTCTATTGTTAATTTATTGATTATTTTTCATTATGCAATCGGTTTTCCAATTTAAAATGCGCTTTATTTCATTATTTGCTTCCCGTCAGAAAATCCTACATTCAATCTCTCTCTCTCTCTCTCTCTCTCTCTCTCTCTCTCTCTCTCTCTCTCTCTCTCTCTCTCTCTCTCTCTCTCTCTCTCTCTCTCTCTCTCTCTCTCTCTCTCTCTCTCTCTCTCTCTCTCTCTCTCTCTCTCTCTCTCTCTCTCTCTCTCTCTCTCTGTCTCTCTCTCTCTGTCTCTCTCTCTCTCTGTCTCTCTCTCTCTGTCTCTCTCTCTCTCTCTCTCTCTCTCTCTCTCTCTCTCTCTCTCTCTCTCTCTCTCTCTCTCTCTCTCTCTCTCTCTCTCTCTCTCTCTCTCTCTCTCTCTCTCTCTCTCTCTCTCTCTCTCTCTCTCTCTCTCTCTCTCTCTCTCTCTCTCTGTCTCTCTCTCTCTGTCTCTCTCTCTCTGTCTCTCTCTCTCTGTCTCTCTCTCTCTGTCTCTCTCTCTCTGTCTCTCTCTCTCTGTCTCTCTCTCTCTGTCTCTCTCTCTCTGTCTCTCTCTCTCTGTCTCTCTCTCTCTGTCTCTCTCTCTCTGTCTCTCTCTCTCTGTCTCTCTCTCTCTGTCTCTCTCTCTCTGTCTCTCTCTCTCTGTCTCTCTCTCTCTGTCTCTCT